AGAGGCTGGATGCCTTTGGATAGTTCCACCTGCCTGTGATATCTTGCCTCTCCATCCTACCTTCAGCACCCCTTGACCTCTGCCCTGGACGCCGTCTTTGAGGTTGAACTCAACAAGCCACAGCTTAGCTCGTGACTGCAGACGATATACACAGGGTGGAATAGGTGTTAATCCAGCCTCTTACCCCATGAATCAATCACGCCGACGATAAGTTGGCACATTTGGGATGCTGTGTGTTGATGGTGGAATTCTATCATCGGCGTCATTGGTTCATGGCAGGATTGCACAAGGCACAAGCAATAGCCACACATGTACCTTGCTGAGATCATAATGTCGGCGTCTTCTGTTCCTATCCCAAGAAACACTAAGACAGATCCACAAGTTAGAACTTCAATGTGGCTGTCAGGACATAGGTGAAGGGGTGCAGGTAGCAGGAAAGAGTGGCCGGATCATCACCGGAAATAGGATACACTCACCTCGAAGTCCGAGAAAACTTATTTGTCATAGCATAATTTCCCTATAGGGCAAGAAATGCCAAAGTATATTCCCCCAGATGTATGTTGTACTTTCTGGGTGGGCCTATGATTGACGCCGATAAATCACTACTTCGCTCCATTGTCTGTGCATTAATGGGCAATGTCTATTTTCTACACCAACTATACGCGCTCTCTCTATGGAATCAGACAACGCCAATAACAGCAGACTTTGAATAAGCATTCACATGTAACTATTGGACGTAGTCTATAGGCTTATCACTTCCCATGCACTGCATCTGACTATCATCGGCGTGCTGTTTTGCGTCTTTTGGGGGGATGGCCGATGATGCTGGTGTCTGATGCTCGCTGCGTGATGTACTATCAGTTCGAGGGTATAATTAAAAAGGCGTATAACCAGTATTACCTTTGTTCTGGAACGTGTTCTTGTTGACATTGTATTTGTGATCTCTTTCAGCTGGCGTCTGGTTCTTACGCCACTTGAAGGTTCATCCTTGGTCCCCACTGGCACTGAGGGCTTCCCCTTACCCCTGCCGGGCTTCATGCCACTGTTCGGTGGCAAGGCCTGTGACGCCGATGATAGCATCGGCGTGGATAATGTGTTCGATGACGCCGATGTCCTGGTTGCCCGAGGTATCAGCTTGGGACGGGGACATGCACCGCCTGGTCCAGTGTGAGATGACTCTGTATAAAATGCGTCATTTACGCCATCACGGGGAGGTAGGGAATATGACATGAACTTGCCAGTTAAGCCATCTGGTCCAGCCTCGTGATCCTCGCCTTTGTCCTCGCATTGTTCCTGACCTTTGTCCTCGTCTTCTTCCTCGTCTTCTTCCTCGTCTTCTTCCTCGTCTTCTTCCTCGTCTTCTTCCTCTTCTTCTTCCTCGCCTTCTTCTCCCTCATCGTCTACTTCCACGTGCTTGGCGTCAACACCACCCTCGATATCCCCCTCCTCCAGCTTATCGTCGTTGGGCGCTGCATTGAAGTCGGCAGCATCAGTTGCCGCCATCGTGGTACATGCAATAGCCTCACCTGCGGAAATGTCCTCATCGTCCGAGGACTGGTCAGAAGGCACCTGAAGCCTAGCCCTCTTCCTTGGACGCTTGAGGACAGCCTCAACACTAGCATTTGGGCCATCCTCTTCATCTGAAGAGCTTGATGACGCGTTATCACTGCCTGAGCTGGTGCTGGAGGTGTTCCGTGGATGCCGTCGGAGATGTCGAGGGATGGGGCGCTTGTCACTTTCCTGGTTTGCTTTGGGGTTGGACGCCGATGGCTTTGACGCCGTTGACGCCGCGGATGCCTGGGGTGGCGTGGCAGATGCCTTCTTGGGGAGAAAGGTTAGCGCATCGTCAGCATCCTTGTATTCCTGTCCAAAGCGGCGCTGAGGCCTGTATCGCCCTGCAGGTAGTGCCTCCAGGAAGGCCTTGGTGAATCGGATAGGCCGACGTCCCTTTGCTTGCTGGTCCCGCCAGTGGTCTACAAGGACCTTGAGGGGCTTGATGCGCATGTCATAGGGGGCTTTAAGGTGAACTGGTACTCGACCTTCGTCGGCGTTATAGCAGAAGAGTGGAAATGCATCTTTGCCTTCTATAAACGCAGAATTCTTCTTGGCCACTTCGGACCAAGGGACCTCCACTTTATCACGGTTAGAGGCACATGCCAGAGCCATAGTCACAGACTGTAGGCATATACGCTGGAGGTCTTTGGTGTTGCGAAATGTTGCAGGGATGATCGGATACCCTTCGGCGTCTGCCTTCACCTGGGTGCGCTTCGGCGCCGACGCCTTCGCAATGGTCTCCTTGGTCCCTTCACCTGCAATCGGCGTCAATACATCTCATAACAAGCAGCCATAGACGTTGTGTGACGTGTTTAAAATGTGCTCACCTATTCCAGCATTTCCGTAAGTAACCCATTTCTTGAAGCAGGTGCAGGACCCGGGCTCATTTCCATCGACTGATGTGAATGGCTTCATTCCAGGAACCCTACGGATAGTGGTCCCGTCCCAGCTATGACGCATGAGATTTCGGCATTGACATCAATTGTAAGGAACACATTACCACCCAAATCGCACGCCGCCATCAGCCTTGTACTTCGCATACTCGATCTTGAAAATGACGTGCCAGCCTTTCCATAGGTAGTTGGCAACATTTGTAAGGGTAGGGTTCAGCCTGCGATCAAAAGTTCTGTTTCAAGTCATGGTCAGTTCAACCTTTACTTAGAGGGCTACTCACAGGTCCTGAATGTCGGGCGGCGCCCCAGTTTTGTTAGCCTCCTCGGCAATTCTCTTGTAGTCATCCTTCACCGCCTTATCGAGCTTAAGGTAAACTAAACCCCGGGCCCGACTGTACAGGGACAGCCAGTGATTGCTCCCTCTGGCGGGAAAAGCTGGATACTCAGAGGGATCCACACTCGGCATTGTAGTCTTGAACTTCGCCAGCTGTTCCGACCACAGGTCGTCCATCTTGGCCAGATACTGAGCCTTGTGTCGAATCTCTGCAATATCGAAGGCGTTCCACTTCTTTCCAGGTTGCCAGTTGGGTTTCCACGCGACTTTAGAAACCTTGGTCTCGTTCCTCAACCAGAGCGTGACGGCCTACAAGGTGCCTGCGTCATGTCTTCCAGGGAAAAAAGAAAGGGCGAGTTCTCACCTGTTCAAGCTCCGGTGACGGGTCCTCCTCGCGAAGCTCTGCTAAATCTTTCGCCACTCGACCACTAATCTTTGCCTGCGCAGGTGCTTCGTCGGACTTGGCCGTCCACTCCTCAAGCGCAGCCAGCAAAATTTCGTGCTCCTCAGCTGTGAAACTGTCCGAGTCGGCGGAACCTGGGTCAGGTGAAGGCCCACCCTGTGCCTTCCCTGCTAGCTTGGTGAAGAAGCGGTCATCTTTCTCGAACATTTCGGTGCCGGAGGACATGGTGAACGGTGTGCTTCTCTGTGATGGAAGATGTTGAAGTTACCTGATGACCGTGTTGCAGTTTCCCTTTCCGAGCGAGCTATTTGTTGATTGATCTCACGGTCCACGTGACCGTGTAACATGGCTATCGATGTTCATCGGCGTCCGGTGATGAATCAGGCTACCTTGGAGGAATCATTCCATTGAAAGTCCTCAGGTGGAGTGAAGTGTTATTGACAAGACAAGTATGAAAGGAAACTCCCAGAAGTTTGACATTTGCCGACGTAGTTGTTGGCTAGTATTCTTGTTGGTTTGATAATAAGGGAGCAAGATTCAGTGTATGCAAGGGAATGTGTTCAAACCTGAGTATGTCTGATTTGATGTGTAGGTATACGTGCTTGTGTCTGACTACTTTTACAACATAATGATATGTATTATGAGCATGAAGGCCTTGATAGAGATGGGTAGACAAAGACACTCTGCTTCACCACATCACCATTCCTATTCACTTATCACGACAGCTCATGTACTCGAATATGCTGGGATATAGATTGGAGTGTATATGTCCATATGACGGATGACAAGTATTGCACTCTCACGTTGCTGGAACCACAAGTGTTTGGATATTGATGGACCCAGCACCAAACACATGTCGATATTGTTTCTCGGCATCGGCATCACATTCATATTATAGTATAGTTCCTGACACGTATTTTGCTGAAGCATGAATCTGAACATTGCAGGGAAAGAATGATGACAGTGACAAGGAGTTCTTTACCAGAGGATAACAAGCACAAATGTGTGATGTTGCTACATAGAACCATCATATGTGCCCCCACAACTATGATGGGAGCCTTAAACAGTGATGTGAACTTGTGCCTACGAGGTGAGATGAACCAGTATGTTGACGTTGTCGAATGCCAGACTCACAATACTCGGGCATTGGCTCCTGGCATCCAGTATAGTTTTCACACCTCAAGTATTTTGTTGGAGCATGAATAGAAACGCCTGGGTGAATAAATGTAACCGATGGCAGAGAGTTCCTTGCCAGATGGATAGAACAGCATTCACTTGGTAATGCTATATACAGTATCATATGTTCCTCAGCAGCAAGGATTTCTTTGAGTGAGCGTAAAATATGACAAGTAGTTCCTTATGAAATGGGTGAACAAACAAGTGTTTGATAGAACCTCCAATACACGGTAATATTGCCTCTCGGCGTCTGCATGACAGCTATGTTAGGATAGGGTTCTACACATTACTTGACTGGACCATGGAGAGGAGCCCTCACGGAATGTGACTGATAAGAGAGAGTTCCTTACCCCAAGGTGGTTCGTATTCATGCAGCAGGAATCACACGTGATTCATATTACTCATAGGAGTACCTAACACATTATCATCTTGAACAAGTATTCCTTGTCCGCCTCCGCTGCATGTCCTGGCCCTCATCCCAAACATTATCCCTTCGAGGACATTGTGTGATATTGCTTATGTAACAATGCAAGTCGGAGATGTGGTGGGGACAACAAGCTAACCCCACCTTGACCCAGGGATGCAAGGTTGCCGAGCAGTCGGACTGGTCAGATTCGATCTCGGTGCGAATACTCAAGCTCCCGATCAGATTTAATCGAGATCTGCCTAATGCGGGGGATGGGCCAAGATCGCAACTTAAGTTTCTTGGTAACCCGTGAAGGTCGGAGGTAAGATGGCTGCATGATGAAATGTTACCTGCCAAGGCACATCAGCCACATGGGGATTGCGTGCTGAGCGGCGTGGTAAACACTCCAGGGAATACCATTGTCCCAGGCGTCGCATTTTTGCCCCTCGTATCTCTTCCCTCTTGTGGGCCCTTGACATCCGCCTTCCTTGACATTCACCTTCAACTCAATGGGAAAACGAGGGAAAGCCAACTGGGAAGTGTCAGGTAACCCAGACTCATACCTCTTTGATGTTGAGCAGGAAGAAAAACAGCATGGTCGCAAGCGAACTAAGCTTGTTCCGACTCTGCGAGTGTTTGACAAAGAGCCAAAGACATCGGAGCCTGCTCCTCCAGTCAACAAATCAGCATTCGAAACTCTAGCAGAGATGGAGTACGAAGACCATAACCCATCTGTGGTGCCCACTGAAGTGTCGAAGAAGTCATATGTGAGCGAAGTGAGCCTATGACAAAGATGCAGAAGCTCAATCAGTCTCAGTTACAATCCACCTTCATGAAGGACTGGTTGGGGGAAGAAGAGTCATACCTGCACACGATGTTAGAGCAAGAGCGTCGGAGGTATGATTCATGTCAACATTGTGGGCAGGCAGACGTGACCTGGAGGTGTCTATCATGCCTCGGCGTGCGGGAGACTTGCCAAAGCTGCATGTATTCCACACATCGGAAGCTCTTGTTCCACGCGCTGGAGATATGGAACAAGGATCACTGGGAGGCGGCATCATCAACATCACTGGGCTTAGCCATCAATGTAGGACATGACGGTGACATATGCCCACATGCAGATTTGCCTTCCTGGCACAAGGGTAATCATGACGCCGACAATTGGATGGATGTTGACGACGCCGACGCCCAGTCCAGCATGCACGCCGAGTCCAACACGCACACCGAATCAAACAAGGTTGTTGCACAGGAGATCATGGATTATCGAAGAGGGAAGCAATTGAAATTGTACGCCGACGCCGACGCCGACGACAACCGCGACAATCGACGCCGACGACAACAAACTCACATCACTGTAGTTGATGTCTCTGGCGTCTTTGAGTTGCCAATTAACTGGTGTAACTGTGAACCTAAGACTGCCCATCACAAGCAACTCTTGAACATGCGATTGTACCCTGGGTCTCAGAAGTCACCAAGGACGGCTTTCACGTTTGACGTCCTTGATGACTTTATGGTCGCGAACCTGGAGACAAAGGTTGCACCCAATGCATACTGGAGACGCCTAATCCGCGTCACAAACACTTACCATCCAGACGTGGTTCCAGTGAGTGGTCACAAACACCTGGAACACCTCCGTTAATTTGACTTATAGGATCGGTACCGTGAGCTGACCCGGTGTGCAAGACAGTGGCTAAGACTGACAACACGGTATCAACATGGACATGGTTACGGTCTGCAGGAAGAGGAAACATCTGTGGGGTCACTGGCACCCTTCTGCGTAGCATGCCCACAGCCAGGTAAAAATCTTCCCGAAGATTGGAAGGACACTGGGTATGTCTAGCTAAGGTGCATAGATAATTGCTCACTGCTTCATAGGCCAAAGTGGCTCCACTATCGGCATCTTGTACTTGACGGCAATTTTAAGCAGCAAAATCTCCACATGCGGCGTCCTGAAAATGATGTTGGCTTTGCCGATGGACTCGCATACACGGTTAACAAGGAGAATTATGAGTCGCACTTGGCCAGCACACATCGTAACTACTCGGTAATGCTGGTTTCCTACATCACATCACGCCGATCCACTGATTGCGATCCCAGAAATCAACTTGCAACAACCACCGAGCCACACAGTCCAAGCGGCGTACAAACCACCTCCAGTCCACCGGCATTGTCTCTGTAGCATGTGCCAGGCACGGCGGGTTTGTCCCAAATGCAACAGCCGACTTGAAAGCTGGTGAAAGGTGAGTAGAGTACTGCTCATACAAACCAATGCCAACTGTGTTTCAAGCCAAGCAAATTCCGACGCCGTTGCTTCAAATGCAGGCTGGCAGTGGCCACTGCTCCTCGGCGTCATCTTGTACTATGACATCATGTGTCAGTACATTATCAACTTTGCCAAACGCATGAAGAAAAGCAAGCACTTGTCTTGGCCAGATGGGGTGGAGCTCATCCCTGCGATCGGACTCTTCCACGTCCATGGCCACAAGGATGAATGTGTTGCCAAGTTCTCCCCAACATTTATTGAAGGTACTGGCCACGTCGATGGTGAAGTTCTTGAAACTCTGTGGGCAGCATTGAACGATATCGCGGCAAGTACATTGAACATGTCAACGTCATGGCGGGTGGATGTGCTCAATGCGCATATGCGCTGGTCCAACCTTCGAAAGATAATGGAGATAGGTTCGCTGTCTTCTGGCTTTTACGATTCACTGCCTCCATGTTCATGTTTTCATATTAGTCAAGACGACCAGCCAAAGATGGAAGAAAGCACTGCAGCGTTACGCCGATGCCCTTGAGGATTACAACGACTTCACTGACGTCTGCCCAGAAGATAAGGTCAAGGAATGGAAAGCGTTGATTAAGAAAGCGTACGCCGACCGACACAACAACCTGGACGCCAACATGCTTTTCGATGTGAAGATTGGTCAACTTCCTACGCGTGCGGCGTGTTCAGAGACACTTTCAAAAACACTATCCCAGCGCAAGGACAGGATTGCAAGAGGACATTCATCCTCGATCGACAAAGACAAGGACGACCTGACCGATATTATTCGCTGGATGAACCTGGGGATTGATATCGAAGAGTTTCAGTAGGCATCCATTCCCCAGATATAGATCTTGCCTGACTCTCATCGTAGGCTGAGGATCCAAAGCTTCATTAGGCAGATGGGTCGGCGTGTTCAGCGAGGTGATCCAGCTCGTCTAGAGGCAGATCGGCGTCGGCTCATGATCATGATCGACGCATTCTTGGAGGAGGCACCAGCCTATATGGGTGAACTTATTGTTGGCCGCGATAACGCTGTCACCATCACACTTGATATCACAGGTGGGGACAACGTCGACATCATCGCCAGCAGTCATGGATTCGACGATCACCTGGACCAGGACGATAACGCCGAGGATGATAGCGACGCTGCCCAGATCAAGCCGGAGCAACGCACAATCGGTCTCCCATCAGCATTCGGTAGAAAGGAGTGCAAGGCCCATGGATTGGGGCGCCTCACCGCCATTGAAATGGAGCTGCGCAAGGGCCAGGCACATGATGCCATCCAGAAGCTACGCGAGTATATTGGCAAGAAATCTGTCCTATATCGCACCGATATCAGGAGCGCTCGGCGCAGCCAGCACAAAGCCGAAGCAGCCAGACAACGGGTTGATGCCCAGACGGCAAAGATTAACATTCATCGACTTTATTATAACCGTGCAAGAGAGGCCATGCTCGAACTAGCCAAGAAGCCACGCAAGATCAAAGAGTACAAGCTTATGACGATCCAGGACCTCACTGCTAGCACGTCTTTGTTGAACCCGTCCGAGAGGGGAAACCGGCATAGAGGCCTTCCATGGCTGTGGTCCTTAGACATTGACAAGGCACTTGGGGAGGATGGGGATGAAGAGCTCGTACAGCAATGTGAGTGGCACATGGTACGGTCTGTGCTACAAATACCCAATTTACCACACAGTTGCGAGGCTGCACTGGCTGCGCGCCAGATGTCGCCTGGACAGATGCCGAGAGGAGCTAGCTATTCTTCGCCATGAGATGGTGTGGATTCCCAAGTCATGGGACGCCGAAGCCCGATTATGGCAGCAGCGTGTTAATGCCACTGACCCTATGTCCCCAGGTCACCAAGCATATGCGCGCCGACGACAAGCGGACGCCGATGGACTTCGAGATGGGGCCATCCACGATTTTCGTTTGCTTTTAAACCAATACCCCCAACCGTACCGCCTTGATCTGCATTTGTATAGAGATGATATTTATGTACAGTCCGTTCAATAATCCTACTCTGCATCTGGTCCTCCCGACCATCCAGCGTTACCAGTACCAGCCCATTTGTGAACTGCTTCACGCATGTAATAAGCCAAGCATATTCGTTCGCCTTCACAATGGGGAACTCCATGACGAAGGATATTCCCGCATAATGGAACCACGGTCCCAGGGGAATAGTCCAGGTCGATGCCAAGGGCTGGCAAGGACAGTTGTCCACCAGTATACCTCCCCACAGTCAGAAGAATGTCATACCAAGGGAACGCACCCAGACCATCTCGGTGAAAAGGTGTTTCCCTGTTTGCCAATGCACTGACGGCGTTGAAGACACACGCCCATTGTTCGGCGTGCTGTCGGAGGTCACTGTTCCCAAGAATCTTCTCCATACATTGAACACCCTGAGCATACTGCTTAGGATGGACTAGTGATAGGATGCCGGACATGAGAGCAAATGTGTCTTGGGACGCCGAGACCCACTCCCATACAAGCTTCACATCACGGTGTGAAGGTGTGGGTGGCTTGGATGGAATCTTGGTGCAGGTAAACCAGTGTCAGAAGCGGCAGGACGAGATGCGCAGAGGGACGCACATTATGGCCAATACCATACCATCCAGGAGATACATTAATCCCTCCTGGAACAACCCTGGAGCACTCGGCAGATGTTTTGTAAAGGTATGCCGCCTTTCGCCAACCTGCTGCGGTATCGGGGAGGTTGTCGGCGTCGGCGTCGTCGACAGCTTGCGACAGCAAGTGGCTGATGTGCTGAATGTCATCAAAGATTTTGTCTTGCATTTCCTGGTCCACTATACTAGGTAGATACCAGATAGGAACGTGCCCCTTGTTATCGACCAGCTTGAACGGTCTCCGCGCGAGGATGCGCCGAGTAAATGGGTCCGGCTCTGTACTGTCCCATGGCGCCTTGTCGACATGGCATGCAAGCGTTGGCTTGTGTGATTCCAGGAGAAGCTCCCGATAGATATTGGTCCCTCTTTGCCCTCCAATATGACGCGAATGGTATTCGATATCACCGTCTAGCAGAACTGGGTCCACCCCATAAGTCATGACAACAGACATGGAGTCAAACACGCACCAGGGCAGTTGTCGGCGTCTGCTATAACGTCCACGGCGCGCAGGGCATTTATTTCAAGGGACTTACTCATGCCATGGGGGGCTGCTGGAGATGGAGTGCCGGACCGTCTGGCACAGAGTGCTCTGTTCATGAATACGGCTACTTGGCCAAACAAGGAGCCCATGGCGTGCAGCAATCCGGGAGGGGAGTCAAAAGATTGGGTGGCCATCGAACCTTGTGGTGAATGCATGCCGACCCAAATAAGGACAAATCAATGTTCAAACTCCGCGATCATCCGTCGACGCGTCTTGCGGCGCGTCTGACGCGACTTTTCCATTGATCTTAACATCGCATCACATCCCATCCCCATGGCCGCGCCGATTCCGCTTGTCCCCATCACCACGCTGCCGTTCTGGGCAGTGGATCTCGATATGGCATGGCCCTCCTCCTTCAACGTTGCCTTTGCTACCAGGTTCCTTGGCGTCAGCGAGTCGCGCTTTCAAGCAGCCCTCCGCCACCGGGACAAGTTGCCAGAGAAGTACTTTGGAGATGGGATGCGCGCCGAATTTGTGAGTTACGCATCTGCCTGTGCCATACTGATATTTTATCTTCTATTTACAGGATGACATTAAGGGCGTCCTTATCCCGCTGTGGGCCGCACTCCGCCACACCGTCACCCTTCCCCCGTTCATTGCCCTTGTCAACGAGTCCCACGGCGTCGGCGCCGCTCTTGATCGGCTCCGCCACGATCCGGCCCGACAGGCAACGTGTCTCCAATGGCAACCGGAGACATCCGTTTCCGATTTGGGTGGGGATGAGTGGTGGCATGACTTCTTCATTCCTACTCCCCCACCCCCAACTGCGCCCTTGCTCACTGTCTCGGCGTCAACACCCCCTCGGTTCCGTCGCTCTGCTCGCGTTGTAGAGGCTATCATTAGGAAGGACGCGCCGCCATCTCCGCCCGACGAGCCCACACCCCCTCCCACGACAATATACTCTGCCGTTCGCGCGTTCGCCCCCAACGCTGCAGGTTTTCACGGCCATACCGTTCCAAAGGCCAAGAAACTCCAGAAGTTCGACGCCGTCGTGATCACGATGCCTAAGAAGGTGAGTAACTTGTGGTACCTTGTGTCGCTGAGGTGGTTGACCTCCTCCGTCATCCAGAAAGCTTCGGCGTCAACGTCCGCGGGGAAGAAACGGGCTGCCTCCACCCCGCCCGCAACCGAACCCCCTGCCAAGAAACCTAGAGGAGGCGGGGCCAAGGCGAAGAAGGGGAAGGGGAAGCAGAGCAATTCTCCCAAAGCCAGGGTAAGTGCTGTCGCTGTGTACAGATCAGGTATTTCTGACTTGTGTTAGGGACCGCGCCGGCCCACGCTCACGGAGACAATCCCCGACCACCTCGCGATCGTCATGGAGAAGGGGTGTACCCGGTGCCGCGAAGCTGGAGTGGTTTGTCTGCGCGCCGAAAAGCGAGTTTGCAAGCGGTGCGGGACGCGTAAACAAGGCTGTGACCTCGAACACGAAAAGGCTGCGAGCAGGGTTCCAAAACGCCGCCAGAACACGTACAAGCCAGTCAAGAAGTCGGCGAAGAAATCAGCTAAAGACGCGCCGAAGCCACCCACTCCTACCCGCTCCATTACCGTCAAGCGTACGGGAGACTTCCCCAACCCCAAGTCCGCTGAGCCGTACATGGAAGTTGGTAAGCAAATATGTTCTATGTACGCAGAACACGGGCTGATATTCGGTGACATATAGACGATGAGGCATCCTCCGATGAATGGGAAGACACGGAGAGCGACGACGAGGATGGGCAGGAGGGTAAGCAGCCCCACGACGCCAAACCTGTCCAACGTACACGGTATGTCGACGTCAGTGAGGATATGACCAGGTTGATCTTCGAGGCAGATGCGCATCTTCGCATCGCGAATTTGTACATGAGCTCGCTGGTGTTTTCGCCTTAGGCGTGGTGGGGTTCGGCGTCGTTGATACACATCGCAGTATGATACAATTGTTAGTACTACAATCAATTAATCTCACACCACTTGTCATTATCCATTGTGGAGCAAGAATCCACCCTACCCTCTAGCATTCTACGGTGTCAAGCATGAGCCTTGCATTCAACTTATTTACTGCAATGAATGTGAGTTTTCATGCCAGTGACTGAGCCCTTGTGTGTAATTGTTACTGACGCCGATGGTGAATCAAAAGGCCATTCGGGTAGGAAAAGAGTGGCATGGTTGTGGCCAGGGATAGACTTCTCAGATCTGTTCCAACGCATTCCGACGCCGACCATATTATGACACTCTTTGGTCCCGCCTGTAGGGAACAACGTCAATGATAAGATATCACTTATACAATCGGCGTTACGAATGCGTCATCGATACTTAAGGCATACACGCATTCCACCACCTGGAAATGGGCTGAAGCCGTGGGATAGTTGGCTATTGCTCCTTGCAGCGATTTTCCAGATCCTATGGTCTGTTTCATCTAGCTTCACCTTCCAACCGTGGCACACTTCAACATTTCAACCACTGTCCAAGACGTGACGGTTTAGCTGTAACACCGCATGGCCCAATATAGCCAGAGGCTTCAGACCATATACACATGGCGGAATGTGTATGCCTGATGTATGAGGTACGCCGATCCCAATATGACACACTATAATCGGCGTCGTCCCGAAAGTGGTCAAGCCCCCATAACACATATTCTATACACTGCAGACTCTCTGAAGGTGTAAGATAAGTGCGCCCTGCTGGGCTTGACCAGCACCCTTTGATCTCTGTCCTGACAGCCGGCTTTGAGGTCGAATCCAGCAGCCTGCAGTTTATTTATCGGCGTCGCGAAATAAACTGCAGGCTGCTGGATTCGACCTCAAAGCCGGCTGTCAAGACAGAGGTCAAAGGGTGCTGGTTTGATCTACAGGCCTGAGCAAGTCGACGTCGTAAGACCACAGCTCACGGAGGTAGCTGTAAACCATCTCATATTCGTGTGGCTTCTCCTTTCGCACATATTGCAGGGGACGCCGACGGAGATGCTCGGCAGCACGGATGGCCATTTGCGCCGACAGGCTCGGGCCAGCGGACGTCCGCGGACGGCTGGAGTGATCGCGTCCGCGGACGCGGCGTTATAAGTACACTTGACTACAACAATAGTAGTGAAGTATTGTTACTGCGCTGGGCAGCGAAGTGGGTTTCGGCGTCCATGGTCTATACAGTGTGCACAAGTACACTACAAATCTAATAGTGAATCATAGTGAGGTGTCGACTACATCATGGATTGTCATACGACATCGGCGTCCTCAATCCATCAGCGCCTGCGACGGGTTCGGGTCCGCGGATGCCTCTGCAATACAGGATGGGGCTATAAATATGGTAGGAATCACTGTTGAATATGTGATCGGCGTCCGCTGACATCGTAGTCACTTGCGGGCGCGCATGCTACAGTATTATTGAAGAATAGGCGCACCTGGGAGTCCCATATCGGCGTCAAGGAGAATGACCCCACGTGATGCGGTCGTGTCCGCGGAGCCGCCGTAATCAACCTAAGATGCTATAAATGTACTATGCAGGTGCATGATGCTGATATCGGCGTGCAGTATATCCAACTGATAGTTTCTCGGAACGCAATACATTACACCGATGCTAATACAACAATAACCAATACTGGTAACAGTCGGCGTCCAAACATGTTTCGGCGTGCATGGTGACGTAGGGAGGGTTGCACACTCACAATAGTGTATAAGAGTTACTATGCAATATGTGTTGATAGCGCATCAATTTCGGCGTCGTTGTTACCTCCGCAGCGTGGACCGGGTCGAGTCAGCGGACACCCTGAAACAATGTGAGTTGACTGTCATTATAATGATGGTCGTTCTTTGTCTTGGTTGATCGGCGTCAGCCATCGTCACACGATAGACAAGGTCCAGTCCGCGGACACAACGCCACACCAATCAATGGCTCTTAACGGTATTGATATTTTCCGATAGCGCTCAGGTATCGGCGTCAATGATTATCTCAATGTCGAATGTGGTCCAGTCCGCGGAAGCATAGCCACACTAATCAATGGCTCTTAACGGTATTGATATTTTCTGATAGCGCTCAGGTATCGGCGTCAATGATTATCTCAATGTCGGATGTGGTCTAGTCCGCGGAAGCATAGCCACACTGCCCATGCCTGGCCTAATCAGTGGGGTGCTCATGTATCGGACATTGGGCCAAATCCGTTGTTCTGGACAGTAGTCACACCGTGATAACACATATTCTATACACTTGAGGCTGTCCAAAGGTGTATGATTAAGTGCGCCTTTTGCTGAGTTGGACCAGCCGACGTGGTTTAGTTTTTGATGGCCGCGCGTCCACCTTGTCACATGTTTGGTTCCATGGATTGCATTATGGCTCGGCTGCCCATCATCGTGGCAAGTCAGCGCGTTACGCATATATCAACCACCGACAGCCCGTTGAGATCCAGGATATCTTCCACGTTGAGCTTCAACGGCGGCACCGAGGAAGTCTCAACTCGGTCATGGCTATTGTTCGTCCCTTTCTACCAGCAGATCCGCGCATCCCGTTTCCATGGACACTCTGGTAAGCTGTCTATTCTATGTAGAGCAGCTTGTAGAGCTCAATAATGTGTTCATGTTTCTTCAAGGGCGAGTGATCTTGGTGTGTCAGCCTGGCAAGCAGACGCACTAGGGCCACGAGAAGTGATCAATATCACGTCTCTGTCAGGCCATCTTGTCCTGGCACCCATTAAGATACGGCGTCACAAACTCTGGATCACAATTGCCTATGATCACCACAGCCCCGAAGCAGAGCCACTGTCACAAGGCGATGATGATTGAATCGCCCCGCGCTCACGTCATGTCACAAACATATGCAGACCAGGCACCGCCAGCGGGCCTATACAATTGAGGTACGTGATCAACAGTTCCTACTTGTCCGTGTAACGATCGCCACTCATCGCCACAACACCTAGTACTGATTCGTTGCATTCAAGCACCATCCCTTTCCTCGCCGTTCCCTCAGGCCTCCGCCTGTCCACTGCCATGTACTCCTAGCAAATCATCTCCTCCATCACCTCCTTCGTCGTCTTCCTCGGGTTCGTCGTCTTCCTCGGGTTCATCGTCTTCCTCGGGTTCGTCTTCTTGTTCGTGGGCGCCTGCTCCCTCGGTAGCCCACATTGGTGTTTCATTAAGATACAAGTCGTCGTCTTCATCGTCCTCTGGGCCAACTTGTTGCATAACGTAATCTTCGCGGTGGCTGTTGTCATTCTCGTATCGAATGTACTCGCCGTGAACGCCGGTTTTGTCTTCATATCGAATGACCTGAACGTACTCTTGGTGGGCGCCTTCTTGGTGCGTGTAATGAAAGTGTTGCTCGGCCGCACCTTGGGTGCCCAGGTGCTGAGTGAGTTGATCGCTGTTGTCTTCTTCATCAGCCTGATCTGCATCACCAATTGTGTATGGCTCCCAGTCCTCGTCATCCTCCCTTTCCTCGCAAGGTTCCCACATGTCATATTCCTCCTCGGGGTCCCCATCCTCCCATATGTCAGGACATTCTGTCTTTGTCCAATCAACGCGCTCATCGCCAACCTCGATCCCATGCGTGTCGAGGTAAACAGGGCACAGCGGCCAGAGGGGAATTTTGACGTCATTCGACAGGCGTGGCAATGGTATGTCGATTGGCGGGTATCGGACTCTCGGCTGTGTCGCGGCACCCTTCCCAGATCTAGATTTGCCAAGGCGATCAAGTTTGAATTTGACTGCGGTCAAAGCTTCGGACTCGAACGTGGCTCGGAACACCTTCAACGGACCTTCGGCCTTGTAGCGTACGGTGCCACCGGTAGTGGTACCTTCACCTGGCATCTCTTCGGCGTCGCTATCAATGACCTGCTTTCGAGTCTTTTTCTTCTTGATCTTCTGCAAGCTGGTTGGTGCGTCGCTCTCTTCATCACTCTGCAAGGCGGTGATGACTGCAATATTGAAGTCCTGTTGCAGTAGCACGTCCGACTTTGCACGCCCGCGATTGCGCCGGGCAATTTTCTGGAAGATGAACATCAGCACGCAACACAGGTCTGATGACGCGATCATCTCACCTGGGTCTTTCTGCCTCGCCTGCGTTGTTTCTGCGCACCGAAAAATTCCTTCCAGGCTAGCTCTTCTTCCTCATCCGCTCCCTCGGGAACATTGACTTGCTTGTTATTCTGCGTGTACTTGCCCTTCCAGTTTCGGAATGACCCCATCAGGCGCTTCTGATACTCGGCTCGGCCATAATCCTTCAGAGACGTCTTCCCTCCGACGATGTGAGTGTGCAGGTTTTCTTCGATATAGTCGAGCATCTCAGAGTGCCACGGCTTATTGGCGGTAAAGGACTTTGTGAAATTGGGTACGATACGGTTGCCGTCCTTGAACGCTCCATTGGGCAAGGGCTTAAGCGTCAACAGCTCAGAGCTGTCCTTCAAGCCCAGCTTGTCGATGAAACATTTTCTGATGCCGTTCTATAGAATCCGTTATCACCTGTCAAATCAAATAAAGAAGTCACTCGCCATCAATTCATTCTCAGTCTCCTCCACTGACTTGTAATTCCCTCCACGCTCCTTCAGGACGTTGACTGCCTCGCGAACGTCCTTCAACCCGTCTTCAAGAGCATCCACTCTAACCTTGATTTCTCTCGCGGCCTCATTACTTTTCTCGATCTCCCCCTCGAGCGCCTTAACACGTGCTCCCATCTCTCCCGATCCATCTTGTTGTGTTTGCACCTCAGCTCTGAGTTGTCCCACGCCATCGGTGAGTTTGAGTAATTGCGAAGAGTGGTTACTGATTTGGTCTGTCAGCTTGCGTGGTATATGCATAATTTGAGGTCCTGGGCCAATGGCTGCAAACGACGGAGCTACCGACGGCGCACGAGATGAGGTGACTGAAGGCGCACGAGACAGTGGCAGCGCTGTCGCAACACGAGGAGCTACCGACGGCGCACGAGATGAGGCGACTGAAGGCGCACTAGACGGCGGCAGCGCTGTCGCAACACGAGATGCTGGAGCCACAACAGATTGGATGCGGGAAGTTGGTGGCCCCATACTTGTTTTCACAGCTCGAGTTCCGGCAGGTGCGACAGATGACATCCGTGAATTGGGTAGCGCCTTGGAATTGGAGGGTTTACGAATCGGGCGCATACCCAATGCCGTAGGAGCTGCGCGAGGGCCAGTAGCTTGATGGGTGGGGCGACCCCGAGGAGGAGGCATTGTGGCCTTCGCCTGAGATTCTCTTGCAGTAAGTGCTGGGTCGATGACTTCATGCTGTTGCCAATAACGTGAGTCATGATTGACTCAGGATGTTGCATATACTCACATTGACAGCTTCGGGCACAGACGTGAAGCTAGAAGACAACCCTGCCGAGGTGAATGATGACATTGACGCTGAGGTGGCCGAAGACATGCGCTGTCGAGGGGGGCTCTCAGACGCGCGAGGAGGACAAATTGGCATGCTAGCGAGGACACGAGCCATGGCTTCATCCCCGGTGAGTTCCCTTTCTCCTTGCTCCAGGGGCGCTGATGATTTTGTAAACGGCATAATGAAAGCCGGGGGCGCTTTAGCTGCACAATCCGCCCTAGCTTTTTTGATTGACACAGAGGACGATGATGTACTGACAGTCTCCTCGCGGGGCCTTTTACGAACGACCTTCGTCCCTCCACTGCCCGAACTTGGTCCAGGCACTCCTTGCCCTCGTCCTGCACCTTGCTTGTGACCACCTCTCCCTCCCCCCACTGCATTCCTGCGAATCACCACCCCGCGTCCTCGGCCAGCCTGTGCTTGCCCCAAAGGCTCCATAGCCGGATCTATAGCTGCCGCAGGTGGTTCTATATGTCAGAATCCTGCGGCGAAGGTTGGTCTTTGTATGTTGGTGGATGAGCTTCTGTCACTGATCTGTTGTTTTCTTCTGAGGTCCAGAGTGGGTCGTGGATGATGACGGACGGTCCTTAACCGTTCGTTGACGCAATACTTGCGTGTGGAGCCCAGGTACTGGGGCAGGGGCTAACACTTGCTCTCTTGGGCTTTGGAATTCGTGTCGAAGCGCAGGCAGGATCACCCGGGCGCACAATCGCGCCCTTTCGTTGGAGCGACCATAAAATCGTAAGCCCGCCTTTCTTATCGCCCCATCGCCTCTTCCTTTCCCCCATCTCAACGCTCAGCGATTTTTTGTTCCTCCATGCCCCTCCACAGCACCTTCATCAAAGGCAACAGCGTCATGCTAAACCTAGCTGACGACTCACGTTCTCCCGTGGGTGCTCGCAATGGCGACTTTATCTTTGAACATCGCGTGTATTCAGGCGACGGTTGGACCGACTTGGTAAGCCTTCGAACTCTTCGTGACTTGATCTAACGTTTTTCCCCCTAGAATATCATTGTAAAACAGTATCACACAGAAGCCGAAATTGAGCGAGAGCATGCCGCTCTATTGCAGACCGGCCACACCCCGTACAACGCTGAAAGTCTCGCGAGGTATGTTTTTGACTTATGTATTCATTGCTAGCTGACGCATATAACAAGTCCTTTCAATTACAGATTCGCTGTCGCCGACCAGCTCACCTATCTCCTCCCGGAGCCGCGCAACATCAGGATGCTTCGAGAGTGCTATCCTACTCGCCTTTTCTGCATCAAGCCTCGGGTTGTAATCCCGCCTAGGTTCTTACGACGCGGTTCTCCCCCGATCATCAATAACCACGAGCCGATGGTCAATGACGAAGTAGACGTCGAACCGCGGGCTACCTCTCCTCTATGTGCCGAACCAACTCTGGTGGAGGACAACATCGAGGACGAGGACGACATCGAGTATGTGCGTTCCAGCAGCGCCGATCTCCCTCCTCTCGCCGTACTCATTGACCGCATCATGCGCGAGAGGAGGGAGCAGAACACAATTATCATCGACGACTCGGACGACTCGGACGCGCCTGATGCACGTCCTGTGAAGCGCCTCCGAGGATCAACTTCTGATGATGCCGAAGATCGTCGGGGCATGGTGGACGCCCATCTGTTTGACGTTTTGTATGTTTTCTTTTTCTTTTTCGGATGTATTTCTTATGTTTTTTTTTTCAGCGCCTCAGCTCCACCTCGCCATGTGTCGCTGCCACCCCACAACCAGCTTGTCATTGCCGCTCAAAACATATTGCGGACCGAATTTGGTGATCTCGAGCCCATCGAGGAGACGTCTGACGTCAATGTCTCCAATGCCTGATAGTGCATTTGCCCATTGTCTTGTGATCCTTGTGCTACCAGTCGTCGAGTAGTACACGCTGTTATGTTTTTGCTATGTCGAATTGAATGTTTCTTTTATTGTATTTTCCGCTGCAATCGGATGTGTCCAAAACAAGGTGTACCCCTAATACCGGGATTTCTAATAGCGTGATCAAATTAATTGATGCGGTGCTATATTTATTCCCCCGATGAGATCTGATTTGGACTAATAGAGAGGAGGTTGTATTTTTAGCTCTCCGAAATGTCCCGAATCTATCCGAGGTGATCCGACAGAGGGTGGCGGACCAGTGACGGATATCACCGGGCTCGCTGTAAGTAGTAATTAAACTAAACCTGTTTGGGCTGCGAGCTCAGCCGTAGGTCTTTATAAGGTAATTTATGTGTACTGTTTCGGGATGAGAGGAGCTATAGACCAATGCCATGAGACGTATACCAATGTATGCAATGGCTAGTAGGTTGATCTTTTGCAGACTATCCATAACGTACTAGCCGGTGGTCCGTGTGTATATATACACATTTTTTTCGGCTTGTACGTTGATTTTTTTACATAAAAATCAACGTAGTCGCGGCTGATTTTAATGTCGAAAGTCCGGTGTAAATAGGAAACCATTTCAAACCCCATTTGGCTTTTTCCGACATTATATGTCGCTTGTGTGCGACGGAAACTTACAACGACTCTTTCTCGCCTTCTTATCTTTTTTCATGTGCTGATCCTTGCTATCTCCCACCATGTCCATAACAGCGAATCGCGAGTGGTGCTTTATGCTGTGCGGATGTTCAGTTATAAGATGATGTGTCTTACTTATTACGGGACATACGCGTGGTCTACCAACTTGAGTCTCGTGATGCTTTGCAAACATGTATAAGGTAAAATCAGCATAAACAATGTCTGTAGCATTTCGGCTATCTCAACGATCTAGTATGAATTGTAATGAATCTCAGTAGAATGGAAAATGTGTGGGAAAACAGATGATCAGGTATGCATGGCGGAAACAGTATGTGCATGTTCACACGGCTCTTTCTCCGAGCCACTTATTTTCTTATCTTTCTTCGTCACCGATCTTCCTATCTCTCACTTCTCCGTTACAGCAAGGGGTATCCCGTTTTTAGGCCAAGCGTATGTTCCATAGTGATTCTGTACGTGTAATTATGGGACATACACCTGGTCCATCACTCTGGGTCTTATGGTAGTGTTTGCAAACATGTACGTGATAACATCAAAATGAACGTTACTGACAATAACTAGGGCATGTCTCAGCTATCACGAAAGTCTATGATATCTAGCGCTATCTCATTGTTGTATTACCTCTCGATATCTTTCATGTCAAAGCGACAAGATCTCCCCTTCCAGCCGACTACCATCGCAAGCCCACGCTGCAACACTTGCACGTCTAATGAGCGTGTGTGGGCCACTTGAAGGTTGGATATGTTCCATAGTGATTCGATAATCCCCTTCGGAGCTCGGCAAGAGCAAAGATTGCGTCCGATGCCCCATAGGTCTTCTTGTGCGATCAGGATCTTCGACCGGCTGAGAGACGCTGGCATTGTCCATGGCCTCATGGTGATGGCAACAAGCAGCCCGATACTTGCGGACACGAAGCGTGGGCATGAAGAAGCCGGGTCCCACATCGGCCTTGAACAAAGCCCAATCCAAGTCGGCCAGAGGCCCGACGATGGAGAAGGAGCTCATCTCCCAACGAGGCTGATCGGTGTTCGCCCCGGGACTATCCTCGGTGCCAGGCTGGCGAAAGAGCCTCTTCATCAGGGAGAGCGCAGTCTCGTCGACCGCGATGTCGCGCGCTGCGCGGAGCACAGGAACGAGCACGGAGTCGTCGAGCAGCGTGCTCGCCTTTGACATGGCCCAGTCATGGGCTTGCCTCTCGTCGGCATCAGTGGTGGGGGAGGAGAAGACAAGATCGGGTGCGATAGGCAGGTATCCAACGAAAATCCTGCGGACGTTTCCTACGTAGTTAAAGGCAAGCCTGGGAAACAGCCCCGTAATGGCACGATCTTTCTGGGCTTGCAGCGTTTGCTGGAACAGCACAAGCTCCCTGTGTGTAGGGAGGACCACCGTATGAACGAGTAAACGCAAAGCATCTTTGCGGAGGATTGAGTGGATACCACAGAGGCTCGCCAGCCCTGCATACGGGTTCTCGCCACGAGAAAAGGCGCTGAAGTCGGGCTTGGCCGCAAGAGAGATGATGTCTAGCAAGAGGTCGAAGTTGAGAGCAGAACCTGGCAATAATGGTACGACGGTCATGAAGAGGACGAACAAAGCTGGAGGGTGTCCTGGGGAAACTGAGTCAAGACGATCTGATCGAACGAGCACGACCGCCGAGCATTTATGCGAAGCAAGCCATGACCCCAAATGACTATTTTCTCAGAGCAGGACACCCTGTTTCCACATCAATTCTAGATGCTGCAGAGTAAGACGCATGTTGTCGGGCAAGATCCTGTTAGATCCACCGCCGCGAGGGCTGTGCGTTTTCCGACGTCAAAACCTCTCGGAGGACAATGCAAAGTCGTGCAAGGTTCTTCTTCGGCGCCCGAAGTTTGAATTGAAAACAGCTTGAGCCTCGTGTCGTGCGTGCTAGTTTCAACGTTCGCGCGTCTTTGACATCTCGGAATAGGGTGTTAATCAAACGTGTACCGGAGATAAGTGGGCAGGGTGCCTGACTAGTGGGCGCTTCTGTCAAGAACTTGCATTCCTTGATCGCCAACCTCCCTTGGATCAAATTATTGGCTTGGGGCAAGCTTGAGGAGACGTGCGACGCCACTCAGGTATACATGAAGACTGTTGACCTGAGTGGCCAGAAAGGCTCCCCAGGTAGCAGAGGATACACGGGAATGTAGTTATCATTGCGCCTTTTTCAGCGTATGACGGGGGCCCGTATACGTTGCTCGTAAATCTCGGCAAGGTTTTAGCTCGAGTTGATTTGTGTTTGTTTGCTAAGCTTCTTCCCTTTATCACCATATTTCCCCTACCGCCATCGGATAAATTGCTACAGTAACCCCAGAGTTTGGTCCAGTGCACCATAACATGAGTGAACTCTATTGTTCAATTTGTACCGGACATATAGGTGTAATCATGCGTGCTAGGCCGGCACCTCGTTTGAGAACAAAGCCTAGACCGCGTCGTCAGTTCCAATCTTTCATACATAGGTGAACGGATCCGAAAGAATGAGATAAAAATTGTACCAGATCATCCAACTTCCATGTATCTTAGATCGCAATGCCGTGTTTTGTTCAGGTAGCCAGATTTACTGCATAAGTAATGCTACGAATGTAAAAGACTGCTCCGCCTGGCAAATACCTTCACGCTCAGGGCAGATTACCCGCAGTAGGGTATAGTTGAATCTTGCAGAGGATCCACGTAATTACTAAAAGCAAGGAATCCCGACGCATCAGACAGACGTCAAGCTATAGGAAAATAATGAACATACATTCTAAGCGTCTGACGAATCGTCCCACGTCACGCCTACCGGTATGCTTTGAAGCACTTGCAGCTCATCCACCGTGATCCTAACTTGTGGTTGAAGATTCGAGTCCTCAGAAAAGACCTGCCGCGTTTCAGGAGATTTACAACGCGTAACCTGCCATACCACTCGAAAAAACCTGAGCCGATGATAACGGGTGACATCATATGTCGAAAACTCTATCGTACTTTACATTTTTGCCTTCCTTTGGCTTACAGTACAAGTATCACTTGCAGAGGAGAAATACAGAGCTATAACCGCCCCGGGGAACCTAGTCACGCCCTCTTGGAGTTGATGATATCGACGAACTCGGGCTTGAGCGACGCGCCGCCAACGAGGAAACCATCGATGTCGGGTTGCGTGGCTAAAAAGTCGTCTTCATTAGCACCCACATCAATTAAAGTAGCACATGGGGCTTACAGAGCTCCTTGCAGTTCTTAGCGGAGACACTGCCACCGTAGATGATGCGCGTGGACTCCGCGACGGCGGGCGAGACACGCTCGGCGAGGAACTTGCGCGTCGCTGCGTGCGTCTCCTGCGCGTCCTTGGGGCTCGCGACTTTGCCGGTACCAATCGCCCACACGGGCTCGTACGCAATCACGATCTTGCTGATCACCGCCAATCGCCACAGTCAGCCAGCCATGTCCTACCCGCCCACCGCGGAGCAGCTGAGAAAGGAACGGGAAATAACGCACCTCCACGCGGCATCGTCCCCCTTGAGCACCTCGAACACGGGCTCGAGCTGGCTGCGCACGACCTCGTCGGTCTTGCCCGCCTCGCGCTGCTCCTCCTTCTCGCCGACGCAGAGGATGACCTTGAGCCCGGCGTCGAGCGCGGCCTTGGTCTTGGCGGCGACGATCGAGCGGACTTCGCCCTGCACGGCGGGCTCGTTGAGCACGAACTTGCGCTCGACCTCGGCGACGGAGCCGTCCGCGCCCTTGACGAGGACCTTCTCGTTCTCGCCGAAGAGGGTGCGGCGCTCGGAGTGGCCTGCGAGTGATTGGGTGGACGGGGTGAGCGGGGTGGGAGATAGAAGGGGGCACAGTTAGTCGGTCGGAGGGAAGGACGCACCGAGGATGACCCAGGGGACGCCGGCATCGGCGAGCTGGGTGGGACTGAGAGAGGACGAGGGGGTGATCAGGTGCACGAGGCTGCCCGTATCTGCATATGACACACCTGATCTCGCCAGTGAACGCGCCGGAAAGCTTCTCGTGGCAGTTCTGGGCTGAGACGCTGAAGTCCTTGCGGAGGAAGTCGACGAGGGGGATGAGGTAGAGCGCAGGCGGGGAAATGACGACCTCTACCCTCGCACGATGCTCAGCACGAATGCGACGAAGCTAGGGACGGAGAAAGCACGAACCGGTGTTGGGATCGACATCAGCCTTGTTGAGGACGTTGACGATGGCCTTCTTGGCCTCAAGGCTACCCGGGTTCATCTTGAAGTTGCCGCCGACAAAGAATTTGCGTGCCATGGTTATGATAGTGCGTCGGAGGATGGTGGATGTGCAGGAGGGAGGTGGACGTGGACGAAAGATATGAAGGAGATTGAGTGGTCCAAGACGCGGCCGCTCGACAGTTCAATATTTCGCGATGAGATTAGATTAGGTTAGGTGCGGAAATTAGCCCCTATCTAGTTCGGAGTTCTAGTGCTGCATAGTCTTGGCTAAAGTTCTAAACAGCAAAACAAAAAGACGACCCTAGGTCGAAACGATGGGTCCCTTACTGTTAGCTAGTTTACCAGGCTATATCCGCTAAATTCATGCATACAACGAAAGGCTCGAACTGGTGACATGCATACGTACAGTCCAGGCCTTCCTGCTCTCTCATTCACAAATCCACTGAAACAGCGAGTCTCACCACAATACTTCAAATTATCCGTCCCGTACCTTTATATTTCTGTGTGTCTGTATGTAGTCTGTGGGTGCTCTGCCGGTGGGCATGCAGAGGCGAGGTGTGCGAGTTTGATCAAAGGTGCTAGGCCGAGTAGATAGAAATGGGATAAAAACGGGATAGCGTAGAGGTGCGAGTGAATTGTAGGGAACAACGTTGGTCGAAAACACAGGAAGAGCCGAAATGATTGGTGTAAAACTCGCTGGAGTAGCTACGACGAGATATATCGAGCGTTTATGCAAACTAGACTGCAGGACAATCTGAGATGTACTTACATAGGGTTTGACTTCGTGAGAATGTTGTGGCGCAACCGCGGGGAGGCGCCCACCGACGCGCGTTATGAGCCGGTAGGCTTTCACTCCTTCGGACTATATCAACTCTACGTAGAGTGATCATGGGGAAGTCCGGTACGTCTGTCGCACTTGATAAAGCACTTGTGCCACCATCACGAACTTCTGGAATATCATCCGCCGGAAAGATGCGTACCTCTTCAATAACAAAATCGGTCTCTATACGTGCTTCTAGAAGTAACTCACACGACATCATTGGCCACACAAAAAATCCATTCAGCGAGGCCGCCCAAGGACGTATCGTGACTCCTGGTGGGGATACCTGGAGAACCGGACCGCGATGCACCCAGATGGATGGTAGGTATATATAATCGTTCACACTGTCGCTGGTATATCGAAAATACCCCACAGCTCATTTATCGCTAACGATATCACGATACCTACATATGCCCTCAAAAGCCTCTAAGGGTGTCGCCCTCATCACAGGCTGCGCGCAGGGCCTCGGGCGCGCCATCGCTACGCGACTTGCCACAGACGGATATGCAATTGCGCTGGTCGATTTACCGTCGAAGCGGGAGGCAGTTGAGGAGCTAGCGTCTGAGCTAGGCAAGAAACTTGATGGTATAAGGACGCTCGTGGCGCTGGCAGACGTCACAATCGAGGATCAGGTAAGAGATGCAGTCGAGAAGGCAGCGCAAGAGCTAGGTGGCGTCGATGTGGTGAGTTTCTTTGGAGTTGGTCTTGTTCCACTGGTCAGTTCCTCTGATCATCAATATAGCTTGTTACCAGTGCAGGCATCGTCCGGATCAACCTTATATGCGATGGTGAGTTTGCCTTGTGCATGTCGTATCGACAGCCCAAACTCACATTTGCTTTGATCGACTATCCAGTATCCGAGAAAGAATGGGACGACGTTATCGGCGTCAACCTCAAAGGCACCTTTCTCTGCTACAAACACGTCGGCCTGCAGATGATCAAACAAGGCCGCGGCGGGCGGATGATAGGGATCAGCTCCATCGCAGGCAAGAAAGGTGCCGTGGCCCTCCTGATCGCGTTAGATGACCACATCGGATAAACTCATCGCTGCCATTCCTTTTATCACGCCCCTGCCCATTTAAACGGCTTCCAGGTCTGGCGCTTGCAAGCGCATACTCCGCCTCCAAGTTCGCCGTACGCGGGCTGACGCAGTCCGCGGCGGCAGAGTTCGGACCACACGGTATTACCGTCAACGCGGTCGCACCCGGTGGCGTCGACACCGCACTCTGTAAGCTCCTTTAAAACCCGGTCTTACATTCGCCGGTGCTCATATATATACGATGGTCATCTCGCAGTGAGAGCTGCTCAATCTGGAATCAAGAGTACCGCCGAGTCCCGACAGGATGTTCCCTGGCAGGGCACTGCACATGCCCTAGTGAGTGCACATTTATGAATACTCGAGCGCACGCATTTTACCACCCAATCATGCTAGTCTGCGACAACGGCAGCGCTCGGCGTGCTCGCTGAGCCGGAAGATATCGCAGGGACGGTGTCCTACTTGGTGTCCCCCGACGCACGTTATATCTCCGGTAAGCTCATTCTCTTGCTGACGGTGTCTTGGGCTGATCGAGACCGATGTGCTGCTGCCTTGTCGCACCCTAGGTCAAACTGTGGGTGGCACCCTTGGCAGCTGGCGTTGTCATGAGAATCTGATTGTTTCCCCCTTAGATCAATGTCGACGGAGGAATTCAATACGATTGACCACGTAACACAATGCAACCCATTCTGCCGACGCTGTATTTAGGCTAGGTCAAACCTGACAAAGAACGAAGTAACACTTCCCCAAGTACGTTGCGTCGGAAGCTTCGCACACTTTTATGCAGTTGTTCAACATTGTATGGGAAATAGAGAAGTTGCTATAAAGTTAACAAGTCAAGCGTAAATTGTAGATACACAATGCGACTCGTGAATGAGAGACATCATGTCTACGCCACACAACGATTGCGCCGTGGGCTTTATACTTTAAAAACGTTTACAATCTAGCCATCGGCCTTGTGTTTGAATCTATAGTCCGAGTCAATCTGGACTTAATGTGCTATCTGAGGAGTTCTGCGTACATTCTCATACGGATGAATTGTGTGGACGATCCGTGAGTCGTCGAAAAGTTAGAAGATTTTTGTAAGTATGAACCACATGTACAGATGATAGTGATGTACGACAATTCGTAAAATGGCTTTATTTTCACGAAAATTCAACGTTCATACCCTCACGTCCTCAAATCCTCTTCCTTCGGAAACTGCGCAAAAAGATCCTGAATCTTGTCAAGAGGCGCGGTAAGCATGCCCGCAATCGTCTCGAGCGGTGGCCTGTCGGGCGCTCCAGGATGGCCCCTATCGCAGAAGATATAGAGTAAACCTCCGTCACCCTCAGCGTATGGGTGCGCGACTTACCGGGTAGGCGCGATGACCTTAATCCGACCAAACGACTTCGCGTGTGACCTGCTCTCTTCCTCGTTCGCGAGAGCCGCCTCGAGTTGAGGCAGATCGTTCTTCTCTTCACTGTCGTTGTGCGGCTGGAGGTGCTGCCATGCCTTCTGCACAGCCGAATCGTACGCCTCGGTACCAGGCGTTTCCTTCTCTAGCTGGGCGAGCAGCTTTTTCACCGCCTGAGAATTCCCCAATGCCAAATGTGTGGTATGCAGTCATGAGCGGGCCAAGCCGAAAGACTGGTGAGGAACCTGAAGTGACGCACCAGATGCTGCCTCCGATCCTCATCAGCGAGCTTCTTCCCATCCGGAATGCGCTGCTCCATGAGCGGATACACGACCGTTTCCTCCGCGAACGCGTGGCGCACGACCTCCCAGGTCAACAGGCGAATGATGCGCCCCTGTCTCGCGGCGTCGCCCGCCTTCTTGGCGGCCTCGTAGGCTTTGTAGTATTCGAACATCTACAAATGTCAAATATTAAAAATCTTCCATGGTGAATGCCCAGAGAAAGGAGCACACCTCCCGGTGATCATCGACGATAGCGTCAGTAAGCGGGGGCAGCGCCTTAGTTTCCGTAGACATCTCTCTAGCTCGAAATAGGGACGCAAGCTTGGTGGAGTTGGCCGCGGGGTGTCGAAGTGGGGCGGCGCGATGACCGACGAGTATAGAGCGGCCAAAAGACGAAAAACAGGGCTGTGGACGAGAGAACATCAGCTAATGGGCAAATCGATGCTCGCGTTTATATCTCGAGTTTATGTGCGGCTCCGAAGACTCCTCCAGAATGAATTGTTCGACCGCGGGTTCAAGCTCTCCTGTACGTTAATGGTCTTGTGCGTCATGGGCCTGCGATGTGTTACACAACGAGACGCGCGATGCAGCATCATCAGTGACGTCCTCCGAGTTGGTGCATGTCACGGACAGCGTTTCATTGGATGATGGTCCGCCACAGATTCAACACGACCCCCGGTTTATGCGATAGGGGCTACGCCTGAGCGCCAGGTGTATAGAGATGCCATCCGCAAATCGCGCTCGCTGCCCTGTCACATGCAGCCGTAAAGTAAACCTCGGAATGGCATTGTTACGCGGGTTCTGTGCAGGATTTGACAGAATACAACCATACCTCATTCAAAGGTAAGCGATACATTCGCCTATTTTTTCTTCAAGTTCTCTACAGCGCACGCTGTGTCAAGTGGTCGTGTAATCGAGGTGCACTACATGCAGGCACTGCAGACAAACGGCGATTTTATCCGGGATGAAACCGAGAGAAAGAGGCGGCGAGATGAAAGCCTTTTCCTCCGAGTTTTGGAACCCCCTTCTGCACAGGAAAAGGTATTCTTTTAGCCAACATTTGCATCAATTTTGCGCTGGTAAAATGGACGGGTTACCGAATTTGGACTCTAACTTCCCGATTTGGACGTGTTTCTATCTAATCTCCGCACAGAAATGCAAACTCCGAGGCAAAAATTTAACTTTTCAGTAACTTTTCGCACAGCAAAAGATGGGTGAAAAAGGCTTTCATCTGTCCGCCTTCTTCAATCACTTTTTGTAACAGAAAAATCGCAGTTTGTCTGCAGTGAGGGAAAACTCAAACCCGCGTCGGAGCATGAAAGGGATAAAGTCCGCTAGAGCTGAACGCGTTCCAATGGTGTGCCACACACACTCGAAGAAACTTGCGAACGAACACTATTTCAACGTGAACTTAAGTTTGGTGTTAGCCCATATTGGCCTCGAGTGCGTGTACTGTCAGAACACGACCTTGAGTTCGAAACGTTTTTATGTGACGTGCGACGGAGATATCTTTCGATGGAACCGAACGGGAGTTGTAACGTTCCAGTGCGAACGCGCGACACTGAACTAAGGTGTTCTATATATCCTCGTCATGTAACCCACCCTTTAGAATTTCTAGACCACTTTGCACGACCCCGTCAAGGTCAGGGAGACGGTGTATGTCCCATAACACTGCATATCAGGGTCAGCTTTTATTTTATTTTTCATGCCCCCCCCCCCCCCGTTCCGGGACACGCTGGATCTTTTCTGTACACTTTTCCCGAATCAATCTACTTTCTTCCTTTCAGCATGAATGGTCATCTCGTTGTAGATTTTCTCTTCCGCACATGCAATCTTGTCGACGGGTAGAACACCGAAGGAAACACAAATGTCGGACCGCCTAAATTAAGGTACTCGACTCGAGCTCGGAAAGATTGACACTAAATCTTCCGCATAACTTGAGTGTGGACAGTGTTTGAGTCATCGTGAATTCACGTCGACGTGCCCAACGTGATGCGCAACGAATATGAAGGACGTGTCCTTCTTCATTATGGTTAGAGTTATGTGCCGGAGTATGCATGGTATTGATACATTCATTACAGGACGTTACTCAAGAGCTAAGGTATCATTTCCAGTTAACATGATTCGCAAGGCGCTCTGCTCATGTTTTCAAATCCTCTTCTGTGGGGAAATACGCGAACAGGTCCTTGATCTTGTCAACAGGTGCGGTTACTAAACCCGCAACCGTCTCGAACGGTGGCCGGTTGGGCAACTCGGGATGGCCCCTGTCCAACACAACATCAGCCTTCCCGCTCCGTCTTGTGCGAGGATAATTGAGAGGGCTTACCTCGTAGGTGCAATCGTTTTGATGCGCGAAAACGACATCGCGTACTCCCGACCTTCGGCCTCGTCCGCGAAGGTCGCCTCGAGCTGGGGCAGGTCGTTCTTCTCCTCGCTGTCGTTGTGTGGCTTGAGGTGTTGCCAGACCTTTTGCACGGTAGCATCATACGCGTCTGTGCCGGGCGTCTCATTCTCGATTTGGGAGAGCATCGATTTGACTTCCTGTGTGATGGCACGGGGGCGTGTTAGCAAGATTAGGTAGATGGACGAGAGAGGATGAACAGGGAGGAAGGCGGTAGGCGTCGAAGGGGGAGAGGAAAAGAAGAGAATAACCCACCAAGTGAGCCTTGAGGTCTTCTTCGACGAGCTTCTTCCCGTCAGCTAGTCGCTTCTCCATGAGCGGGTACATCACGGTCTCCTCTGCGAACGCGTGTCGTGCGACCTCCCATGTCAACAAACGGACGATGCGACCCTGTCTGGCGGCGTCGCCCTCCTTCTTGGCGGCCTCGTAAGCCTCGTAATATTCGATCATCTGCAAGCATATATTCAGTCTGCACTTGCGTGGATAACGTACGCAGCCTTTGGCAAGACGTACCTCCTGATGGTCATCGACGACTGCGTCGGTGAACGGAGGCATCGGCTTGCCTGCTGAGGACATCTTTCTCGGGTAGCTTGTTTGAAACAGGCACGCGGTTTTGGTATTTTTGAGTGCGGATTGGCGAAGTGGAACTGGTTGGCTGCCGACGAGTGCTGAGCGGGCGAAAGTCGAGAAAGTGGGTGGTGGTCGGGCGTACATCCTCTGTGCTTGGGTGCTTTATAGATTGGCTTGTTCACTAGCGCCAACAGGTATACGGAATGCCTTGTTAGTTCGCTTGACTGACACGGTTTTGAATGTGGTGTGCATGGGGCGGCGAGGAGCTACTACGCAGTGCGGGGGAGAAGAGGGGTGCGCGACGTCATTGGTGACGATCGTTGCTGTCATTTCGCTGTGATCGACGGGAAACGCAATAATGGGTGGATTCCGATTGGCTGACGCGTTCCGGAGGGCAATTCTGTTAGAGTTCAGCGACGCACATCGCGCCGTACGCGTCTCTCGAGGCTATCTCGACTCTCGACCACCTTGCGCGACGGTGTAAGGACCAGTCAGGCTCCGAGAGAGACGGCTGAGTCGGAGTCTGGTATCTGGTGTCAATAGAAAAGCCAGAACACCTACGTCATAATTCCGGAGTGTGTTGGTTCGCCTGCATGAGGTCATTACAAATACTCGGGTCACTTTCCCTTGCAGCCGGGCACACTAGTGCGTTTGGGTTTGTTGAGGATCGATCCTCCCTTTCCCTCCGCCCTGCTCGCTCGTCCCACTATTCACGAATTCTCCACCTCACAGCTACTCCGTTGGACTAACTCTCCATTTATCCTGCCCCACCTCCATTCTACCTGCTACACTCGATGACGCACTCGCTTTACGCCGTCATCTCCCATCGCCCTACTACAAATGATTTTCAGCCGATCCGTCGCCGTGTGATGCACCCCCAAATCCGGGCGCCTCACATCCCAGTCGCAGACTCCCATCTTGCTATGTTCTCGGACGCCCTTCGCCTTCGACTGTGTCTCTTTCCACCACAGATTCAGACGACGTGAGTCTACTATGCGGTCCCGCACAGCGAACTCCTAGCTAGAACATAGAAGTGAACGCGAGAATCCGGTCATTCTCCCACCCGGCTTGCTGCCAGTACTGCGACACATCGCGCCTCATCGTCTCAGAACCTGCCACCTGGCCCCAGCCGTCCCTCTGTCTCACCCAACTCCCGATGATTTGTTCCACCTCCTTTATTTGCTCTAGGTTCACGCTCGGCGACGTGTGGTTTACCGTACTGGCTAGTGGCACAACCTAACCAGCGATTTTCAGGTCAATTACCGCCAGTACCGCCGCTGCCGATCCATGCACTCTCCATCCGGTCTCCTCACTTCGAGTTGTGTGGTACCACGTCGTCTCGCCCCTGCCGATGCGCCTTCAATGCAACCCTCGGCTACCTTCCACACACGATCGAACCCCTTGTACTAGATCTGTTCCACCCTTTATCCAAGCCGGATGTATGCGGACATAATCTACCCTCCCGCCCTCTCATGTGTTCTAGATGCATACTACACTCGACGACTACCCGGGAGTCTGGGCTCGCCGATGAACAACGGCATCGCCCTCGACACTTTGCTCTGCGGTGCTCCTCACCCTCTCAGTGGCAGATACCGCTTCACCTCCGCCGGGCAATCTTCATTCCTCGCCTTCCCTCTACCTTCAGCCGCCCTTTCTACCGACGATCCTGCCTCTATACGCACTGTTTCAGCGAGTTCAAGAAACCCAGCTCTGCCGTGCGCGTGTACGCAGTTCCGGCGACTGTCTAGTTACCCGTCTTCAATCGCCATCGAACGAACGAAACAAACCCAAAAAAGAAAATTGTAAGTAAGCAAAACTACTCTACTACGTCAGCGTGTGTTATGTATACAGCAGGATTCATCTGTTCGTGTCAGGATGAGACCACCTCAGAGGGCTGAAGATCGAATGGAAGAGGCTAATAAATGAATATGATGATGAGCTGGGAGCCGAAAATTTGCTAGGCGCTACACAAAAGTCGATGCGTTAAGTAAATATGGATGAGACGGTGCGTGTATGTGTCTCCTTCTTCTTTCATTCTTTGTCCTTCTCTCGCTCTCTCCCGCCTTCCCCCTGCTCACCGTACATTAGCCAGAATTAGTGTCTATGACCAGGAGCAGCGCCGGCTCCGGGCGTCGAATAAAATCGAAAGCGAGTTCTTCAAGATCAGGAAAGAAAGAAACAGAATAAGGGAGCTACCCGTTGCGTGTATGGGGGTATCAAGTTGGTTGTTGCGATGCTGAGAGTCAAAAAAGTGATAATGAGAGCGAGCAAGAATGGATGTGAGTGGGTGGGTGGGTGGTGTCGTGTACGTGTCGTCCGGTGTCTTCGTGAATCTTCTTCGAGCGCTCATCCCCTCCCTCTCCCCTCTCTCCCCCTCCTCCTCTTCCACAGCCCTGAAACCGCCTCTCCTCGAATCACCACGTTCTCCTCCTCTTCCGTCGTCGGGCCATCACTCAAACCGCGGCCGCTTCCCGTTCCCATTCCCGTTCCCATTCCCGTTGACGCCCACGCCCACCCCAGCACCTGCAAGCGCGCCCGCGGCCTGCTCGACCGCCTCGAACGCGTTCGACAGGCTCGGCGCGAGCATCGCCGGCACGGGCCCTGAATTTCCCGACGCGGCCGCGAGCAGCGCGTCGAAGCTGGTCGCGGCGCGCGCGAGGCGGTCGGGTGCGAAGAGATGCTGGTGTTGCGGATGGGGCTGCTGCTGCTGGTGTGGGTGCGGGTGTGACATGGGCTGATGCTGGTGCTGGTGCTGATAATGCTGGTGCTGTTGATGGTGCTGATGGTGCTGCTGCTGTGCATGCACATGCGGATGCGGATGCGGATGCGGATGCGGATGCGGATGCGGATGCGGATGCGGGTGCGGGTGCTGGTGGAGCTGGGACAGATGCTGCTGCTGCGCATGGTGCTGCTGCGCCGAGGGGTGGTGGTGCGCGAGGCTGCCCATGGTCATCCCGATCACAGGAGACGACGACGCAGAACCAGAGCCAGAACCAGAACCAGAACCAGAATTAGGAACAGAAGCCGCCGCATTGGCGACGTCAGGTATGGCCATCGGCACGGACACCGGCATATGCGGCGGATGTGGCTGCAGCAACCCCTGCGGGTGTGGGAGTGGGTGAGAATGTACGCGCTGGGGGAGCGGCGGCGGCGGCGGGGGGCCCATGCCGTTGACGACAAGAAGATCGGATGGTGCGTCCAGCGCGGACGGATCGTCGAGCACGGCCTGCAGCGCCTGTGCGCTGTCTGGCATCGCCGGGACCGCCGACGTCGTGCGCCGCCTCATCATGGGTGCCGTCGTGAACAGCGGCTTGACCTGCGCGCCTCCCCCACCTCCGCCTACACCTACACCTACACCTACACCTACACCTTCGCTCCCGTTCACCATCCCCCCCGCCGCGCACCCGTTTACACCGTTCGTCCCGTTCATCATCCCGCCTGCCTCGGGCCAGAGACACGCAGAAGCGCCCATCGAACCGCTCGAATTCGACCCGGACCCGGACCCCGATCCCGAAGCAGAACCCAGCGCAGCTGCGGTGGCAGATGAAGACGCACTCGACCCGCCCGGCCGCCGGAACGTCGACGGGAACCGCGGGTGCGCCTGCGCATGTGTGAGCCGCACGCGCACGAGCGCGTCGTCCCCGTCGAGCACGGTGATGCGCAGCCAGCCGCCGCAGCGGTAGCGCACGAGCCGCGCGCGCGAGCGGCGGTCTGTTGGCTCTGCGCCTGTCCCTGCCTGGTTCGGTTGGTCGTGCGACGGGACGGTTGGGGAGTTTGTGGGGTTTCCGTTCCCGTTCCCGTTAGCTGAGGAGGAGTTAACGGTGGCAGAGTTGGAGTTGGCGTTGGCGTTGGTGGACGGGGAGGTGTTCCGTGCGGCGGCGGAGGTCGCGGCGCGGGACTTGGACTGTTCGCCTTCGAGCTGGGCACAGAAGTAGGTGACGACGGTGCTTTTCCCGCCTTTCTTCGTCTTCTTCTGGCTGTGGGCGGCTAGTCAGTCGCGTTCGTTCTCATAAATTTCAGGGGCGGGGAGATGATATGGTGTTTTCGTGGAGGAGAAGAAGATGCAAAGACGACATAAACGAAAGAGGGGCTCACTTCCAGTGATACTCGCTCGCCTCCGCGATCAGATCGCGGATGCGGTTCGTGCGCGAATAGAGGTGCTCGCCGGCGGCGAAGAGGCCCGATGGAAGAGCGACCATCGTATCGAACGCGAACGGCGCGGCGGAGCTTGCCGCGATGAGCGCGAGGAAGTCTTGCAGGTCCATCGCCGCCGTCGCTGTTGTTCCTGGAGCTGGTGCGGACGCCGGTCCCGCTACCCCTCCGCCTCCACCTCCCGTTGCTGTCGCTGTCGCTGTTTTGGATCCCGCCACGCCTCCGCCTCCTCCTCCTCCATTCGTGCTCGGCCCAGTGCCCGCGTCCACATTCGATCCGCTCATGTTCACGTCGCTATCGGCATCGACCGCTTTGGTCGACGACATCGGCGTGCCCGCGATAGACGTGCTTGAAGGCGGTGACGGAGGGGTGGAGCTGCACACGGAGGACGTTGCAGGCGTGCGCAGCGTGCTTCGGCGCCTCCGCGTCGTGCCTGTGGCTGGGGGCGCGGATGAAGGCAGGGGCGCTAATGGTGGCTGGTCGCTATCGGTTGCATCGTCGTGCCCATCGCTAGAGCGAGTGTTTGGGCCGTTTCCGAGGGTGGTGTTTGGGGAGCTGGTGTTCGTGCCTGTGCTGTACGTGTTTGGAGCGGAGGCGGTCGCATGGGATAGGGGCGGACGTGCCAGCTGGGCTGGCGAGGGTTGGTGGTGTGGATGGCGGGGATTGTGTGATTGGGAATGGGAGGCGTTTGCGTGATTTAGATTGCGGCGACGTTGTGGGGGTTGACGGAGGACGAAAGACGAAGGCGGATGGGACACGGGAACATGTATACCTGGTGGACGGTAACGGATGGGTCAAAACCAGGGGTACATTATGCAAAGATGCGAGAGGAAGGGGGCGGACCCTCACGATTCATCGACACGATCGCTCTTGGTTATACCACGCGTACTTCTTTGGCCTTGACCGAGTGTTGAGTGACACCGATCTGGGAGGTCGTGTTCGTGAAATTGTGCGTGTCAAAGTTGTTGTGGGTATGCGGCGTGGACGTTCGTCTCATGAGCATCGAGCTGCTCTTGATGTACGCGCAACCTAGTGTCAGGGGTGAAAGAAAGGTGGAGATGGAGATATGAGAGGAAGAAAACCAAACTGGAGAATTGGTAAATGGCAAACGGGCGTGACTGATGTCTGGGCAGGTCTAGAGGCGGGTTAGAGGACAGAGCGGGTGGGTGGAGAAATGAGCTCACCCCCTCAGCTCCACAGATACATCCGGCTGACAGTCTGCCTGTCTGTCCCCGTTCTGCGAGATGGCAAGCCTTTCTCACGCTCTCCACCCTCATCGGCAACTTCACCGAACCACTCACCGCCCTGTGCCTGTACAACCAGCCACGCGTCCTCCGCTCCACCCGCCCTCATATCTTTCTTCTGTCGGTTTTCACCGTCCAAGTCCACTTATTTTTCCAATCCTGCCAAGTTTGTTTAGCCTACAGGGGGAAATGGGCCTCGCTCTCTCTGGGACGTGCCTGGAGCTATTCAGTCTGGGCTCTGAATTTCTGATACCCGCCGGCGGAGGAACGGACGGCGCTCTTGTTTTTCTTCCTCTCTCGTCTTGCGCGGAGATGACCGAGAACCGGCCTGGACCGGCGCATTAAAATAAATACTGATTCGTCGGCTAATTATATCCATGTGTTCATTGGTGGATATCGGGGCTGGGAGAGAAGAGCGCGGCGGCTTTCTGAAAAAGGTTCGATCGAGGATCTTCACTTTCGCTCTTTTCCGCTTTCCATTTGGGCTGACTCGGAGCTGGATACAGTTTTATACTATCGTGGGACTAACTCAACAGTGAAAAGGCGGCCTGTACTGAGAAACTCGAATAACCCAACCATTTTCCCGTATCTGGCTAGTCTGGCTAGAAGGTTTGGAGGTTCGAACGCTGCAGCCTGCCATACAAGGTTGAAATCTTTACGAGTGGGATATAAGTCGATGATGCTTTTTCATTGTAGATTCAAATCATACGATAACGTGCTCAGATCAGTTGTTAGGGTATTATTAAATGGGCGCAGCGACACATGTAAAACGGGTACACCAATGATATTATGCATGGATAGGGCACACGATCACCATCCATCGCGACGTGACACTTATATATACCTTGGCCTCGTGTTAGCCTTCGCTAGCGTCTTTTTTACCCTCAATATAACCGGCAGCTAGTACTGTAGGCACTATACAGTAACAAGTAGGGGGAAATTGCAGAATAAAGACAGTTCAGTCCGCTGACACCTTTATGCCTTGCGTAAGCAAACAATTTTATTTTTATTTTCTGTCATCACAAGACACGTCAGTAATGTGTATCACACGGCAAGAAAAGTGATTTATTTTCTGTCTAGGGGATGGATGATGGTGATTGGCGCCTCTGAACAAGTACCTTTAGGGTCTATGCGAACTCCATCCCATCAGACCTCCCCACATTATTAGACAGCCTCACATCCATAGACCTGCTCTCGCTTCCCTTCTCACTGGCACTCGCGGCGACCACACTCCCTGCTTCGCACCCGTCGTCGCTGGCATGCGCATGCACATTCGCGACGGGCCCCTGGAACCAGTGCACGCCGCCATACACGGGGAAGAAGTACCACGCGAGCACGGGGACCATCATCCCGCCGAGCACGAGCACCGTGTAATTCATGCCCTGCACATCCGGGCCCGGGCTCGTCGGGAAGAAGAACACGACGATCATGAGCGCCATCCACGCGAGCGCGACACTCGCGATCGGCTTGCCCTGCGAGTGATTCGTGATGTTTATCGCGTGAGCGCAAGCACTTGGAGGCATAAAGAGAAGCGCTGAGAGACGTACGAATGAGCCGAGCCAGAACACGCCGGGCCGCCACCGTCCGCTGTCAGCGCACGCGAGTCTGCACGCGATGGGCACGATGTACGTGACGTACATGCTCGCGACCGCGAGCGAGAAGACGGCGTTGATCGCGTCGGCGCCGCCGAACGACAACAAACCCAGGAGGAACGCGAAGCCGACGACGAGCCAGACGGTGCACACGGGCGCTTTTGTCCTGGGAGAGATGTAATAGAGGAGCCGGGAGAACGGGAGCGCGCCGTCCCGCGCGAAGGCGAAGGACTGGCGGGAGGCGACGAGAAGGAGGGAGGAGCCGATCATGAGTCTGTAGGTTTATGGGTGTGGAGTTAGCGGGGGAAGGAAGTGGAAGTCAGAAGTCAGAGAAGGGCCGTACTGCACGATGATGACGACGATCCACAGTGCAAGTGCGCCCTTGGGACCGAAGGCGCCGTAAAAGATCTGCGCCATGGGTGAGCCGAGCGGTCCCGAGATGATACCGGCGAGGTCTGTGCCCATGCAGAATGCAAGGGAAATGACGACACCTGTTTGCAGAGCAGCATTCGACTTCGTCAGCCTCTCTGCGAGCTGATAAATCGTGTCGAAGTAGAGGCTTACCCCATCCGAGAACGCACGAAACCGTGATAGATCCAACCTAAAGTCGACGTCAACGAAGTCAGGGCAGCTCGAGTCTGTATTTAGTATAAAGTAAAGAAAGCTCACAATCGCCCAGGGAACAGCCGTAGCCGCATTGAGCGCCTCCTCGCTCATATGCACGCTCGAGTCGTACCCGCACACCGTCCAGAGGGGCGTCAAGAGGCTGATGATGAACGCGAATCCGTCTGGCCAGCCGCTCACTCAAGACAAGAAAAGTACAGAAACATAATCAGGCGAAGGCGAGTGGCGGACGAGAGAAGGAATGTGTCGCGGAGGCGAAACACTTACCGTTGTCGAACGTGCCGAACACATATTCGGGGGTATTCTTCAGCTCGCCCGGTGTGACCGCTGGGAGGACGATAATCACGATCAAGCACAATCTGCCAGAGAACGAGTCAGATGGTATAGACCAAGCAACCTTGGCTCGCATGTGCAAACGGGATACGGGAAGCAAAAAGACTCACAGAACGTTAAGTGCGATGTAGAGGTTCTGCAGGCGCGCCATCAGCTCTGGCGTCAGACTGCAGACGATGCCGTGCGCCACGATGATAGCGACGTAGATGCCACTGCAGCAAACAAAGGGCTAAGCGACGTGTTCAGGTGGTCGCAGGGAGCGATAGCGTGCGTACAACGTCTGAGGCATCGTCGGCGCCCACGTCAGGTCGTTGGCTATGCTTGCCGCCGCGCCAATCTGAACTGCGCACGCCCAGTCGATGGACGCTGGCGGCATTGAGGTAGATGAGCGCCTGCGAAATCACTGCGTGTCTCCAAGCTTACCAAGCGCAGTCGCGAATCCGATAGTATTTGTATCTAGAACATGCTCATTAAGATTCACGGCAGCGGATGAGACAAACAAGATACGTACACCCAACGATCCACGATAACAAGTTCCGCCACTTCGGCGGAGCAAGCGTGTGCGTCCAATAGTAAAGCTAACCATCAACTATCAACTCGCCCGCACAGCATTTACATGGCTATGGACGAGAACCACGCACCCCTCCCGAGGTCGGATTCGCAGACGCGAGCTCAGCGAGCGCAAGCCCGATACACATCATGAACGGATACGCCATGAACCACTGCCATTCCATACATCAGCATGCGTGCACAGGAGATGCGCTGATGAGAAGCGCTCGCTTACGCCCCACACGAGCGCAGTCGGTCCGCCGTTCGGGAGCGCGTAGAACAGGACCGAGCTGGACCGGTCGCGACGCGAAACGCCCATCAGCACATCTCCAAGCTGACGTTCTGAAGGACTGAGAGACAGTATGCAAGACTCACGCTAGCGAGGGGACGAGGCCGATGACGCTGAATGCAACGCCAAATGTCTGGAAACAAAGACGATGACGTGGGTCAGCACCGGACGCAGCGACATTCATGCAACTGGCCGGAGAAAGGATTCAGTCACGCACCTCGAGCGGGCTAAACACGCGCCGAAACTCCTGCTTGTACCCCAGCTTCGCGAGCAGCTCCGAGTCGGTATCCTGCATGGCCATAGTTTACCCCGCGCGCTAAGTTTGCAATGCGCTCTACAACGTATGTCGATAAGAAAAACGGGACAAAGACGAGGAAAACGCGAGGGGATGATGGAGGGAGAGAAGGAGGAAAAGAAGCCCGTCAAGCGCTTGACTTGCCTTTATGGAGATCTGTTCGGGAGATACACTCATTGTCACGGCAAACTTTGGGGGTCAGTGACAGGCGGTATGCCCGATGTTGTCGCCCGGTGTTAGAGCGATATGCTGATGGGAAAACGCGGCGAAATTACTGGGGGAAATGAAATGTGCGTGGGTCCCTATCGGTCCAGGAGTGCGAAGGCTCTGCGTGGCTCATGAAGACGACGAGGATCCTTGGGTTGGAGCTGAAGGGGAGAGCATCCGAGTAGTCATAAACCGAACATCCATTATGCAAAACGCCATGAACATGATGGTATCAGACAAATCCAGATTAGAAGGCGGGTAAATCCAAGAAGCGAATAATGCTAAAAGAGGAGAAACTTGAGGGTAATAAAGAGAGTGCGGGTAGTTTTAGTCTATTATGTTCAGTATGTGCCTTGGTGAATCAGACTGGAATATACAGTCCAGTAATCAGTGATAGAGGATAAACCAAGGTGTTGGCGGCGGGAGGCAAGTATGTACGCACCTTCCATCAGATCCTCAGTCTGACGAGAGAACATCGCCCTCGCCCTCACCTTCTTCCTCCATCCCAAACCTCACATCCTCCTCTTCCTCTGGGATACCAATCCGCTCCTTCACATACTCATTCCCGACAAAGTTCATCACACTGCACATCACGAACGTAGGTCAGAAATCGCCCAACCGACGCAGAACGTTCAAACCGAAACTCACTAAATGGTGCCATCCGCACACCCAACCACAACCTCCTCATGGCTCATCTGCATCGACATCGGGTTCTTCTCGGGCGTCGCCATCCCGCCAAACTTGTTCGGCAGGCCACCGAGCAGCCCACGAAGCGGGCCGGGCGGGTACGGCGGCGTCGCGAGATTGCCCCATGCGCCGCCGAGGGAGACAACGTCCGTGTCGATGTCGACGTCACCCGCTGCCGAGATCGAGGCCACACTGTGCGCGGCGGTGGTGCCCGTGAGCACCGAGCTCGAGCGCTTGCTCGCACTCGTACGCTCTTCGAGATCGTCCCACTCGTCGCGCTCGTCGTCGTCCTCCGCGGAGACGCCCAACGCGCTCGGCAGAGGCGTCTCTTTCTCGATATGCTCCGAGATGAGAATCTACACCATACCCCGTTGTCAGCACCTCCGCTAAAACGCGCAAAGTCAACAAAGCTAAACGGCAAATCACTCACCCTGCGATCCGCTCCCGCCCTCGAACTGAACCTCGTAGCCGTAACAACCCGCCGCTTCCTCGCGTCCACCGCGCCCACCGCCACATCCGGTGTCTCCACAACCGCCACGAGCTTCGGCGGCGCCGTGAGCACCGCCGCCCTCCCAAACCGGATCTGGAACCCCCCATCGCCCCCGCCCATACTACTCGCCCGCCCGCCCGCCGACATCGGCGTGAACGGCCTCGCCCCGCCCGGACCCGTGCTCATCGTCGGCGAGATCGGTGTCCCAGGCGTGAGCGGCGTCCCGGGCGCGCCAAGGCTGAAGCGCTTCCCGCCCGTGGAACTCCTGCTCCCAGAGACCGAGGACGTCGACACGCCGAGCCCCGAGGCCCGCCGGTTGGGCGTGACGACGGATGAGGTGGAACGGCCCAGGGCGGAGACGGTGCGCATCCGCGGGTCGGTCGTGCTCCGCGAGAGCACGGGGGAGAGCGCGGACTGACGTCCGCCGACGGGGCTGTCGACAGATTCGGCAGCGAGTTTCTGCTCCTCGTCGCGAGTGGCGGTCGCCTCTGTCCACTGGAGGTGCAGAATGACGGATTTGGTGGCGCACTATGTGAATCGTTTGTAAGCGTGCGGTTCAACCCAAACGGAACGAAATACAGCGTACAGTCATCTGCGTGCCCTTGGCAGCGAACCACTGCAGCATATTATTCGGCGCCGCACCAACATTGTACAGCCTCGCGTTCAACACCGGGTCGTTCCCACCCAGCTCCGACAGCTTAAACTGCGACACCATCTCTCTTCTCTCTGCAAAAGCCCTCATCAGCCCTCTCCCACTGAAACCCCTTCGCGAATAGGAAAAACGAAAAACACACTGATCGAGAAAACCCTAACAATCCCATCAATCGTAACCCCCACCACCCTCTCCCCCTCACCCGTGCGTGGATCGTCGCCCTCGGGCGCAGCAATAATCTGCACGCCGATATTGATCGTCGTCTGCTGCCCAAACCTCACGATCTTCGTGCCCGCGCGCCAGTCCCAGCACACGAGCGCCTTGTCCGCGCCAGCCGAGACGAGGTTCCTCGAGCTGAGCGCGACGGCGCGGATGCCGTTCAGGTGCCCCGCGAGCTGCTGCAGCGGGGTGAAGGTCACGGAGGAGTAGAGGTGGACGCGTCTGCATGGCTACGTGTGAGCAGGCGACTGAGGAGCAGCTGCTGGGGAGGGCTTACCCGACGTCGTGGAAGCCTACGACGAACACCTCTGACGTCGATAACCGTTGTTGAGTAGAGTGCGTTGACATGATATAGCGAGAAGAGAAGAACGCACCTTCCTCCGCCAAAAAGTCGACACAGCTCACGGGCTTCTTGACCTGCAGACACTTCTTCATCTCGCCCGTCTCGATGTCCCAGAACCGGATCGTCTCGTCGTACGAACCACTGATCAGCCGCTTGCCTGCCCGCGCACACACGAGTCACTCCAGTTAGTCCAGCGCCCACACCCCCGATTATGCAAGCGAAATGGACCGACCTCGGAGAAGCAACGTCGTGCAGAACCCCGTGTGCCCACTGAGGAACCGTATGCTCTGCGGCAGCCCATTCCGGAAATTGGCCTCACGGTGGTGCAGCGACCTATACAGCGGATACCTATACACAAATGCCCTCTCAGTCAGCCCTCCCTTCCCTCATACTCATCAACCTAGCCAGTAAAAGAGCAACTCACCACCCATCCGGGCTCGCAGGCGCCCTCACCGGCACCGGATCGTTCTTCGTCAGGCGCAGACAGTGGAAGCGCCACAGCAGCGGATGGTGCACGGCCTCGTACCACCGCCTGCTCACCAGTGACGCGCGGAGCACCTCACGCACCGTGAGGTGCCGGAGCACGCGCAGCGCGAGGTCGGGCGCGAGCGCGCCGAGCACGTCGAACGTCGACTTGGCGTACTTTTCGAGGAGCAGGATCTGCAGGCGGATGTCTCCGGGGAGCAGGGCTGCATGCGGTGCGGGGTCGGATGTTAGCAGGGTGATCAGGAAGGGAAAGGAGAATAAGGATGCGAGCTTACAGTCGAGGATGATGCCCATTCTAGGTGGATTTGCAGTGCAGTCAGACGAGCCCCACGAACCATGAGTCAATGACAGAGCAGAAATCATGACAGAACGAGACTCACAGCCGACTCCTCGCCTCCCTCTTCAACCCCCTCACGGCCCTTCTCACCTCCCGATCATTAAAGTTGCCCTTGCCGTCCCCCTTCAGCGCCTTACCCAAATCCACACCTCCCTCCTCGCCATCCTCGCCGTCATCCTCCTCATCGCTCCCGTACACCGCAAACCTGCTCCCGGCCCAGTATCCACCCCTCTTACGCCTTCCGCAAACACACATCCCGGGGTCGAGCGTCATATCCGAATTCGACGCGGTGATAGTCAGCGCACCCGGTTTGGTGTTAGAGGAGGAGACCTGGCGGCGGAGAAGGGCGACTTCGGCCTGCAGCGCGTACGCCTGGGCTGCCGTGCTGGCTTGTGCGCGCTCGAGAAGGCGCTTGTAGGCGGTGAGCTTGGAGACGTGGAGTGTGCGGAGGTTGTCGAGGGCGGCGTCGATCTGCGGGGGTGGTTGGGAGTGGTGTTGTCAGCGAAAGGTAGAAAGAAGGAAAAGGGCGAGGAAGGCAGGAAGTATTTTTTGGGATATAGAACGTAGGGGAAAGAGAGGCGGAGACGGAGACGGTCCACGCGGTATAGACGAAGACGTAATGCGGGAAGCAAAGTACCGAAATGAATAAAGAAAACGCACCTCCTCGTCCCCCTCCCCATCCTCAGTAACCATCTCGAGCCCATCGTCGTCGCCATCGTCCCACCCTTCCCATACCCTACTCGCATCCGTCATACCATCGTCGTTGACGCTGCCCATCGCCCCGTTTGCTGCATCCGAATCACCGAGCAACGCCACAGGCTCGCGGTATCCCCGGCTGACGGAGGACGCACCAGATCCTTGAACCCGGCTGCGCTGCGCCCGTTCGCCGAGAGAACCGGAGAGGGAACGCGAGGCGGAAGGGGAGAGTTTCGTCGGCGTGTTCTTGGAAGCGGATCGGGACGGTGTTATGGATGCGGGTGCCTTGGAAGGGGTAGTCTTGTTTTTGGCCGGTGTACCGCCGTTCTGCTGAGCGGCCCGCTTCGTGGGGGACGCAGATGGCGTAGCGACGTCGAGTGAGGAAACGGATGTGCTGCTCTCTGTGTGCGCCAGCAGGCTCCCGCGCTTCCCAGCAGGGCTCGGTGAGCTGAGCTTGATCGTCGGCGAAACAAACGTTGAGCTTGCATCGTTCACCGGCGGGACAAAGACGCGAGCCGAGGATCGTGAGGGTGTCGCGACACTCTCGCTCACCACGCGCGGACGGCGTGGTGTTCCTGCCACGCTAGCAGCGTAGCTACTTGGCTGCCTACCAGCATCCACGCCAAGATTACGCTGAGCAACGTGTTCCTCGGGAGGCGAAGACACCATCCTGGGGAATGCCGGCGGTGCCCCGCTGCCGATCGTCGATGAGGTGCGGGCCATCCGCCGGGTGCTCGCCACGGAAGTTGAACCACCAACGTTCTGGACCGAAAGCCTTCGTGCCGCGCTGACTGAGGGTGATATGGGCGATGCCAGCTCGCGCTCGCTCGCTTGGAGGGAGAGGAGCGGAGCGGACACCCGGCGGGACGATGAGAAGGACGGGATGGCGGACTGGCGTCTGATATGGCCATTGGGGTTGCCATTATTGCTGCCAGTGACAGTCACACTCGTGGCCACGCTCGACGTCGATTTGTGGTTAGAGGATGAGTTTGAAGAGGACATCTTGACGGTGGTTGCGCCGCTGACGTTGCTGGCGTTGGAGAAGGAGCGGGATAGCTTGGACGCGTTGCCGGTGGTGGATGTTCTGACGCTGCGGCGCGTAGAGGCCTCGCTTGGCGCTGGCATGACGCCGATTACTAAAAGACCCGCTTAGCGAGTTATTATTCAAGAATGAAAGAGAAAAAGAAAGACAAAAGTGAGGAAGAATGAGGAGATGGAGGTGGAAATGAGCTGAACCGTGCACGCGTCCGTTGTCTCCTCCCACTCAACGAGCCAATGAGAATGACGTCACGTGTCTCGGCTTTTCAGCCACTCAACGTACTCAACCCTTTGTTTTCTGCCTCCATGGTCAAATCGACCGCCACCTACGTTCAGAGTCTGCAGTAACTCGTATGAGAATGCTCCATCATGGGTAAGACTGTGATCAGCGTCTCATCATTTCTTGATGCAGCGTCTGACCGGTTTTGTGTCTGGGATTACCGCTGACCTAGAGGAAACTCGCTTACTACGATGACTGCTTTCATTAGTGAGGTCCTCTACATCAGTGAGGCATAGCATCGCCTGAAACGCGATTTACACAACTGGTAAATCCAGCGTCCCGCATGCTACGATTACTTTTCTCAAGAAGTGGCACTTATTTAGGCACTCAAACCTCCACCATGGCTGATGTCGTTAGAAATCCAAGAAGGCTCGAGAATCTACCGCAAGCACCTCAATCTGATTCTCTTCGTCGCCTCTAATGATATAGCACTCTAGCGTGACGGTGATATCACTGTCAAGCATTCTCCCATTATAGGTTGCACATCGGCCTCAGGCCCATTACTCTGGCGCTGCATTCGTCAAATGTGGCACCCAAGGTATCGGGCGCGCCATAAACATACGGCATTCAGATGACAGGCTCCACCTTGCGATGGCTGAATCGCCGTCTAAGCGGAACTTAGTAGAAGAGCGTGCGCCGCATCTGGAAAGTGCCGTCCATACAGGGCTCTGTAAGTCCATCGGACCAGGGCTGTATTCCAGTGATTCTGATCTATGAGCTGTTACGCAGGCAAAGCTCCATCTAAATTGAAGACGCTTGAACCGGGGATCCCATGGCAAGGTATTGCATATTCATCGGTGAGCCAAGATCGGTGAGCCAAAGGGTTTCCCTTTGTGATGAAGGTCGTTATCACTGTAATAAATCCAGTTGACCATAGCAGCCTGTCTCGGAGTACTTGCTGAGCCGAGGGGCACAGCGGGGATGTCTTACGTACCTTGCGTCTCCAGGCGCGCGTTACACCACCGGTACAATTTCCCTCTTTTCTTTTAGAACCGCGTGGGCCAATCGTGGACGATTCCTCGCGGTATGATCCTAGGTCAGATTGTGAGTAGCGCTCTTGGCAGCTTGCACTGTCTTGCGGAGTTGAGCAATGCCTATTTATGCCATTATAGGTGGAGTCATTCAATATGTCTGATATGGTAACGCAGCGCCTCCATTCCGATTTCACCCTCGAAAACTGAGGATTCCCCAATTCTGTGCTTTACGTTCGTTTCCAAGTTAAGCTTGAACATTCAATAAGAAAACTTCGGTGATACCAAGTGTATTGATGAGAGATTCAGCTTTCATTCTCTTCGCTTAGCCAATCAGTCATGATTGCAGTATCTAGACGCCTACGATCACGAACGTTTAAATACCCTGACATCGAGGATCTCAGGTCAATTTAAGCTATCTGCTTTATCACCCACCACAATGCTCACAGCTAAAGGCGTCGCTCTCGTCACAGGCTGCGCACAAGGTATCGGACGAGCCGTTGCCCAGCGGCTCGCCTCCGATGGGTTTCACCTTGGCCTATGCGACTTGCAGGCAAAGCGGGAGCCGGTCGAAGAGCTTGCTTCCGAGCTGTCGAAGCGCCACCCTGAATTGCAGACGACTGTAGTCCTGGGTGATGTTAGCGCTGAGGATCAAGTTCAAAACGTGGTCGAGAGTGTAGTCAAGACTTTGGGCGGCATAGACACGGTGAGCTCTGGAATCATTCATCGAGCGCACGAGAGTTAACGTGACTTGCTTCTCCTTTGTCCCTTTCAGCTCGTAACCTGCGCTGGAATAGCTTCCATCAACACGATTCAGAGAAGTGAGTTGCTCGTCTCTTTGGTGGCATGATTTACAGCTCATCACATCATTTCAAATCCCACCTGCCCTTAGTAACCGAGAAAGAATGGGAAGGCGTATTCGCCGTCAACACCAAGGGCACCTTCTTCTGCTATAAGCACGTCGGCCATCAGATGATTATACAGGGAAGGGGTGGTCGCATTATCGGTATCAGCTCTCTCGCTGGAAAGCGAGGTGCTAACCAGTCAACATTCCTCCATGTTATCTACCTAATATGAGCGTTTTTAGGGATGTTCCTCGGCAGCGCTTACTGTGCTTCAAAGTTCGCAGTACGCGGCCTGACTCAGTCTGCGGCGGCGGAATATGGACCCCACAATATTACCGTCAATGCTTGTGCCCCAGGCGCCATCGAAACTCCCATGTGTGAGTTCATGGTCCTCGACTCTTGTAGACTGCAATCTCACGGATTGGCTTAGTAAAAGAGTGTTTCGAGAAGGCCAAACTATACGATAACGAGAAAGCGGTTTTAGCTCAGATCAAGGTAAGCAAAAGATGCAATGTGTATGTATTCTTACCTGTATAAAACCTCACGTCGTTCGTGCCGTCTTATCTGTTACAAAGCCTATCATCGGGGACACCGGTCAACCAGAGGAAGTTGCAGGGTTGTATCATACCTTGCATCACCGGAGGCCCGTTTCATTACCGGTTTGTTGTCCTTTCTGAGCCACATCATCGTAATATACTGACATTTACACCAAATGACACCATAGGTCAAACCGTACGTGTTTCTCAGTTTGTCTCAGCAGCTGTGGCTGAATCATACGTAGATATCGATCGACGGCGGAACTTACTTTGACTAATAGTAACCGACAATAATCCCGTCATGGGAACCATGGTGAAGTGACCATGTCTCAGAAACATGTGTAAACTACTTAAATACGTGGAAGTTCGAACAGATTTCATGTCTTTTACTATCGCTGATAATGCTGCACGAACAACATCTCGTGAGGACTAGCGATGAAAATATAACAGGGGCGGGTCCAATCTCCCCTCACCAAATCCTTCAGTAGGCTGTAAGGTGTCCTTGAAGCACTGAGATGCTAGCCGGAAGCCTTCAAGTAGTCGACTAATGATTAATGATGTAGCAATCATCCAATGCGTGTACGAATAACTTTGCACCACATACGATTTAGATAGTAGACACATGCCGTAGTACAGATGTTGCGCCAATTTTATGTACTGATACTGCAAACAACCACATTAATCCGAAGAGCCAACTCCGTCATTACGTTAATTCCTGTGAGTTTTGAGTCGTGTAATTTTAGCTGAAACAAACTCCACCATCAATGGAAATCTAAACATGCATCAGTCACGTTTGACACAGCCCGTATAAAAGATCACGAACGGCCTGTCCTGTAGACACAACAAATGTAAGTATAGGCAAACTAAAAAGACATCTATTAAAGCACACCTGTAACAAACCGGCTCTCTGCAGATGCAAGGTAAGATACCAGACCTGCGACGTCCTCTGGCTGACCGATGTCGTCTACGACAGGCTTGTAGGCGGACTAAGAGGGATACGATAAGCTATCGTGTTGATAATGATGCATCAGCCGTTCGCCTACCATCGCCTGAGTAAGAGCGTCTATGGTACCATCAAGCCTTGCCTTATCAAATGTTTCTCTAACTAGATAATTCAGAATACTACAACAGCACCAACCATAGATGATAGACTCACCAAGGGGCGTGTTGATAATACCAGGCGCGCAAGCATTGACAGTGATGCCGCGGGGCCCAAACTCCGATGCCGCCGACTGTGTGAGCCCACGTACCGCAAACTTCGAAGCGGAGTAAGCACCTCCGCGGGCCATACCTGAAGTATTTCATGCACGTATCAATATGATAGCGTGGATGGGTGTCACCAGGGAAATTGAACCTTTCTTTCCCACCATCGAGCTTATGCCAATCATGCGGCCACCACGTTTCTGCAAGATCATTTGCTGCCCAACATATTTGTAGAAGAAGAAGGTGCCCTTGGTATTGACAGCGAATACGTCGTCCCATTCTTTCTCTGTGGCTATAAATACAATGTTCAGCTTTGAGCGACAGCTCCTCATGGTCTGATCATGAATGCTCACTTTCCCAAAGCGATTTCACTGGAGCTATCCCGGCACAGGTGACCAGCTAATGGTTGCGCAGATCGACTGTTAGTGCTCATAGTTTGAACCTAGTAGAGAGATAATATCCGGACTCACTGTGTCTATGCCACCGAGGCTCTTGACCACGCTGTTGATCGTGTTTCGGACTTGATCCTCAATGCGAACGTCAGCGAGAGCGATAGCAGTCCGTACGTTGGAATGGCGCCTCGACAGCTCGGAAGCAAGCTCCTCGACGGGCTCACGCTTTGTGCGCAAGTCGCATAGACCAATGTGGAATCCGTCAGAAGCGAGACGCTGAGCGACGGCGCGTCCGATGCCCTGGGCACATCCGGTGACGAGAGCGACGCCTTTTACTGCGGACATGGTAGCGGTTGGCTGATAGTTGCGATGATTCAGAGCTGAACTTATACCCTCTGTGTGAGTGATAGAGTTTCAGTGCTCACGTTCTCAATCACAGGCATCCTGAAATAGCATAAGATGTGTGTTCATAGAAGGTTCAGAGTTACTGTAGTTAGAGCATGTACGACGCCAAATGGTTCAAGTCATTGCCGTGAATGCATCACGGTGGACTAGGGAGCGAGGTACGGAAGTCACGTGATCTACAGCGATGACAAAAATGAGCAAGAACAGATTGCTTTTTTTCATTCTATGTTTGGCTTGCGAGCACTTGCAACTACGCAGTCTCAGGTTCTTCCAGCGATCAGTCGAAGTGGAGGCCACCGTCGATAGATATCTGCGAACGTCTCTTGTCATCTTGATAATCCAACTATCTTGGGAAAATAACAATTACCGTTTGACCTTGATACGGCAAAGGGAGTCGAGTTAGTCGGTTTCGAAAGCATGTAGAAATCAAGGAACATGCCAGTCATAAAGCGTGAGTCGGCCGATGCAAGGTACGATACCAGGCCCGCGACGTCCTCAGGCCTCCCAAGTGTACCTAGCGGGGAAGCATTTGGATTCTACGGAGGAGACCGGGGTATCAGCACGTACAGATAAGCCACCAAGCTTGAGATCGGGTTAGACCAGATACGCTCACCACTGTATGCTCGAGGCCGGACTTGCCGCCCTTGGCGAGCTTCTCTACTTCAATACCTGCATCTCTGACTACGAGGATAAGTGATCAGAATGACCTTGAACGCTTCCAAAGGACTCACACATTGGAGTTTCGATGCTCCCCGGCGCACATGCGTTTACGGTGATTCCATGCTTCCCGAGCTCTAACGCTGCGGCCTGTGTCAGTCCACGTACGGCGTACTTCGAGGCGGAGTACGATACAAATAAGGGAAGCGCTGACGCAGGATACCTCGTGGTTAGAATTCTGATGTCAGAAAGCGAAAGTAGAGTAGTAGCACCTCGTTTACCCCCAATAGAGCTTATGCCGATGATGCGCCCTCCGCGGCCCTGCTTGATCATCTGTTGTCCGACATGTTTATAGTAGAAGAATGTGCCCTTGGTGTTGACGGCAAACACCCTGTCCCATTGTTCCTCGGTGGCTAAGGTAATGTCACGAAACGCCACTCTGAGTGATCAGTGTTCCTATGGCTAACGCGCAGGCTTACTATCGAGCAAGAGCGTGGGAGGGGCTATACCGGCAGCGGTGACCACCTGTAATGCATGAAGAAGCCATCAGATCACCGTTGGCAGACGTAGGCCCAATTCGAGAAGGTTGCAAGCACAAGGGAATGTGAAAGATACTCACCACATCGATTCCACCTAGATTCTCGACGATGTCCTTCACCGACGTCCGTGCGGTCTCCTCTGCGCTGACATCGCCAAGCACGACATGCGTACGCAAATCAGAGCGACGCTTCGACAGCTCGTGCGCCAGCTCCTCGACAGGCTCCCGTTTCGTCGGCAAGTCGGTGAGCGCGAGATGGAAGCCGTCGGAGGCGAGGCGAGTGGCAATGGCTCGGCCGATGCCTTGAGCACATCCTGTGACGAGAGCGACACCTTTGTGAACTGCGAGCATGGTCAACGAGAGCAAGGCTATAGGCCTGAATGTTTGACCTGTGGGTTGATAGACAAGGGGCATTCATTTTGCTCGCATGAAGCCTGGATAAGCCAACCAGTACTGGGTGAGCGAGAGACCGTGCGTAGAAGAAGAGTCATCTGCTCGAGAGATAGCGATCATACCAAACGCGTGTGAGTTGGTTGTATAGTCTCTCCCGTCACCTGGGTATCACCACGAGCGCACAGAAACTATCACCACGAGCGCACAGAAACCCCGAGAGATGAAGACCATACAAACAATGGAAGGTAGGATACCTAAGCGATGCGTCGCATGGCGAGAACGCAGTACCTGACGACGGTTTGTATATATGTAGTCGCAATCTGACAAGGGGCCGGTATCTGAGTGAGACGCCGTTGTTGACAACACATGATATACCAGTCGAGAAGAAGAGATCCAGCCATACGGGAGCCTCCAAGAAAGCAAACTGGCCTAGGAATGTCGTCTACAAGATCGCCCGAACATTTCCCACAGTCGAAAGATACTTCAGGTTCGCGGTGCAGTTCGAGTCGGCAGCTTGAGCGAGCAGCGAACCATCGTTTTGATCCTGGTTGATGGCCATCGTATAGAACTGAAGTTGCTTCGTAACGCTGAAGAGAGTCTGCCGTCGACGCGCTGCGCGATGGTGGCTGGGTGAGACAACCTCCGACCATTTCGGAATCGGACCACGCGTTCCCCAGAGCTGCGCAGACTTCCCACGGTCGTTGCACCATGTCCTCCTCCAACGCGCGCGTCGAAGACACCTACGAGATCCAGAACGACCAGCGCCTCGACGACCTCCACTCGAAGATACGAACACTAAGAGGAGTGCGCCCCTCCATGTCTCTGCGCCTCACCGATGGACTCTTACGTGCACCGTCTTGTCACAGGTGACGACTGACATACACGATGATGTGGAGAGGCAGAACTTGACGCTGGACGACGCGGTGCGCTCTCTATATCCGTACCTCTATGCTCTGGGATACTTAACCTTACACTATCCAACCATAGGGCAACGTGTTTAGCTCCTTCGGTGCAACGCTCTCGCAATCATCACGACGCGCTGGCCAAGCGTTCGGGCTGACAGGGCACGGCGGCGTACGGCAGTCGCGTATCATCCTCTACATCGTAGGAGGTGTCGTAGGCCTATGGTTCATGTACAAGCTGTCATCTTTCGGGCTCGGAGGCTCGCCTGCGCAGTGAAGGAGGGCCTGTAGGGTGCAGTTGCAGTTATGGAACAGAGAGCCGCGAAGAGGTTGTATGATGTACGTCCTGTAATGTGTGCGGCTTCCTGTCTATCACTTGTTTTCTGACACACACGTCTGATATTGCAGGATTGGACTTTGATACTTGGATATATGTTAACGATACGAATTGGTACTTAATCTATGCCATGACGCTGCGCTCCGCAGCTCCGGTTTTTGCCTTGCACTAATACGGCCCACCCAAACGCTCTTGCTCACAGCTTTCACTTCGCGCACATCAACAGTTCACCTCGTCTTGCTTTTCCATGCCAAGAATCGACGAGTCACCCAAGGGACGATGTTCAGCACACGAGTGCGCGTATTATCTAGGTGTGTCAAAGAAGATACAGCAACTAACTACAATACTTGAAATAGCATCCGTCATCGTCCTACACTACATTAAGACATACACCGCTAATGTGTCCCAGACACCTCAGCGCAACTGATATCGTATACTTCGGTGCCTCAGGAGAACCCAGTCAATCGCGAGCCCAGAGTCTATGCTCTCCACCCTATCCCCAAATCACAAACGCAAAGGTCCAAAATCTCCCGCCCAGAATCCAAATCCGCACAAGCTCAAGAACAAAGAATAAAGAAAACAAACCCAACCCCAGCCGCGCTCCCCTCACATCAACCTCTCCTTGTCCGTAACAGCCTTCAGCCAAATCTCGCCCGGCCGACTCCTCTCCCTCAGAACCCGCCACACCTTCCGGCACCCCTTCGCCCTCTCCCCGCGCATCCGCTCTGCCACGCTCTCCGCTCGCGGCGGGAACGCGCGCGGGCCGCACCGATCCTGCAGGTCCGCGAGCCCCTCGTTCGTGCCCTCCGCCTCGAGCACGACCGTGCCGTGCCACCCCGGGTCGACGAACGCGCCTTCGACGCCGGGTATGGGCAGGCGCGGGCGCGCGGACGGGGTGGACAGGTCTGACGGGGCTGCAGGGCGCGGTGGCGGGCGGAGGACGAAGGAGGAGCGGTGTACCCACCGGACGACGTTGTGCGACGCGCCGTGTTGCCTGTTTCGGTACAGACATCAGCTGTGTGCCCTTTCGTGAAAATGGGGGAAGTTGGCTGATACACACGTTTCTGTCCGCGCTCGATCCTGTATGAGCTGCAGGTTCGCAGCGATCTCGCTGCCCCACGGGCTCACATCCACATGCACGACCGGATTACCAGAGCCACGAATAACGCGGTGGAAGTAACTCGGCGCGAACCCCAAACTGTGGAAGTAGGGGGGCAGCTCTCCAGCGCGGTTAAACCTAAAGTCCAGATCCTGCCGGCGCATCCACGCAGTCAAGTCAGCAAAGCCAAACGAACACAGAAGACAGCGGGAACAAGGACACGCACGACAAGATACCGCCCATCCCACACCAGCCTTCCGACGTTGCCCTCTTCGCCGACCGCCACGTCCCATACGACATCGCCGGTTCGAAGCAGGGCCGTCACGCCCGCGCGGTCCAGCTCGGTCTCGCACCCGAGCACGCTCTCGTCCGAGAGCCAATCCCCGTCCGGGCTGGGCACGAACACGCGCAGGAGCGGTGCGCGCTGCGGTTTGTACAGCGGCGAGCTGAACCCGCCGCTGTTCCCACCATTTCCAGCGGGAGCAGCGAGAGAGATAGAGGAACCATTGGCGTGGTACGTCGAGCCTGAAGACGCAGCGGTTGAACTACGCCCGTGCGCACGCGCAAAGGAAGAGGGCCCGTGTCCGTGTCCATGCCCAAACCCGTGCCCGTGACTCGACGTCGGGCTCGGCGCTCGACTATTCGCGCGGCTGCTGGTGCCTCGTTTGCCGTTCTCCCGACCTCTTTCTCCGTCCTGTGGCTGGCTCGTGGCGGCCTCCCTCGCGCGTTGCCTCATGATCGCATCCGCTTGAGCACGCAGACGCAGCACGACGCGCGTGTACGCGCGGGCGGTAAGTGCAAGCGTCTCCAGGGGCGGCACGTCATCTGGCGGCGCCTCGCCCGGCGCGAGCACGCGCGGCTGGAGGTACGTCTGCGCGTACGCGGCGTACTGGAACATCGGGAGGGCGACGCCGCGCATGTAGTTGTGCAGGTCCTGTGTACATACTCGGCGGTCAGTACCTCCGTTCCATACGACCCACTGTCAAGGAAATGGGGCAATAGAAGAGTAAACGCGCCTGCAGCCCAAGTACGACTGGTGGCTCCCGCCCCCATCCTTCAGCACCCGCCTCCCACGGTTTGTACCCAACAACGCCCAGAAATCGCTCCAGCACACATTCGACGACGGCCCGCTGAGCGCCAAAAGCCTCGCGCGACGCCTTGCTGACCGCATGTAGTGACACCCAGTCCGCATACGACAGGTACTGGAGCACGAGCCCCACTGCATGCGCATCGCACGCGAAATCCTTCAAGCCACTGTATACCTCTAGCTCTTTCTCCTCTGCCCCTTCGCCCTTGACGGGCTCGCGCGGGATATGCGCCCACCCACGCCACGGCTCCGGCTCTCGCTCCTCTGTAACACGGAGATTCTCCCCATCCAGCTCGAGCTCGCGGCCTGCGGACGTGGACCTTCTCCTCGACCCCTGCTCCTCTTCGCGCTCTCCCGACTTCGTCCGCTGGCGCTCGAGAATCTCGTGGTCCAACCCGGGCGTGCTCGACCCGTTCGCGGGATAATGCAGCACCTGCACGCCGTCGACCCGCGCGAACGGGTCGTCGTCCAGCATCAGACCCTCGTCCAAATCCAGCTCCCTATCCCTCCTCTCGTCCCTGTCCTTGTCCCTATCACCGGACGCGACACGCCCGCTGACGGGCGGCGACCCCGGCGTCGTCGGGCGCACCTTCGTCAGCACCCTCCTGGGGCCGTTCCCATTTGAAAGCACGCTGGACGCCGTAGGCGTCATCGGGGTCATCGGGGTCACCACGTCCCTCTCCTTCTCCCCGCTCCCACCGCTATCCACCCTCTCCCTCATCCCCTCGCCCCCATCTCCTCTCCCCACTCCACTAGCACTAGCACTAGCACCAGCACTGTCCTTCCTCACCCTCACCCCCACAACCGTCCCCGCACTCTCCTTCCGCCCCAGCCCAAACGCCCCACCCCCGCCCGAACACAGCCCCGTGCTCTTACTTAGCTTCCTTGGCCGTGCGTCCGGCACCGGCTCGAACGGCACGACAGGCCCACCGCGCTCATCCCCGTCGGGCGGGGGCGGCGGCAGACTCTCGCGGCGCGCGAGCGGGAGGGGCGAGGGTGGAGGGAGGTCGGGGTCGCTCTGGGCGTTGAAGATGAGCGGTCCGCGGTGGGGCGGGGCGACGTCGCTGAGGCGTTTGATGGGCGGGTGGGGTTGGGGAGGGGCGAGGGTGTTCGCGTGCACGTGCTGAGGTGGTGGAAGTTGAGGCTGAGGTGGTGCCTGAGGTTGAGGTGGTGCCTGAGGTTGAGGTGGTAGTTGAGGTTGACGTTCCTGAGAGGGCGCCTGGAGCTGGGGCTGGGGAAAGGACGATGTGTGGTACTGCTGTGCGTGCAAATGCTGCAGTTGCGGGTGCAGCGATGGCTGCTGCAGGGGCTGCAGCTGTGGCTTGGCCTTTGGCTGGTACTTCACTTTCGGCTGCAGCGAGGGCTGCTGTTGCTGCTGCTGCACCTGCTGTTGTTGTTGTTGTTGTTGTTGCTGCTGCTGCTGCTGCTGCTGCTGTTGCTGCTGAACCTGCTGCATCCGATGCACATACGACCCCGCCCGATGCGGCGGTGGCGGCGGTGGCGGTGGCGGCGCGAACGCCTGCGCCGGATCCTGCGCCCTCGCAGGCCCCTGCATCTGCATCTGCATCTGCGTCCTTGGATCCTGTCCCCGATACACCTGCATCGGCGCACCAGCCCCCGGCGGGAGCGGAAACACCAGCCCGCTCGCCGAACCCTGGCCTGGTGCTCGCACACCACCCATACCATTCGCGTAGTTCGCGCTCGGACGATGTCCCTCCGAATACCCCTTCGTGTGCCCGTTTTGTGCCCCGTACCCGTTCGCATGCCCATAGCCGCTGTTGTTCGCGTTCGCGAGGCGCGGGTCCCGCATGGCCGTCGGAGGACCTCTGCTCGCCGCGCTTGTGTTCGCTCTCGCCGGCGCCCCACCTCCCGTGCCTGCGCCCGCGCCCGTACGGATCGTCGGAGGTGCGTACGAGTGCGACGTCGACGCCGAGCGGGCCTTCGGGACGATGACGCCCTTCGTCGGCGGTTGACTCTGCGGGATCTGGGGCTGCGGGTGCTGCTGGGAAGGATGATGTTGAAGTTGGTGAGGCTGCGAACGGGGCTGCGACGGTAGTGCCTGCTGGTGCCGGTGCAGATGCTGCGGTATCTGCGGGAGCTGTGCGCCGGGTGGTGGGAGCGCGCTGTTCATCGCAGAAGCGTCGCGAGGGTAGGCTTGTGGAGGGCCCGGAGGGGAGGTCTGTTGTGGTGGACCCTAGAGGCAGCAGAAACATTAGGAGACGCGCAGTTTATAATTGGAGCGAGACTGGTGCGCACAACGAGCGAGGAGCGCTGGGCGTTGCTACTGCTGCTTGGACTCCGACCACGGAGGTTGCTATTACCGGCGCTAAAGTCAACATTTTCGCCGTTCGGCGCTGTGGTCTGACGAACGTTCCATCAGCAGGGCGCTCGATTATGAAATCATCGGGGCAAAAGTGGACAAAACCGAAGGAGGAGAGCACACAACAGGAGAAGCAGCCTCCAAAGCAGAGACGAGCTTCTCAACGTTCCTCTCATTGACAGCTTCCCCGCACCCGCATCACGATCGCAAGACTTGAAACGAACAACGCACCTTCCTAAACGCCGACGGAGGTCTCACAGCAGACGAACTGGGCGCACCAGTCCCAGGGGGCAGGCGATGCGCAGTTGGATCGTTGGGTTCAGGGTCTGTAGAAGGTGGACGCGGTGGGCGTAATGAAGATTTCGATGGCTTGCGTGGAGGTGCAGGGAGATTCGCGCTCCGCTCTCGCGACGGCGACCGGACAGGAGGCGAGCGCGAGGGCGGGGGTGGGGCGTACATCTCAGCGGGGCGGACGTTTGGGAGGGCTTTGGTAGTGTGGGCTGGTGTAGCGTTTGTTGATCTGTGCTGTTGGTGCTGTTTAGGCTGTGTAGGTGATGACGAAGGCGATGGCAAGGGGTGTGGAGGAAGTGGTCGTGGAGACATATTCGCTGCTTTGGGGCGTCATCTAATGATATTTTGAAATAACATAGAGAGCAATAATGACGCACCTGCACTGCTCGTGTTTCTCCCGAGCATTCTGATCCCGTTAGACGTAAATGGTTCGTGCGCTTGATCCCTCTCGTTCTCCCTTTCTAGCGAGTCAGAGCGCAGTCCGGACGTGGCGGGCAGCGGTGGAGGAGTTGGAACAGGAGACGCGCTTTCGCCAAACTGCTGCCATGCGCTCCAGTTCTCGTACACCGTCCCGCGTGTCTGCTCTGGGTCTACAACTTCTCCTCTGGCCACCAACTCCTTTCCAACTGGAACCGGTGGTGGAAGCTCCTTCTCCACTCTCGCAGCTGGGTGCCCATTTCGCTCGACCACTCTGCTGCTCGCTGCAGGATCCAGAGGTAACGCCCGATCCAACCTTGAGCTCAAGCCCAAACCGTGGGGGGCGTGTACGTCAGAGCCTGGTGTTGCAGGTTGAACACTAGAGCTCGCAAACCGCGCATATAAGGGAGGTATGGGTGACCCGGAACCAGAAGATAGACCTACACCCCCTCTCGGACTGGGTGCTAGAGCAGGTAGATCTGGGAGTTGTGGCGGGGAAGAGGGCAGGGGCTTGATACCGAGCTTTGCTGGGCCGGAGATGAGGACCTCACCGCCGCCTTTGCGTTCTGATTTCTTGCGAAGAAACCCCATCATTGGTGCGATATGGGGTCTTATTGTGACCCTGTCCTTTGTATGTCGAGAGATACGGGCGCGAGAAGGTACTGGAAGGAGAACGTCGACGTCGGGAGCAGGAAAAGGAGCGTTTAGGACAAGGTGGATGGAGAAGAAGAGGAGGATGCGTGTCAAACGCGCGGTGAATCGGATCCGAGGGAGAAAAGACACGTCCCAAGTGCAGATAAGATTTGGTGTATGAGTTCAGCGGTGGCGTGCCGTGATTAAAGAATGGATGATGCTACTCCAGACATGTGCGCTATGACCTGAAAAAAGCGGAGATGGTGGGTGGAAGAGGGAAGAACAAAAGGGCGATGTCTCTGTTGTCTGGTGTCTGAGGCGTTGCGCTTGACAATAATGACAGGGCACAGATTGCTTCCGCACGTCATCCATCCTTTCCCCGACATCAATCCCACTTCATCTCCGGCAAACATCGTGCATCTCCCCGTGCCGCTGTTGCCGCACGCGTTCTGAGCTCCCATCTTGGTTAGTCGTTTGTTCTCATCTTTCCTCTTACTCTTTGAGCCTGTATGCGTCAACCGTCCTTCACCCTTGCAATTCGCGCGCACGATTACACCTAGAGTATCCAATTTAACGCTTACAAAGCGCTCGGGACCGACCTCACAATGGCTAAAGCGGCCTAACACTTCGGTATCCTTCCATCTCGTCGCGGAGCGCGCGCCGTTCTCTAAATTAATCTTCACCGCAGCACGCCGACACACGGCCCGCCACGGCTGCCCGAGCTCGTTCTCGTCCCACGGCGCCTCAGACGTTGTGCCAGTTGTCATGATGTCACATTCAACTTCTCGACCCTTGCTCGTTACTTTCATCGCGAGAGTACCCGGTGCAGAGCTACGCAGCGGCATGTTTCTTCAAAAACTGCTCAAACAACTGAACAATCGATAAACATAATCCCTGGTACATCTCGGACCTCGGCTTGATTCGATGTGCTCAACGATGTCCCTTGTCCGACAACAAAGCCACTTCAGGCTCAACGCTTTTTCCAACCCTATTGCTTCAGGCAACTCTTTTCTGCCGCCAGAGGGCCCCTTCCATCATGCAACGGCAATCACTACTACACAGGCCAGGTCATGATCCATGGCAGGCTGTAAGACCCTAATACCGTGGATATAGTTGTGCTGGACCTGTGCCTGTACCTCAGCTAACTTGAAGTGTATGCGCTCATTTTGGCTACCATACTACCACCCTCTAAGGTTTCACAGTAACTAAGGCAAGTCGATGATCCTCCGCTGTTGAGAGTGGTGTTTGGCCAGTAATACACGGCTCGTCGCGTCTCTACGGACATACCGCTTTGGCGTTCTAGATCCCTTTTTACTTTCTTGGGTGGAATCCCTCAATAACGCACCTATACATTGATATGGCTACACAAATGGCGATTGTTGCAAGGGGGGACTTCTATGGTAAGGAGGACTTGATTGTCTCAGTTCACGTTCCTGATGCTATTTATGCGACCTCGTTTCTTTGGTTGCTTTTCTGACCAGAACATGCATGGTAACCCTCTACAACAGAAATACATTCTTAAGCGTCGAACAGCATGGAATAAATACGTTCACCAAACGGTCTGTGTGTGAATGCAGTACGTAGTATAGGAACAGTAAGTAATGCGAGTCTTTATCGAACCAAAATTACCAAAATAATATGCGTCATCCAGCGACGTGGAGGATTGAAGACTTTGGGTGGCAAGACAGATACCATAGCATAGTGCAAGATGGTTTCATTGAACCAGGGCAACGTGTCAGAACGGATCGTGTCGGGCTCCACCGAGGTTAGCGTACAGTAACATCAGCATATCCGGCACCATGTAGCTCGAGCTCCCTGAGGTATGAAACAAACAGATTTTTCTGCATTGTCTTTCGTTTTATATGTATAAATGAAAAGGATAGAGAGAAAGAAACACGGTAATTTTTTTCGTACCCTGCCCCCACCTCTAATATGCCCATATTGCGCCAGCCCATCAATAACCGTAAGAAGACAAATGACGGTTGCTTCCAAGAATAGATACCCTCCAAAATTCCACGATTAAAAATTGCATAAGTGTCCATTCCACTTGCAACTTGCATGATGAACATGAGTACGTCTACTCGCCTCAACTCGTTATAAAACCCTGCTTTTTTCAGCGGTATTTCCCCACCAGTAGTCCCAGACCACCACACCATCACAGCACTGTGGCAGCCCAATAATGCGGCTTCATTCCCGTGTGGACTCTTGCTCTCCTCCGCAAGAGTTATGCCCTCATTCTTAGAGTGGAATACAGTTTCAGAGGCAAGCTCAGGACACGGGCGAGTGGACGTCGTGCAATCTCAAGTGACATCCACCAGCCACAATTTAGAAATACTATGCAAATAGTATTTGCAGCACACCTTTGCATCGGGTCCAAAATCATCCCCTCCTTCTCAACTCCCGGGTGCCGCCCAAATATCATGTGAGACGCACCTCCATTGCGGTGGTGCTCCAAACACGGAGTGCTACGCGCATAACAATTGCCTACTATGTGTTGTTAAAGAGTAATTGGTGGAACAGCGCAGTGGCATATATGTGCGTGAGCTGCTGGAGGAGTCGAGCGAGTCCTGTCTCTGGGCCTCTGGAGGCAGTTGTAACCTCAGACTATTATTCAGCTATGGAGGAGGAAACAAGAACGTCAAAAAATCTGCCTTGATAAACTGGATCGCGCATGTATCTTGGTCTGTGAAGAGCGCATCCATCCTTAGGGCGAAGTGCTCCCGCCTCACGTCTAGGGGGGATCTGTAGTGGATTCCCCCATGTGATTGTTGGGCCATGAAATGATCATCGGTCTCTATTTTCCTCATTCTGAACGATTGTTAACCTAATAAACAGTTATTGTGCGTTATTTCTTGATTGTCGCGAAGATGGCGCTGACACTGGGTGTGTTCCCGGACCTCCATTGATAACACTTCACTTCAGCCAATGAGTAGGGTTACTTTCATTGCCGCGCAGCCTCAAAGGTATACTCCTTAAGAGTCATGAGTTGATCTCAGATTCACTTATCTGTTGCGAGCATAGCGGCTCGATACCGTTTGGGGTGGAGGCATGCATACGCCGCAACGTGCATTTTTGGTGCCTCAACGCATGGGTTAAAGAAACAATGTACCAACCAGCGTATGAACCACATTTGCTGGCAAGAAATAACTTCCTCTCTTAGTGTGATATCGGTTTGGGAATAATTGGGTAGTTATCGAAGTTTAGAGTCGTGCTCAACCGGGAAAATCTCCAAATTACTTGCGGATGGTGAGTCGCTCCCGAACTGAAATAAGCGCCGATATGCATAGGTCAGTAGCGGAGCGCCCGGATTTCCGCTGACACCGAGGCCTGTACAGGATCTGAGCTTGGTTAATGTGATACTTCGGTGTAGAAGGTAATGAAACAGGAAAGTGGCGTTGTGGCATAACGAACTGCCTTGTAAGCGGTGATTGAGATCTAGAGCACCTGGAGGCAGTTGCAGCTGTGTCGGTGGCCGACACGTCTTGGTAAACGTGATGTTTGTTCGTGTATCTGATCTGTAATTGGCTGTGGTGTGATGATACGCTGCGTTATACACATCGAGAATGTGAAATCTCCACCGAGCTGGGATTCGCCGAATCGATGAATAGACGAGTGCTTTCTTTGAATATGCGCCGCTATAGATTAACTATACTTCCAAAGACTTCCGGTGGCTGTTCTAGATACACATATTACCTCAGTGTTCGACGCACTGCCTTGATTTCGATTTCCGTGGGAGCTAACGGACCGCGTCCAGACTTCGCCTTCTTTCATGACCCATCAGAGATCACATTGAGAATTTACTCATAGCTCTATGCGCTTAAATAAGAGGTGCCCTAACATTCATTTCATGGCGGCTCCTACAGCATTGAGACGTATCAGGAACACAGCCGTCTTCTGCCGTAAATGCAACGTTGCTCTGGTATTTGAGAAGGATTGATTAAGGTGGGTGATTTCCCATGGAATATCGCCTCGAATCATGGAGCCAAGGTCGTCGTTGATTCCAGGGTAGTAGAGAATGAAGGCATACTCTCAGTTTAAGTATATATAGATCCACAGAAAGTTCGCCTGATCCTGCAAAAGAAGAGCTGTAATTAATTAATTCTTTATTCGCAACCCGGCTCTGGTCTGTGTCATTTTGATGTAACCTCGAGGCCTACGCACCATCAAGTTAGCTAAAAATAGTACCATGCATCCTCAGCTACATTAGTACTCATTACAGACACTAAGGCGTTTACCTCAAGTTAACTCAGGTCTCGTAAGCGTTTGTGTGCGTTCTGAGAGATCCATAGAATTCACCTCATGGGTTAATGAATCTCTTTTTTACAGTTTGGTTCATGGTACGTGCTAGATTTATTAGGAGATTGGCGACACAATACCTCAGTAATGCTACCACACTTCTTGGTTTACATCGTATATCCCAACGTCATGGAGTGTGTAGGTGGCAAATTATCACGAGAAAATGACGTCGAATATTCACGGTTCTTCTGATTGACGATAATCATCGGCACGCGGAATTCGCTGTATATTCTGCATGCGCTTGACCTTGACAATACAGCTAAGAGCTATTTTCAGCATTAGCGCCCGTTTACCTCGATGATTCAGCACGAATCATCCCGTGCTTCAGCCTTTCCATTCGGAAGATCACCATCGACATCTACAGTGCACGTATTACAATCCTCATTCAAATCATGCGGCTACTCAACGTTACGAAGTAAAAGACATCGCGTCTAAAGAAACGCCGGCGAGACCCTGGGAGACTAGTGCCTGCAATTGACGTGCCTGCAGCCTTATATATGGGCGACATTGGTCTACGTCGCCATAATCCACAACCAAAGAACATTTCCACACCCTGTATCCTCCACGCCATGCATATGTGCAATGCTACAGGATGGTTTCCGACCATCTCAGCCAGCACGAACGATTCCGCAGACAACTACCGCTCCGTATGGAGTATCGTCCTGTCTTGCCTCAGCACTATCTTCGCCTGCATCTACACCTCTATTCATCCAAATATTCCCAGTCCGTATGATAAATCGTCAACAGTCCTTTTCAGATCAATTGGTATCATGGCTTTGACCTTACTTGCACCGGAAATTATTGTAGCGTGGGCAGCGCGCCAGTTCATCAGCGCCCTCGTTTTTACGAGACGTATGAACGATAAGATCAACATGTCCCCCCACAGAGACGGTGAGATCTAATCAATCAAAACGTCCTTCCTTCGTGAATAACAAACTGGTATACTGTAACTTGGTATGCGGTAGACATCGTGAAGCATTTAACACGCCCGGATCGCTGTGAATGGCTAAATGACGCAGGTAATCGGGTATTTCGTAGGCAGCAACCTCCAAGTGCTGATAGTTAACTGCAGAAAAAGGACCCTTGCCGATCCCGGAATCCGCCCATGAAACCTCTGATACGTCAGGTGAGATACCTGAGCGGGTCATAGAGCCAACACATGAAACCTCTGTTGCGCCAGGTAATGTTTTATTTTCTCGTATCTCACCTACGTCTCATATTAACATAGGCCACGCTGTAGGGAGCACTCACGGGACTTCGCCAGACAATGCGGTATGTTTCCAGTGAGGCCCGATCCTTTCAAGAAAAGCTTAGAGTATCTTCGCTGTTAGTTGTTCAACCCCTCCGAAACATGGTGGAACAACTTTAAAAAAGATTGTTCGGTTACTGCGAAACACATATCTATTTACTGGACCATTTTAATGTCTCCTGACGGTACATCTATTGTCTGTATATCTTTTGCTGGTATTGACACTACCTAGACAAGTCATACAGGTGGACAATAACCCATAGCTTCTTCATTTACATGGGGGGCTTTATGGTTTCATACAGATCATGCTTTTGGAGCATCATTACTCCAGAAAAGCTAATGGAAGTCCTAGAGCATCATTACGACAGCATAGAGCCCCTGGAGATCACCAAGGCTGAAATAGACGATTCGGGAAAACGCAGTCTCGTTGCGAAGGGACTCGTGGTAATTCAGCTTAGCTGGTTTGTGATACAACTTGCAGCACGGCACCGTTTAGGACTTCACATCACTCCGCTGGAAATCGGTACCATGGGCTTTGCCGCCTTATGTCTGGTCTCGTATTTTCTGTGGTGGTACAAGCCCCTGAACGTCAGTCAACCTCGAAGAATATATTGGAAAGGCAGCAATGCACCGCTTGATAATCTTTATACTACTTCGTAAGTTCCGTTATGCCAGCTTTTTTAACGTACAGTGTTTGATCAATTTACAGGAGACTAGCAGACTTTGGTACTGACTTAGAAACTAACGTCCCGAGATGGGCATACAAGCCTACACTTGCCGTTCGACGGTGGATGGGACTGTCAACTGGAAACAAGCGCTTTCGAGTCGAAACCTTTGGCGGAGACGATATTAGTTTGTTTGAGAGCGAAAAAGCGAGAAACAGAACAGGGAACCACGGATCCAGTGTATGGGTGGTAGCAGCGATTGCGCTTGTTACCTCCGTCGGCTTTGGGTTTGTCCATTTTGCAGCTTGGTGGCTGCCCTTTCCGACATATATAGAGCACATTCTGTGGCGCGTCGCCACCCTTGTGCTCATTGGCGCCCCAGTGCTCTTTGCAGTCGTCGATAGTGTATCTGTCAAGTTTTTCAGTCTTACCATCGCAGTGATTTTGTTTTTGTACCTTCTTGCTCGACTCATCATCATTACTGTGATGTTTACCTCCCTACGTAGACTAGATTACAAGGCACACGAAACCATTTCTTGGATGGAACTTTTCCCACATCTCTAAATTACGCGTCCTTTATTATTGCTGATTGCGTTTACGTACCTCTGATAGTACCTATGCTACATTCGTCAGGTCCCTTGTCACTATGCTATAATCAATGCATTCTTAGTATTAACGATTCATTATTATGTCAAGCAAACACACCACACGTACAGCACAGAGGGGCAAATGCGGGATTCACGTCGGTATTCCTACACCTCGCAACGTGTATGAACTTGGTGACGCACAATTCTTCTCAGCACTACGATTTCTCATTCGCTCGTCATCGTCAATTGCCTTCGCCAGAAATCTTGACAGACCACCATAGCATCCCTGTTCCTGGAGCAGCGTGCGTACCGCCTCCAGGGTGCGGCCTCATTTCCGCCTCGACCATCACCCTTTCCTCTGCGAAGGTTCTACCCTCGATCTCCATAAAAACACGTTTCCACAGATGTGTCCACGACGCGGGAGAGTGGCCATAGCGCACCCTAAAGGACCGTGACGCCAATCAGCACTTCAGGAGCACCATGCAAAATATTCTCAGCGCACCTTTGCATCCGATCCGAAATCATCCCCTCCTTCTCCAACCCAGAGTGCCGCCCGAACGCGATGACCTCAGTACCATCATTCCGGTGTCGCTCCATGAGAAGCGCAACGCGCAGAGCAATCGCGTACTGCGTCTCCCCGTCGAACAGATGAAACAGCGCGCCGACGTACACGTGCGTGATATTCCCGAGAAACTGAGTGAGCCCTTGCTCCGGGCCTTTGGGGGCGGTTGAAGTTTCGAAGTTGGGTTGCGACAAAGAGGGAACGGGGACGTCGAAAGTATCTGCCTCGACGAACCGGATTGCGCACGTCTCGCGGTCAGCGAAGAGCGCGTCGAGCCCAAGGTCGATGTATTCCCGCCTCAGGTCACTTCCGATGACGTTCGAGGCTGGGTAACCGTCTAGAACAGCTTTGCGCACATCTGTGCCCACTGTGTCATGCATCCAGTTATGAAACATGGGTACAACATGAGCGGGTTTCGGGTTGAGAAGAGAGAGGAGGTGCACTACAACAACCGAGATCGAGCAAGCGGGTGTTGCCCTGTTTACCAGCTTCAATCACTCGCCCGTACGCCGCGTTCTCGCACATAAACAGCGACACAAAGTGGAACGCGCGAATGCACGGGTAGGGGTATTTCTCGCTTCAAACCCTCAAATTAGGTCTCGCTCACGAGGAAGGACGCATAGAACGAGAGGAGCACCCACTAAGACCTATCGAACCTTTTTCAGTAACCGCATGGACACTTGCAAGATCCGTGGTATAGATGCCATGATCATGATTTCGAGAAAGCTGCTCACTCGCGCTGCACCCTCATAACCACCTCCCGCACCTTCTCATCGTCAAACGAAACAGTCTCCCGCAAGAATGCCCATTCCCGATCTGTTGGAGCAAACAATGCTGCGTCTAGAGGAGAGACGAGGGCGTCGCTTGGCCGCTCCTCGCGGCGAATGTTCGACATTGGTTTTGCGAGAGTTGGTGCAAGCCTGAGTGCTGACTAGGACTGCCGATGTGAGATAAGGAGGCATATGACCCGGGATTCCGGGCCGTGTGCCGATGAGAGTAGCGGATGCGCTACAGACGCGCTTTAGCTGCAGTACAATGCGGTCCTGCCGAAGATGTCCTCGCTGAGCGCGACGCCACCCTTGCGACTGCACTCGCCGACAAGGCGCTTGCGGAGAAGGACCGAGAATTCTTTCGCGAACAGTACATGCAAGCCTCTGGCTTCGTCTCTTCCGTACGCATCGAGAACATCGAGCTCGAGAAGAAAGCCGCCACAGCGGACGCACGCGCCGCCGTATCCGACCAACGCGCCAAAGACGGTGTCGCTGGCATCCGTGCCCTGTACGAGTCGCGAATCAAGACTCTTCAAGACGAGCTCGAACGCGAGCGCGCGTTGATGCGCATCCTACAGGAGCGCGACGCGCGTACGGGCGGAGACAAGATCCGCCGGCAGGCTGCCGAGGCGGCGGAGATCCAGGAGGAGCTCGCCAATCTGCGGGAGGACTATGAGGAGGCGGTGCGCGGGTACGAGCAGATACGGGGGGTGTACGACCGCGTGTACGAGGAGCGGATGTACCTCGAGAAGCGGGCGAAGAAGCTTAAGAAGCAGAAGCAGAATCTGGTAATGCAGCTTGCTGAGCTTGGTCTGCAACCTCTGGATGCGGAGGTGACCCAAGATGGGACGACCGATGATGGGCAAGGGGTGGTCGACGGCGAGGAGAGGGAGAGCATTGTCATCGAGAGGATGGTTGTTCAGGAACGGGAAGTATCAGACGAGGAAGTATCTGATGACGAAGACAGAGATGAGGATGACCTTGCAGATGGCCCTTATCCGCCAGACGCCGATGAATCGAGTTTCGACTATGCTCAGGCGGTGCTGGAGGACGTGGAGGACTTGGACGAGTTGTTCTATCAGTGTCTGTGGAGGCCGGGCAACGGCGAGCACTGTCCGAGGGCATTTGACTCGATCGAGGTGAGTGGCTTGTACCTACAATGTGTTCCTTAGTTCCTTCGTTAAACACCACCTAGGACTTGGAGAGACATGTACGGAGCGAGCACGTCGCCGCAACCCCATAACAGTCCTTTTCTATTCTCAAACTTACACTACTTCTCTTCTTCTTTATCTTCTCTGCCTATACTCACTTCACCGCGTCCTTCTATGCTATAAGACTCTTGCGGCATTAACACTGCGGGTGTGAGCGCAGACACATAGGATAGGGACGGAGCGGGGGGCTGTAGTGCAGATGTGGATGATATGTTCATGGGCTCGCCTGCGGGTGTCGGAGGCGCAGCAGCAGCCTTCGCTCTCTGATTCGCCCAAGTAAGGGGTAAACGTCAACACGGTGAATGACAGCGCGCCACGTACCTCTTCCTGCCACTCCGTCCGCTCTTGCTCCCAATTCTGCCGTTCGCGTTCCCATTCCTCCTGCTGTGCCTCCCACTGCGCTTTCCGCTCCTCGTACTCCCTCCGCTCGCGCTCCCTGTCCTCGCGTAAGCTCCTGATCTCAGCTTCCATACGCGTCATTTTCTCCTTCAACCCTTCACCTAATCCTTCCTCCTCGGCTAGCGAGGTCGACTCGAGCGCGTTCGCATCGTTGGTGGTGGCGGGAATGGCATCGACCATCGACGATGAGCCGAGTGTGGTGGGTTTCGCGGAGAGAGTTGTATTGTTCCCGACCGCGGCCTCGGCTCGGCTGACTCCGAGATCACCGAATCCGGAGCCCAGTTCCCGGGGATTGCCGGTCCAAGGCTGCAAAGATAGGGGCTCGGCGTCGGCGTCGGACTGGCGGGCAGACGAAGGCGGGTGCACCTCGAGGCTCGTGTACCCGCTCGGCCCTCCTTGGCTTTGGCTCTGACTCTGGGCTGAGGCTTGAGTCTCGTCCTGTTCATGGCCGATAGCAGCATTCTCCGAGTTACCAGCGGCATCGAGCGGCTCCTCGAGCCTATGGCCCATCGCACGCGCTTCTTGTAGCAGGTCTTGCGTATTTTCTTCCTCCTCGAGCCTCACGAGAGCAACGGCCTCGTTTGCCGTGAATATGATATGTGCCTCCTCCATCAAATCCTGGGTGTTCTCCTCTTCCTCGTGCCTCATCGGTGCAACGGCGGGCCGCGCTTCCACACGCACACCCTTCTCGCGCGGTAAGTCCTGTGTATCTTCCTCCTCCTCGCGCATCAGCGCCTCGATCTCCGCTCTCGTGAGGTGCACCTTCGGATCGGGATGCGAGAGAGATTCCAGCGCATGGAGGGAGCTGTCCGGCTGCGTGCTGCGAGTCTGTGAGTCTGACACCGCGTGACTGTTGCCGCCATCCGTCACGGACATGACCTGTGTCTGCGTCGCAGACATGGTCTGCGTGCCCCGCGGACGCGCAGGAGACATCGACGGAAGAGACGACTCAGCTGTAGTACCACCGCCGCCGTTCTCCGGATCTGGGTCGAGGTCGAGCGCTATAGCGGCATCGGCGGATGCGCCTCCGATGAAATCTATATCCATCCCTGGCACTGGTGCCCACTTCGATGGCGACTGGTGCTCCTGGTCCATGCCGGGAAGCGCTTCCCACTTCGAGGGCTCCTCTTGCGGTTCGTCGATGCCATCGGGACGTTCCCATATCTCTGGCTCGTCATCCGTCTCGTGTTCATGCGGCCGTGGCAGAGCGCTGACGCTGTCGAACGGGTTCTCGTCGGGATCGATCGAGGGGGACCTCGGCCTCTCCCTAGCCATGACACTGCTTGTCCTACGGCTTTCAACTGCCTCCTTGTTCTTCCTTGCCACGTTTGCTAATGCCCGCTGTTGATCGAACACCGCTTTCCCCCTCTCCCGAAGGTCAGCATCCGTCATACTCGCCAGCGCGTCGCCATGAGCGCCAGAGGTTGGCCATTTGTAGACCTTTGCTGGCGTAGGACTGGGCGGTGGCGAAGGGACGGAGGAGACGATCGTCACCTGCGTGGGAGGCTGCGATGGTGGAATGTACGTGTCGTCGAACGTCGGTGAGTGCGTAGCAGCAGAAGCGCGCGAGTACACCTTCGCGCTGCGTTTGACAGGCGAAGGTGAATAAGATTCGATCTCGTCCTCGTACGACGGTGGTAGCGCATCGTCACCGGCATCCGCGGCCGCGTTCAGCTGTCGTGCCATATTTGAGAAAAAGTGATCGTCATCAGCGTCTGCAACTTCAACCTCGAGATGCATTGTGGCAGGCGAGCTCGCGCCGAAGTGAGCAGACGAAGACGCAGATGCCGCCGAGCTAGCACGCTGATATGCCATCGTGATACTCGTGCGGAACTGTCCAGGCGACACTCTTGGTATGGGCTTCATCTCCTTGGCCTTGCGCGTCGCACTAACCGTGTGTCGACCCTTGCTTGTCGCACGAGTCGCAGAGCACGAACGCATGTCGGGTATGAGTGACTCATTCGTTACCGGATCTGGGTCCTTCCGCTTGCCTTTATTCGTCTTCAGAGATGCCGGCAAAGCCTCGCGTTCTGGAGTGCCCTCCTCGGCCTCTGGGTGCACATACCCGACAGCGCGCTCCCATATCTCCAGGATGGCGCGATCGTACGATGAGAGATTTGCAATATCAGGCGGCGGCGATCGTTCTCGCAATGGACCAGCACTCACCGGCGATTTTGAGGCGCGCGATGGGCTCGGGACAAACGGTGAAGATCGGTCATTGGCTACTTCTGAGGGCGACCTGGTGCTCTTCGAGGGGCTGCGGCTGGACCGGACGGCATCCGTGAGGTTTTCGGGGAGGGAAGGCGAGCTGGAGCTGAGACGGGTAGGAGGGGAAGACTGCCGGCCCATCTTGGTATGCAGAGGAGGCGCCTTATCGTGACGCTCGACGGGGCTGTCGTCGTCTGCGTGTGCTCTGGGCGGACATGCGTCAAGCATATTCATGTCGATATGAAGACCGTCATCGTGGTTGAAAACGAGGTCATGGCCGTCGCCCGTGGCGAGATCGTCATCGTTTTCTACGTGCAGGGAGGCGTCGACGGCGTCATCGTCAGCTTCGTCGTCGTCCGATGTTTCAAGAGCATGCTCCGGGATTGGTGGTGTGCGCTTCGAAGAAGCGGATGGTGAAGACGGCCTTGAGGTCTTGCCCGCCTTGTATCGCACTAGATGACCCTCGTCTTCATCCCCCGATGACTCAAAGGGGGTCGGTGTCTTCTGCTTCATTTTCGCAAGCGGGAAAGACCGGGCTTTCGCCTTGGACGGAGCAGCAGGTGTCGATCTTCTGACGCCCTGGGGTGGACCGATCTTGGTGGGCAGGTCTGTATCACTCGACTCCTCTTCTTCCTCCGGCTCGGGGTTAACGACACGCTGCTTTTTCTTCGGCGGAGGCATCACGTCATCCTCTTCGCTAGAGTCAGGTTCGATGCGTTTGGATGAGTGTTTAGAGGAGCTGAGTGGTTTGACTGTCGACGAGCTGAACCGCCGCGCGTCGGGGAGCTTTCGAGGCTGGGGTGTAACGGAGGTCGTGGACCGCTTCCGCTTAGCAGTGTCTGTGGATTTCGTAGATACAGAGGCGCGTTTATGCGCATTACTAGAATATGTCGTGATGGTGGAGGACGTGCTTTTGCGGGAGGGCACGCGCTTGCCCTTGGGAGGGTCGTCCAACTCGCTATCGGTATCCTCACGACGACGCGCATCGTCATCTGCGTCGATGTCAGAGAAGTTGTCAAGCAAAGAAGCTAGAAAAAGTGCATATTAATGTTAGAAAGAAAGGAGTAGCCACACGTGCATAACACACGCACCTTGAGCCTTCCCCTTCCCCTTGGATCCCGCCCTGCTCCCTTTGAACGACCCCTCTTCCTCTTTCTTCTTCTTCGCAGCACCAGATGCACTCTTTCTTTTGCCCTTCCTCCCGTCCGCCTTGGCCTTCTTCTTCTTCTTCCACCCCTTCACGAGGTGTTCTGTACAATCGGACTTGGGCACCCATTGCAGTGGCCACGGCCTGCCCGTCATCGGGTCCGTCCCCTTCCACCTAACCTTGTACATCCCTTTCTTCTCAGCAGTAATTTCGACGACCTCCCATAGTGTCTCTTCGTCGTCAGAACGCGGAACGAAGCGGCTGGACGAGCCAGTGTCGGTGTCACGGTCCGAGACATCGTCGTCAGCCATGATCGTTCAGAGCCTGAAATAGTCGGTGAGGTAAGTGTCCCTGCAGTGCGAGAGTCCTTGTCAAGCCGATGACAAAGAGAGGAACGCGGGCGGCTAGTAGAGATGGCGGAGCTGCGGGATGTTTGCAGCTTCGTCAACGAAAACGCGTATGTCGTCGGACACAAGTCGGACATGAGACGCGCGCACGTGACCATGACGCGTTTCTACATGGACATGTTCAAGGACAAGTTCCTCCCAGTAAAGCCACAAGTCCAGTCAAAATCTCTCCAATGTATTCTAGTATTGCACATGTTCCCAAGCATAAATTAACACTGAAAGCAGTTTCGTAACCTCGATGAAGTGGGTGGCTAAAACTCCCTTTCTAGCTCTAGGCCCATTCAACACACGTCCCGCGCTCATCACCGACAACCAACGTCTCCCTACGTCGAAGAGAAAGTGTGAATTGCAAGTTGCGAGTAAATGAAATTGTCACTTACCCCCTAAATGATAGCGCAGTAACTCGCGCTGGTCGCTCCTTCGACCCTGGCAATGTGCGAAGTTTCTTCATCCATGGCGCATCGCCCTCTGAGCTCTCCTTGAACGTCGCGACCTCGACGAACTCCCATGAGTCGGGCCGAGTCACACACTCATACTCGTCAGCGGTAGAAACACAGCCGCCGCGCTCCCAGGTAACGAGCCGCACGCAGCCCCTGCCGCCGAGGGCAAGGATACCAACGCGAGAGTATTCGCGCACGTGGAAAGCGAGTGCTGTGATCTCCCCGTACGATGCCATCGGAGACGCCATGGATGGAGATGGAGAGAGGGAAAGGCGAGCGATGGGACGAGCGTTGATGGTATGTAGACAAAGGTAGCGTCGGGAACAGGAAGCGATAAATCCCTTTTAACAGCAACCAGTGTCAAGCTTAATGAGATGAAAAGGCACGAAGCGGGAGGAAAACCTACGTTGCTCTCGTTGATAGCCACACAGGTGACGCTGTTACCGTTTCCTACCACTCCTTCATCAGATCCACTCTCGCTATGCCATATCGTGGCCACATATGCCTCTCCACCTCCACTCCCACTCCCACCGCTGCCCGTGCTCTCACCAACGACACCCCTCCCTCCACCTATGATGCCCGCGACGCGCGACGCACCTCCCGCACCCAATCTCCACACGACCGCGGCACCTTCTCTCCCTCCGCTGACACCCACACCCCACGCCCCGCTAGCAGTAACGCACGTAACAGGCGCTTCATGCGCTCTGAGCATATGCGTCTCTCGTATGCTTAGCCCTATGCGCGCCGATGCGTGATGGTGGTGTGCGAAGAGCGGCGATCCCGGTCCACCACCTAGGATGCTGCTGCCGGATCCCGAGGCGCCGTCCTGGCCCGTAACCACCGAGCCCCTTGGGTCGCCGGACGTATGCAGAGGTGGGGAGAGGGCATATGAGCGGACGAGATGCTCCGATGTGCCGACGAGCAGTGTCTCTGCGTCTGCGAAGGCAGCGCAGGTTGGATATATTTGTTCGAGAGTCTGTACGACCTACGCATCCGCGTTAGCGCATGCTCCATACAGAGATCAGGCGTGCGCACCTTGCCAGCGACACGCACTCTCAGCGCTCCTGCGCGATCGTTGTCGCCCTCGTCCCACTCTACTCGCTCATCCGGCCTTCCCGGGATACATACAACGCCTTGAGGAAGCGGAACGACCTTGCCATTTCGACTATCAAAAGTCAAGCTCTCTACCAGTGACCCAATTGAGTCTAGCCAAACAGTTAAACCATGTTACAGGACGAGGATAAGGGCGGGCAGAATGCTCACCTGCACACTCTCCTTTACACTGATACCGTATCGCGTCTTCGGGTACGCCACGTTCGACGCCGAATGGGAGCGTCAGAAGCCCCTGTAGATTGCGAGATGGATGCGGGGTGGTAAATAGCTTTCGCGGTGTCTGGCCGACTGGACGACAGTTCACAGCAGTACAATGAAGGAAGGGAAATGTACGTACAATTATGGATGATCCCCACTGTTGCTTCTCGCTCCAACTCATCAGTGATTGCATCGATGTCTGCGTAGCTTGAGTGAACTCGGAAAACTACGAAAAGGACAGGTGCGCCTCACCGATTGATCCCTCGTAGCTAAGCGGGTGGAAGACATTATAGCTCGCAACATCTCTCTGCTTGTGACCCCAGATCAGATCTATCCACTCGTGCAAGTGTTCGCTGACGTGGTGGCTCTCTAACGCCTTGTCGCACCATGTCATACATAGGTCAGTAAAAAGTCGCTTCGTACGAGAGGTGGAGAGCAGCTACCTGTCGGTGAAGCGCAATAAACAACGTAGCATCGCCTTTTGCCCACGGTGGCAGTTTCACGTCGTTTATCCGCTCGCCTGTGCTCTGAAGAACACCGAAGTCGTGGTTGGATGAGTTCTCGAGGAACCTATCTCTCCATGAGTCGAGGGTTAAAAAGATTGAGGAAAAAGATACGAACTCGGGACAGGTGAAAAACTCGGGAATGAGCTCCCGTACATCACCGCGAACATCTCGCGAGGCTGACGTCCACGCTTTGCCCAAGTCACTGAAAAGCATAGACAGTCCTCAGATTAAACCATCAGAAATATTCCCGGGGACGAACCCGAAGAGCCTATCGGGCAAGTCCCATTCACCCCCCTACAAAGAAACTCGATAAGGGTACTGTAGCAATAGAGGTGGGAATTGAACATCTGCCGTACCTGCAGCGTCTTAAACATCTCGGTGTACGGCGCCATACGGATCAAGAAGTGGCAGACAGTCATTGAGCTGATGACTCAGTAAGCATCCGGCAACGAGCATGCGGAGTAGACACGTACGAGCTAAAGTGCGTTCCGTAATGGAACGGCGGCTCGCCTACACTTTCCAAGCTTGTATAGCGAGCTTCGGCTGCCGCCCTCCTATCCTCCGTTAGAGCTCCCATAGGCTTGGTCAGACTGCCGGAGAGGAAGTGTTTGTCAGTTTTGAGTGCTGTTCAAAGGCCGGCTCGCCCGACTGACTCTCGATAACTTTCAGGCGAAGAAAGGTCTAAGCTTTCCGACGTATAATCCTTGAGCACCCATGCTGTATACGTCATCGCTCAGCAAGCAAGTAATCCACTCATGAGAAAGCTGGAGAAGACATACGAAAGACAGGATACTGCGTCGCATCACTCGGCGTCCGCCCCGAAAGCTGATTGAGAATACTCAAATACGCAAACTGCGCTCTTCGTCATCAACAGCCACTCCTGTATATCACAAAGAAGCAACCCACATTGCTGATCTCCCGATTCTGCCACTGCCTCTGCGCATGCGCGAGCTCCTTCGCACGCATGTTCATCTCAGCACGCGACTTGCCCGCAACGAGGCCAAGCAGCGCAGTTCGGTCGAGCGCACTACCGAGCCCAATGTGTTGCGTCGTGCCGAGGCGCGACATGACGGTCGTCAGACGGTTGTTCACGTCGAGTCGTTTCAACTTGGTTGGGAAGACGACAAGCAGTGAGCGGTGGTCTTGGAAGAAAAGCTCCAGGCTGGATGCGGGGTCCTCAGTAAATCACCAGACAAAAGTCAAAGAAGAATGGACGAGCTCACCCGACATCACGGAAGAGGAAGGTGCGTTCTGCGAAGGCTGTCAGTTTGTGTAGAATCCTGTCATGTACATGCTAATCAACAGACAGCTATGGTCAAAGATTGGCCTACGCGTACCACCGCTGGGCTTTCTGCGGTACACGAGCCTCAAGCTTGCTTCCTGCAACAAAGAACAAGCTCTTCGGCGCATCCGCGGCATCTATAACTTCGCCATCGTCTTGTTCAACAAGTCCATCAAGAACGTAGAGGTGCGTCTGGCCGATAATCAGGAGACCAGCTGAGAAAGCATGAACGGAAGCCATATCATGATATTTAAAATCAACGCTTACGGAATGCATCAACACCAGAGATTCGCGCAACCGTGCTGACAGCCTCGATTATGTCGCCTGGCTCCAGCTCGTGCCGCACCTTGCGAAGCTTGTCTTCGTGCACTTCCTCTGCAAGATTGCCTTCGCCCTCCTCTTCTACTTGTCGTCCCAGATAATCAGTGGACCAAAGAAACATGGCATGTGAACCACGCACCAGCGGCAGCACTGGCCTCTCGTCTTTCTACCTGCACTGAGGGCGCACTTTCCGTCGGCGGAATACCATCGAGCGAGTTTCCAGCAGTCGAATTTCCGTTGGATGGCGGATGGAAAGGTTCAACCTTCTTCCTGCGAGATGTTCGTCGGGGTCAATGAACACAAACAAGGACCGGATACACGAAATACCGACCTAATTCGAAATGGCCCCTCCGTCTCATCCAGTCTCCACACTCTTTCCGTTCGTAAATCCTTCCACAAGCTCCGGTCCGTTACGGACGACATAATCTGCTCCGTGTACATCACGACCTGCTTCTGGTGCTCCCGCCTACACAACATCTTCTTCAGCGCGCCGCAAGGATAGAAAGAAAAGAATCATAAGAGAGACGCACATGTCGAGCACCGTCTTGCGATTCCGTTTCCGCTCCGTCAGCACCACCAGAGCCCGCCACTCGGCGAGGCGCGAAAACGCCTGCGAAACCGCACCCTCGCGCACGAGGCTGAGTGTCGTATACATTCCCGCATGCACCTGGTTCTGCAGCGCGTACCGTTTCTGCGGGCTGTCATCGCCCAGCAAAGCTTGGATCTGCATGTGCCGTTTCAGCTCAGAACGAGGATAGCAGGAACACAACGCAAGAGAACAAGAAGAAGAAAAACCAACCTCATTTCGCTGCGACCCATGCACAGCCTTCTCGGCGCCCACAAGTGCGCAGAACCCGGTGAACTTCGACCACGTCGCTTCGTCGACTCTCTGGCTGAACTCCGCTCCGGGCTCGACATGGATGCGCAGACAGTCGACGAGTATCTGGGTGATGCTCTGCATCCTGAAGAGCTGGCGGAACGAGGTAGACTCGCCGAAAAGCGCTGTCAGCGCGTCGATGAGACTCGCAGTGTTCTCCTGGCTTGGACCTGTGTGTAATCACAGTTGAGTGTATCTCATAGATGTAGGCTGCAAAAATTATTGTTGATGCTTACCAGCGTCACACCCCTGCCCCACACTCCTCATCTCAAATAGCCCTCGGTGAAGGACAGCGAGCATCACCCCCGCAATCTGCGGACACGCAACCACCTTCTCCTCCTGCCTCGCTGCCCCCTTTACACCATGCCCCCCACGATGCCTATGACCTTGCCCATCACTATGCGCCTCCGCTCCACCGCCCGTGACTCCAAGCAACAGATCAAACGCCGCAGCCTGCACCCCTTCCTCCCAGCACCCAGGCAACACACTCCGCAGAATTGTCCACCCACTCGCGAGCTCAAACCGCCTATGGAACGAGCTCGAGTTCGCATAGCCCAACCCGACCATGTTGAGCACCTGCATCGCGACGACGGGCATTGGATGCTCGCCGAGCAGGAGCAGGCACACGCGCGGTAGCGGCAGCGCCTCGGCGAAGCGCGCGTAATACGCAGGTATACGGAGCGTCGAGACGAGGTCCTCGAGCACGGCGGGGGAGCCGGTGCTGCGCATCTCCGAGCGGGGGTCTGAGGCATGTTGTCAGCAACAAAGAAGCGAGAGGGCAGTCGAACATTAAAGATCACCGAGTGTAGCAGCCAGATAAGACACCACGGGCTTAACCGTATCCTCTGGCCCCACAGGCGCCTGCACGAGTGCTGCAAGTGCCCCAACCACGTACGGCATCATATTCATCCTCTCGCCTCCACTTTGATTCCCGTTTCCTTCGTCTGCCGCCTCCCCAGCACCTTCCTCGCCACTACCACCATACCACCCCGCTTGCAGCGCAAACAGCAACTTCCAGAGGGCGCCCAACCTCACAAGCCGCACACGCGCGTTGAACCTTCTAAACCTGGAAGCGCGCAGCAGGAAGGTAAGATGCTCGAGGTGTACGCGCGCAATCTCAGGTCGCGCACGCGACCAGAGCGAGAAGTCGAGCGCAATGGCACGGTATGCGGCCGCGTTGATTATGGTGGATTGGCTAGAATCCACTTTGTTAGTTGTTTTGAAGAGTACGGAAGGTGGGATGGGGTCGAAGTCAACGTGAATGCTTACTCGGGCGAGCGGAAGTTGAGCCCCATGAACTCGAAGAGCATCTCGAACGTCGTCATGTTGATGAGGTCTGCTTTGGACCGGAGCGTAGCGGCGAGAACGTCGTATCCATCTGATAAACGGCAAAGTATCTTTAGCACTCGCCGCCTACAGCAAATAAAAAGTAGACGGATGTCGACATACTCAACCGCTCCATATCCTCCGAGTTCTTCCAGCAGTTCCGCACACAGTCCACGAGAACGCCCACCGCACGGGAGAGCTCGTGCGCTGTCTACGCCACAACACCAATTTGCATCCGTTAGCCAAAAAGGAAAGGGCACCAACCAATTTAAAGGAAATCTTAGGGTAGGTCTCACCTGCGCAAGCACAACAAGCCTAACCAACACCCCCGCGCCCCCCAGCTTCCACACAGCCGCGTCCATCGCTTCGCAGCGCATCACCACCACCTCGCCGCTCCCGCTCGACTCGAACTGGGCACGCAGCCGCATCCTACTCGTACTCGTACCCTGATCCTCTGGGTGTCTCCTGCCCCCATCCCGATCCAGCTCGCCGGAGTCCGATAACGATGGTGACGTCTCGAGATCCGCAGGCACAAACCGCCACACAATGCTGTCCTCGCCAAACGGCACACCATCCTTCAGCACCTGCCTCAGTGCCGCCGAGCTATCTCCCAGCGCTACCGATCCCGACATTCCACCCCCTCCCCCAGATCCGGCTGCGGCACCAGCAATAGTTGAGGAAGCAGAGACGGAAGCAGAAATGGAGGAAGAGGACGGTGAAGACGCCGACGGCCCGCCGAGGAGGTGCATCCCGAGCGCGGTCGACGCGTCGTACGTCAAGAACCTGGCCAATGCGCCGTCCTGGAATGTGCCCGTGTAGCGCGGGCCGAGATGGTGCGCGAAACGGATGATATCGTCCGCTAATCTCTCCACGTCAGCTTTATCTTTTATTAATAGAAACTAGGGGAGGGGAAGAGGTGATGAAAATGAGAGGAGGGAAGGGACGCACGAAGTGGATGCGAGAACAGGTACGCCGATGCGATGCTCCAGCTCATCCCGCCTCCACCACCGCCGCCTCCGGAAGGCGAAGAAGAGGCGTCACCGAGCTCGTACACGACCCCTTCAGCGCGGACCGCGCCCTTCGGATACGCCCACTGCACAGAGTCAGCGAGCACACCGTCGATGAACACGCCTGCGTCAAACCAAAAACCAACAAAAGCCCCGTTAGCTACGGCATACACCCATCCGCAAGGACTTCGAGTCATTCGAGCAGCAATTGACAGCACTCACGCACAGACGGGCAGCTCGCCCTACTCGGATAATGCACAACCGCTACATGCGTCCACCGCCCCCTGCCCACCACCGCCCTCCCATTTGCATTCGAGTTTAAAGCCTTGTGCGCAGGATGCGTACTGCTCCTCAACCCTAGCCCCCCGCCCGCATCGACAGACAACTCAAACACAGGGCCAGAGGCGGTGCGCACGCGGAACAGTTTGCTCGTTCTCCCGGGGGGCGTAGACGGCGGGAGCGCGTCGATGTTGGCCCAAAGCTACTTTTTGTTCGTGTCGTAGTCAACAAGTGGAGTTGGAAGGCAAAATGAAGATAACAGACAAGACAAGAAACGCACCATAACAGAAAACCCCGTCGCGGGCAGCCCCCGCGCCCTCCCCTGGCCCTGCCCGATCTCCCCCTCGCGCGTGCAAATCGCCGCCCCGCGACCGAGGAGCACATGCGCCGGCCAGCGCGCACGGGAGACCGCCCGTGCGGCGTCGAGCATGTCCCCGTCGAGACTCGGATTTGTAGATTCAGAGTCCGCGCGGACGATGCTCTCGAGCAATGCGCGAGCGTCTTCGGTCGTAGCGCCGAGTTCAAACGTGCGTCGGACGAGCCGCTGGAGCGCGCGGCGTTCCATGTCCCTGTCCTTGTCCTTGTCTTTGGGTTTGTCTTCTGAGACGTCGACGGGCGAAGATAAGGCAACAGCGGAGTCGGCCCGAGATTCGTGGAGCTTGCGTCTGAATGCAGCGAGGAAGTACGACGGCATGTCAGGCTCGAAGCGTGTGACGGCGCACGCGTTTGCATGCGATGCGGCGGTGACGCTATCGAGCATTCTGTATGTCAAGTAGCGCAGCGATCCCGCGTCTTCATTCGTTGATTCCATGCGCGGGCGCAAGAACGACCAGAGAACTCCGAGGAAACCCGGGAGGACGATCCGTGCCGACGATAAACGAGGTGCGTATCGGTCGAAGTGGGCTTCGAGGTCGTCGATGCTTAAGCTCGGGGGCAGTGCGATAAAGAAGTCGACGAGCGCGAAGTCGCGACAAGCGACAGTCAGAAGCAGTCCGAGCACGTCGGCACACGTATGTGCGTCCGCAACGAGCGGATCGAGCGCAGCGCCGAGCGAGGCATAGCCCACGCTTTGCTAATTTGAGAGGAGCGTCATCGTCTGCGTGAGGCACGTAACTGCATCGGACTCACCTCGAAGAACTGGCGGTTCGCCCCGTTCTCCCACAGCGCCTCGCCAGCGACCTCGAACGCTGCGCGCATGCACGCGCGTACAGCGGCACCAGAATCGGACCCGGGGTCACTCTTGGAGATAGAAACAGAGGCGATAGCGGGGAGCGTCGAGAGGACGTGCACGAGTGTGAGGAAGCCATCGAACGCGCGGAAGGAGTCTGCGGTCTTGGCTTGGACGCGCAGAGTGTCTCGTATGCGTGTTAAAATCTGTAATCGAACGATGCAAACGGATAATTGATACTATAGCCTTGTTGTAAAACATAGGCGAACGCACCTCTATCCTCTGGTCGACTTCCATACTGAACTTGAGCTCGTCGACGTCCGCGTGCATCACCTCCTGCATGGTCTGTACATCCCTAGAGGCCTGCGCTGATGCCGGGCGCGATAGGTTGGATTCAGCGTAAGCACTGCTGTTGGAGTTTGCACGTGAGAGGGATGGCGAGTTGTTGGGGTTCGGGGAGCCTGGTTGTGCGGTGGAGGTAGATGCGGTCAGGAGAGATCTGAGCATACGTTTCTATGAGTCGTTTCGTATCTGAATCGTGTCAAACAACGAGAGAGAATAAAGGTGAAGGGGAGAGAAAGGCGGTCCTCTATTACGTACCCCTGTTCATGTTCTCGAGGCGCGCGTTGGAAAGCCTCCGCCTCCGACGCGCACGGCACGCGACCTGGGGCTCATCCACTTTCTCCTCCACCATCTCCAACTCCTAATCAGCTCATTGTCGCCATCTGTATCCTACGCAACATCGCTAACCCTGCCGCTCTCCTGCGCCTGATCGCTACCATAAGTAAGCACATTTCACGTTCCCGCCTTCTCATAACGTCAACGAAGCGGAGCCCGACTTCTGAACGACGAAACTTATAACCACTTCTTGCCGTAGAGCTCGTGACTATATGCACATATGAAACGCTTAATATTGCTTCAAGAATCTTGCCAAAGCATCAATCTCTCCGAACTAGCATAATACTCACAACCCCGCCCCCAATGGACGTCCGACGAAGGTATGTACTAGAATTTCGTTATCTAGCCGCCTGCCCCTCAGCTGAGGTATGGAATTTCTAATCCTTTATCGCATCGACTTTTTATGTCTGCTATCGGGCGCCACTCCTGGCCTCTCCCTTTCCTACGCTCACTAACCCATGGAAAGCCCATCCCAAGCTGCCTCTTCTCCATTACACCACGTCAAAGACGTTAAAGACGCAGACGAAGCCCTCCTTGCGCGAATCGGCTACAAACAAGAGCTCAAACGCGAGTTTTCGCCCTTCGAGGTGCGTCGCCTACTCCATCTTGAGTGGTGTAATCTGTAAGAACCGACTGCTCTTACTGACCCCTTTTCCTCGCCACATCCCCAGATATTCGCAGTATGTCTGAACGTCATGAGCATTGTCCCGTGCATAGCGTACGTGCATCAAGTTTCTGCGAACAAGAAAGCTTCGCTCATTCATACAGATCGGTCCTCTTCAACTCCATCCCAAACGGAGGGCCCGTGGCGATGGTCTGGGGGGTCAGTTACCCTTTTCATTCGCCTTACCCCGCTTACCACGTTAAAGCTAACTGCGCACATAGTGGGTAGCCCCCTTCCCCTTCATCCTCTGCATGGCCCTTGGCATTGCGGAGCTCGCATCGGCTAATCCCACATCTGGCGGTGTAAGTTACCAATAGCTGTTCTTGAAGAACCGCACCAAGTAACAAACGGAACACTATAGTTATACTACTGGACACACGCGCTCTGCTCTCCAGGATCTCGGAACTTCCTTTCATGGGTTGTAGGGTGTGAGCATCATTTCACCTCTTCAACAGCTCTAGCTGAAACAAAGACAAACGATCCATTCTAGACGCAAACACGATCGGCAACAGCACCGCAATGGCCTCCGTCGACTGGGCCTTCGCGGTCCAGGTCACGGCGGCTGCGAGCATGGCCACGGACGGCGCGTTTGCTGCGACGCAGCCGCAGACTTTGTGAGCCTCTCGTCATCTAGACAGTCGCCTTCAACCTTCCATCCTAACTAACGACTATACTGCAACACCATCTTCGTCGCCGCCCTCTTGCTCCACGGCTTCGTCTGCACGCTCGGCACCAAGGTGCTCGCCAGGCTCGCTAACCTGTTCATCCTCGTGGAAGTGCTGTGAGTGAAACCCTCATCACCGTGTCAATCGTGCGCACTGACACGTCCTTCGCTGCGTCGCTCAACTGAAAGCCTATGCATCGTAGTGGTCGTCGTGCTCCCCGCAGTGACCCCACCCGAGCTTAGGAACTCGGCTTCGTACGTATTCGGCGGGTTCACGAATTGTAAGCCTAGCCGTCCCTCTCAGATCCAGACGACTGACATCCCGTCGCCTCGCATCGTATTGCACGTACTGTACAGTGAGCGGCTGGCCCTCGGGCTTCGCATTCATCCTGAGCTTCCTCGCGCCGCTCTGGACAGTCGGTCAGCTTGATGTTCTCTTAATGCGGCCTTTTGAAGTTTGACGAACAAAAAAAATCTATAGCCGGATACGACTCGAGCGTGCACATGAGCGAGGAAGCGTCCAACGCCGCGCTTGCCGTTCCGTGGGCGACAATGTGCTCCGTCGTAGCGGGCTTCGTCCTCGGCCTAGGTACGCTCACTTTCCCCTCCCACCGCAACATCAATATCAAATACTAACCACCAACATCCTCTCCAAGCCGTAAACATCTCCCTCGCATTCTGCATGGGCCCCTCCGTCACCGCCGTCATAGTATCCTCGCCCCTCGGCAAGACCCAGCCGCTCGCAGAGATCTTCCGCGCGTCCCTCGGCGTGCGCGGCGCGCTCGCGCTGTGGTCCCTCGTGCTCGTCGCGCAGTTCTTCATGGGCGCGAGCACCCTGCTCGTGTGCTCGCGCCAGGTGTTCGCGTTCGCGCGGGACGGCGCGCTGCCGTTCTCGCGCAGCGTCTACTCTCTCGGATACTGGCGCCCCGGGCGACGAAGTATGATTTCTAGTCCAGGCCGTAGTACGAAAGCTAACCTCAAATCAGATTCGGCGGCAGGAGCCAGAGCGGAGGCGGGGTTAGGGGTAGGACTGGTAGAGGGAGCACCGGTGGCGGCCGTGTGGCTCGTCGTTGCGTTTGCGCTGCTCGTCGGTCTACTGAGCTTCGCGGGCGCACAGGCGATTGACGCGGTGTTCGGTATGGCCGTCGCGGCGAATTATGTCGCGTACATCGTGCCCATGGCCGCGCGGGTGCTGGCTTCTCGCAGAGGAAGTGACGTGGACAAAGCTGGTCATGGAGGATTCAGGCGCGGGCCGTTCCACATGGGTCGTTGGGTGCGCGCCCTCTTTTCTCTCTTAATCAACCTCACTCTACCGGACACTGACAACTCAATCGACTGTACTTTCTTGCAGAGCACCCCGGTGATATCGGTCGCGCTGGCGTTCATGGTGTTCATGATCGTCGTCTTCCTCTTCCCCGCCTCTCCCGCAGCCAGCGCTCGAGACATGAACTACTCGGTCGCCGTTCTTGGTGGAACGTTCGCGCTCGTCATCGCGGGGTACTATTTCCCGGTCTATGGTGGCGTGCACTGGTTTCGGGGCCCGGTGCCAAACTTTGACGCTCATGCTCGCCCGGACCCCTATCGCGAGAGCGTTAACCGGCGAGAAGACAAAGACGGCGCCGAAAAAGGGGCAGAGAGCGCTCGATCAGAGTATTTCGCTCAAGGTCAGATATCAGAATCACAGCAAACGTTCCTAAATAATTCGTCACTTGCTGTGCATCCATAATGATCCTTGATGCTTTAAGACAAAGCGATAGATCGCTTCAGTGGTTCTTCACGTCTGCTCCAGTGATTCTTCACGTTCACTCCCGCAATCCTTCAACCTTCTCCCGGCAGAAGTATACTGCCGCCACAATGATCCTTCGTTGCAATCGAGGCTATGATCAGAGATTCTTGTTCTCCGTCCAGTGGAACGTTATGACATAGCCTTCACTGTATGTTCTAACTCTGTTCAGGGGAGCCCTTCTCTTGTGTGGGAGAGACGACATAGCAACACAGCCTTTATTAGCTGCGGTCAAGGCTCAGCACTCAGCTACGACAGACATGACTCCACGATGTGGATGTTTTTCATAAACGAACATGTCCAATTATCTCATATGAACTCGAACAGTGCCAAGCTCAACGTCAAACCGAATGACTCTGATGTATGCCTGCCGTGTATCTTGCATTACCGGAATTTATCAGGCGTCTATCTGTTTAAGCGCTGTGACAGATGATCCTCGGAAGCACGTTCACATTGTGCTGCGTAAGGGAAGCGACTTCCCAGTGTTCGGTGCCGACTAACCCGGCCCTTCTTTTCTCTGTGAATCTTATCAATGGCCGGTCTTCGACGCCCATAAAAGCTCGAACTCCCTCTGCTCGCTACGCTATTAGCCCCCAACCCCTCACGATGACATACTATAGCCCGGAGCTTCTATCATGGGCACGCCTATACGTAACGCAAGAATATGTGGGACGTAAGATTCGCTCGTTCTTTATCCTTGCAGCAAGCTGCTCATAGGTCAACGTCCAGTCGCTGAATCATTCCTGGTTTTATATGACTATGGTGCGACCGAGATCTCACTCATGCGTGGTCCATCGTCTCACGTCCACGCAAACGATATTGGTACACAGTACTGAATTTCACATCTGAGGCGAGTGCGATGCAACTAGTCTTCACTAGCTCTTAATCCTCACGGTTCTTTCTCCGTAGGTGGAGCTCATATGGGTAAGACTCAAAATGTTGCTAAGGTTCATTGCATGCCAACGTGTTACAGTCTCGAAAGTTCACGTCCACAACACTAGTATATATGGTGGTATGATGTTTATCGGTTGCATTTGATAGACTGGAATAACATTGCGACTTTCCAGCTGCGCTATCTTGGTTTAGGCTACGCAGGGTAAGTATCCAGCCCGTAAAGTCATCGCTTGCGCTTAACCTCACGTCTCTAGATTGGAAGGAGGTGTGTTGACCCGCGCCACACATGGCTTCCTATCATCTGACTCGTCGACAAGTTTCGTCTCTTCTGAACGGACCGGTGTCTCCTCTGGTGAGTTCGTCCATCTTTATCTAGAAGGCCAAACCGGCTCAATACTAGTTCAATAAGTGGTACGCATCAGCGACTTTTGCCAATTATTAATTCTCAGATTGTGTACAGCTGTTAGACCTCTCCTTTCCATGTCAGTCATAGCCTTATCAAACAACTCTCAGGCTTTTATCTGTGGTCATCCGGAGCAGTACTCAACCTAATCCTCAACTGTGTTTTGCAAGGTTTTCCTCTACTTTATTGAGTCATTTTTACATGGTCTCAATTCATTATCCAGGCATGATGACCATGCGCGTGTATGCATTACTCGGCCGGCCCAAATCATTCCTTTATCCCATTTCTACATTATTTGTTATTGTTCAAGGCATAGGCATTGCCTCGAATCTTGGAACATTTAAAGCAGTGCTAGGATCCACAGGTAAACTACAAGATCATTGCACGCGAAGGGCTTCTACTGACCCGAAAAATACTTAGATCGCATCGCTATCGCAGGTCTCAATGTGTGTGAGGATCCAATTCCAGCGTCAATGTCATGGATCACGACAACAAGTAATACCCTGTGGATGACCTACGAGTTCGTTCTCTGCGGTGCTATCTTGCGTTACACATTCAAAGAAATCCCCGCTTCTTCGTGGAAAAGCCCAACCCGGTCAATCGGTGCTCTCGTGTCGGTGATCGTTCGAGATAACCTGTTTTACTTCTTCATGTGATCCTACAGCCGTTGAAATTGAGTGTTGAAACCCTACTGATCCTAAGATAATTTCAGTGTCGCCTTCTCAATGCTTTTTGGAATCCTCAACGCCGAAAACATTACCAACGTAATCATTCCTCTTCTTTCTGTCTTCCATATTGTAAACTGATGTGGCGTTCCCACTAACAGATATACATATTTGCTTATGGGAGTCGAACAAATTCGGTGCAAGTAGCCCTGATTGGCCCATGGATAATCCTGAACCTTCGGAGGTGCTGTGACACAACTGTAATCTGCGATACATATGACTCGAGAGAGATGTCAACTATCGCCTTTGGTAACATTGAGCTTCAGAAGAGTTCAGAATGCAAGGCCCCACGCGTTGACGGTGCCTCAGAAACGGGCAAGCTTTTTGTGTAGACTGTTCTCCGTTTCTGGTACATTTCATCTCATCAATACCATTGTACTTTTAAAAATATGGACTCAAGCTAGTTTACCCGTTCTCAATCGCTTTTAAAGGTAATAATGTCATTAGACGATGGGAGAAGAGTTGTTATCCTTGTGCCGACGCTCTGAAAGAAACAGAGGATATTGGTACAGTACGTAAGGAACTCCCTTTTGAAGGGGAGCGAGCGGAGGGGCGAGAGCACGATAAAACGAGTGAATTGAGGCGTCGAGACGACGACTAGTAGGTCTTGCGTACAGGAATAATCTACGGGTATCGAGTACGAACTGAGGCTGATGTACTGTATAGATAGACGGAATCTTGCGACGTAATCACGTGACGGCGCCTTGCGCGCGTCACTTTACAACACTCCCGCTGCTTTAAACCCTTAGTTTGCCGGATAGTCATCTACCAGCAACGACTTCGTCAAGACTTACGAGTAATTGCTTGTTTCTTTATGGAGTTTCTTTGCATTTCCTCCGCTTTTTGTTTACTCGTGTTTCGCAGGAATTTATCTCAGGGTTAGGGTTGGAGCTTCGTTATCGATCTTGAGCTTGAGCCTCAGCCAGCTCAGATCAGCTCACTTCTCTGCGTGCTATAGCTTTAGGCGCAACCCTCTCTCAATCGATTATTATTGGCTGTTCAACGTTCATGAGCAACTCTCTTTGTCGATTACAATTGGGAGTGCCTGCCGGCTTTCAACATTTCTGAACACGTTCTTGAAAGCTCAACCTTTTCCCATGTGTCACTTAAACCTCTTACAGCAAAACCGGTGGTCTGGTGCAATCGTGTGCGATTGCGTATCTAGCCGCTCGCGCTCATCCTTCACGTGTTTCATTTGAGTTCAATGGCTTACCGCGTTTGTTCTGGTTCTATGGGTCTGCTCAATAAGATAAAAGGGTGGGCAGTAGAGTGTGGGCCTCGAACGGTGCCTGCACACTCCCCATCATGATTGAAAGCCCGCCAACCCAAATTGGATTTCCCTCACGTAACGTTCAAGAAGCAGATGAGGCACTCCTCGCAAGGATTGGTTACAAGCAGGAGCTGAAGCGCGAGTTTTCTCCGTTTGAGGTGCGCCAGCACCATCCTGTTCTCTTGATTCTCAAAATGATGGAGAAACACTGATTGTTTTCCCCTCTTGCCATCGGCCAGATATTCGCAGTATGTCTGATGTCAATGGGGCTGGTTCCAAGCATAGCGTGAGCGATGCAACGCTCTGCGGTCAGACGACCCCCATTCATTCATCCCTTCATACACGTGCCGTGCGTATTTGACAGCTCGGTTCTCTTCAATTCCATCCCCAATGGAGGACCCGTGGCGATGATATGGGGCGTAAGTTCCACTTTCCCTGACTAATTATCCCATCACGATCTCATTTGATTCCAGTGGATAGCCGCCTTCCCTTTCATCTTGTGCATTGCCCTGGGTGTTGCTGAGCTCGCTTCGGCAAACCCAACATCAGGTGGTGTGAGACTTCAGTTACTGGCCACCGCGTAAAGTTGAGGATACAGCTGAAAAACGTCTAGCTATACTACTGGACGCACGCGCTTTCTCCGCCAGGCTGCAAAAATTTCATGTCATGGATTGTTGGATGTAAGCTTGTGTAATTGCATCGACCAAGTAGCCTACTAATCAACCCTAAAGACGCAAATACAATTGCAAACAGCATCGCCATGGCCTCTGTCGACTGGGCGTTTTCGCTGCAACTCACGGCAGCTGTGAGCATGGCTACGGACGGAGCGTTCGTTGCCACTCAGCCGCAGAACTTGTGAGTTCTCCACTGTTGTATGTTGTATTCCTGGTGGTGATTTGGACTTGATATTCGAATGCAGCGGTATCTTCATCGCGACTCTGCTGCTACATGGCATGGTATGTACACTATGCACAAAAGTGCTCGCTAGACTTCAAAACTTCTGTGTCCTTTTGGAAATCTTGTGAGTGGCACTGTCCCTCATTTTCCTCAATAAATATGTTGACGCACCTCATTCCAACCTTTGTAGTCTCTCCATTGTTGTAATTGCTGTGCTACCCGCTGTGACCCCTACCGAGTTGAAGAATGTGCCTTCGTATGCATTTGGCGAATGGACAAACTGTAAGTTATCGCAATCGTTCGATAAGTCGTTGATGTGATAGTGTCTGGGACTAACATGCGCCATGCCGTTTGTTACAGTGAGCGGTTGGCCCTCGGGGTTTGCGTTCTTCCTGAGCTTTCTCGCCCCTCTTTGGACAGTCTGTCAGTTATGTTCTGTATCCTCAAAGGTATTGGTAGAGCTAAGGAATTGATAACAGCCGGATACGACTCCAGCGTTCACATGAGTGAAGAGGCGTCGAACGCAGCAATTGCAGTGCCATGGGCAACGATGGGCTCTGTTACCCTAGGATTCATCCTAGGCTTAGGTATGCATACCCCTTCCTCCCTCGTCCGGTAGTGCACGACGTCACTCGAAAAAAATTGATCACCATGTTATGTTCAGCATTAAATATCTCCATTGCATTTTGCATGGGCCCTGACCCCACCAATATCATCGACTCGCCTCTCGGGCAGCCTATGGCGCAGATATTCTACGCCTCTCTAGGCAAGAATGCCGCGCTCGCACTTTGGTCGCTCGTAATTGCCGTTCAGTTCTTTGTCGGTTCCAGCTACCTGCTCGTCGTCTCACGCCAGGTGTTCGCGTTCGCAAGGGACGGCGCACTGCCGTTTTCGCGCTACGTCTACAGTCTTGGATACGGGCGCCGTCGACGTGACTCAAAACCACGAGTGGGATTGAGTGCGGCCATAGCAACTGGAGAAGGTACCCCGGTGTTCGCAGTGTGGATGGTCGTCGTGTTCGCCATGCTGACGGGCCTGCTGAGTTTTGCGGGCGCTCAGGCAATAAACGCCGTGTTCGGGATGGCTACTGCGGCGGGATACGTGGCGTACATTGGGCCTATGTCTGCGAGAGTTTTGGCTGCGCGGAAAAGCGCCGACGAAACTTCGAGATTCAGGCCTGGTCCGTTTCACTTAGGATCATGGGTGCGTCTGACTCCGTTCTTCTGATACCCATCCTCTAGCAGGCTGACGTACGCAATCTACGCTATGTCATTGGACCAATGCAGAGTGTTCCAGTGTTGTCGGTCGCGCTGGCGTTCATGGTCTTCATGATCATCATTTTTCTCTTCCCCGCTTCTCCCAACATCAACGCTGGAGAAATGAACTATGCGGTCGTCGTCCTAGGAGGAACATTCACACTCGTTGTGGTGGGTTATTACTTCCCTGTATACGGAGGCGTACATTGGTTCCGAGGCCCAGTCTCTAATATCGGTGTTGATGGCGAGGCTGACTCTGGTGGTAATGTCGGAGACTTCAAAGATAAAGGTTCAGAGACTTTTAGAACTGTAAATGCCTAATTATTCAAATTCCTGTATAGACAAATTGAACCAGACGTACTAGCCAAATACTATCATCTGGATTAAAACATCGTATGTGATTATCTGAGGCAAACAGACCCTATAAAGGGTAGGGACACATTCGCTCAGCCTTATACTGGCGACGCCTTCAATCCGCAGTGCTTGTCATAGAACCGACACAGGCTTGCGTGGATAGTCGTCCCAGTCCGCCTTTAACGGATGCCACACAGTATAGTTGAGCTCTGATAAAACATCGGCCAGACTAATCTAGTCTTCGTTCGACAAGGTTACTTTGAAGCCGTCTCTTTCTCCTCACGGATACTTGCCGCTGAGACTTTCCCACCTCCAGTAGCCAGCCTAGTTTCCTGCCCCATCCTGGATCGTGACGCCATATCGGTGATCATGAAGCATTCAATTCTTGCGGGTGCAACATACAGTATTTACAAGTTATCTTCCCCCTCTGCATCACATGGTCTTATCGCGTGGAAACGCAGGATTCTGGGTTCATGGCCTCCCAAATTTGTGTCCTTTGTACGGCACTGGAGCTTCTTGCACATACGTCATTACACCCAGCCGATGTGAGCAACAATAGAATCAAAATAGATAACGGTCTTCGATACTCATGTGCGGAACCCCGGAGTTTGTCGGTCTGTTGACAAGATAACCAGCTTCCAGCAGGTGTATTTCTTCCCACAAGCGGTGCTGGTACTCGATCGTAAAGTCACATAATTGCCGTCGTGTGAGAGGATATATGAACCTTGTCTTCCTGACATGATTTTCGGCCCTTTCTCTTCTCTGTACCGCTTTCACTGATCATCATGCTCCCAGTAAACACAGGTGTCGCTCTTGTAACAGGCTGTGCCCAGGGCATCGGTCGCGCTGTCGCCACTCGCCTTGCATCGGATGGGTTCCATCTCGCGTTGACTGACTTGCCGGGGAAACAAGGGCACGTCGAAGACCTTGTGCATGAACTCTCAAAGCGCCGTTCTGACATCCGTACACATGTTGCGCTAGGCGATGTCAGCGTAGAGAATACTGTGCGGAATTCGATTAAAGATGTTGTAAGTAAGCTGGGCGGGATCGACGTGGTGAGTCTCCTTGATGCTCCGCCTCGTCCCCAATGCCACGACACTCTATTCCCGAAGAGTAATTGTGGCTGAATCGTGCACTGCAGGTGGTTACCGCAGCTGCCATATGCCCAGTCAACTTACTTTGCGATAGTAAGCACACCCTTATTCAATCTAGGAGCATGGCTGGGGCCAGGAATACTGACCATGTCGGCCGGGTCGACGTGCTTCAACTTTGTTATAACCACTGAGAAACAATGGGACAACATCTTCTCAGTCAATACCAAAGGCACATTCTTCTACTACAAACATGTCGGGAAGCAGATGATAAAGCAGGGTCGAGGCGGGCGCATTATTGGCATGAGCTCCATCACGGGCAAAAGAGGTGTTATCTCTCGCTTCTTGAATCTAGAAATGAACTCGCTTAAGAACTTACAATTGGCTTGGATATATTCTATAGGCCTTCCATTTATCGGACCTTACTCTGCTTCAAAGTACGCCGTACGTGGGTTAACACAGGCGGCTGCATCCGAGTTTGGGAAGTACGGCATCACTGTAAATGCATGTGCGCCAGGGAGCATCGAAACTCAACTCCGTGAGTAGTTGAAGATATAGGGACACTGCTTTATTGACCAACAACGCCTTTCCTGTTTACTTCACACTGTAGTGAGAGATGCAGGGGTTGCGCTAGAAAAGCTGCTCACCGAGGAAAGTCCGGCTGGCCTGGCTGATGTGATAGTAAGCAGGTTATTTCCGGGAATGAGAGGTCAATCATAGAGTCTGACATCATTTATATCGGAGGATCCGAGCCACGCCCCACTAGGTAGGCTCGGGCAGCCCGAGGATATAGCAGGCCTAGTATCATACCTCGCTTCCGCCGATTCAAGCTTCATGACTGGTGCGTTCCCTACATCCCGTATACTAATTGAAGCAAGCTAACTCTTTTTACTCACTCGACATCAAGGTCAAACGGCAAATAACACTTTTCCATGGTAGCTAGAGGGCCAAGCTAACTCGAGGTCTTTGCAGGTATCAATCGACGGCGGGCTCTACTTTGACTAATGTGAATATAGTCAACGCTGCGCAGCGTAGTTCCGACCTGTCGAAAATTCACGACTTGCGGCGGAAGAAGGTTCTTTCACTCGCTGATTCGTCTTCAAAGCAGGAGTCTCAGAAGAAAAAACTTCGTTAGAATACAGTGCCCCTGACTGTATGTTGTGCTATTTTGCATTTGAGTTTCTCACGATATGTTCGCGGCGTGCACTTGAGTCATGTGGCGTCGTGCATGTGCTAGCTGCTTCTGCACGTTATGTGAACACATAATATGTCCTCTTTTGATGCGCTTGTTGTTGAACACGTAAGGGATGATACGCTATGACATATTGTATTCATAGGCAATACAGATTCATCATTCTAGCCAATAACTTAATCGCCGTTATGCTGACAGCTGAAGGGATTGTTCGCGTCACTATACGTGAGACAATAAAACAAAACAATTAACTTACGAATGTAAAATGCCAGGAACTTTGAGAGTTTCATGGGGTGTATCGATGTACCAGGAAAATGGGCGTTTCATCTTCAGCATGATCCATTCTCAACGATCACCGGTCCCGTAGCGTCGTGTGCTCACAGTGCGAACTCCGCACATTTTATTCGCACATGAGAGTATTTACACGAAGACGCCCGTTGTTTCGTGCCGCCACCCAACAGTGGCGGTGGCGAGCTCCATTCATAGATCCTCAGAAGTTATACCAACAAAGCAACGGATCATACAATTGTCTAATACGGCGTAGACTGAAAAACATGCAGCCCCACAATGCGCTAAGCGATAATTGTCCACTATCTGTCGTAGTTAACATCGTTATAAACTCTCAATTCCCCAGGTAGACCTCACCGAGGGATAATTACCCCACTTTCCCCTCGAGACACCAGACACAAGTGTTCCAATACGCCAGCAAGTAGTTGGTATGTCGGCAACTAAAGGCGTTGCACTTGTAACAGGCTGCGCCCAGGGCATTGGGCGTGCCATCGCGCTGCGGCTCGCCTCCGACGGATTCCACCTCGGTCTTTGCGATCTGCCTGCGAAACGAGAAGCCGTTGAGGAGCTGTCACTCGAGATATCTAGGACGCGCTCTCATGCAGGCTCCGATATCCGGACCTGCATCTCGCTCGGGGATGTAAGCGCTGAACACGAGGTCCAGAATGTGGTGGGGTCTGTGGTAGAAAGTTTGGGAGGAGTGAACGTGGTGAGTCTACTTTCGCTGTCATGAAATTTTGATACATATCAAGTCGTTCATACCAAATTTATCTCCCATCGCTCTCACTTTCTGCAGCTCGTCAACAGTGCTGGAATTGCTCACGACAAGCCATTTCATGAAAGTTAGTTATAAGCGGACATTTCTCGTTCCGTGACAAACCTATTGACGCGCTCATGCATTGCAGTTACCGAACAAGAATTTGACAGAGTCTTTGCTGTCAACACAAAGGGCACGTTTTTCTGTTACAAACACGCCGCTCAACGGATGCTCAAGCAAGGAAGCGGGGGGCGTATCATCGGCATTAGTTCTATTGCAGGAAAGAGAGGTACAGTCTTGAGGCATCGAACCTCGTCTTACGTGTCTATAGCCTGAATTCTCATTTATCTGATTTGCTACGTTTCAGGATTTGCCTTGGCCAGCACCTATTCGGCTTCGAAGTTCGCTGTGCGCGGTTTGACGCAATCGGTAGCGGCTGAGCTTGGATCGCATGGTATTACCGTAAATACCGTTGCGCCTGGGACCATTGATACTCCTTTGAGTATGTACCTATAAACTATCCTCTGCATGTTTGCTTACCGTGACAACGAACACGTTCCAGTGAGAGAGTCCATCGAAGAATCGATGAGGGTGACGGGGAACGATGAGGGTCTCGTCAAGTCATTGGTACATCGATGTTTGTTTGTATTTTAGGGTGTGCTTCTCAGCCGGTTTCCTAGTCCACCCACTCGTCAGCGCTTGGTTGTCTTGGAAAGCCTTCAGATGTTGCTGGGCTAGTTTCTTACCTCGCATCTGCCGAGTCGCGCTTTATTACTGGTATGTCTTGGGAATCCATATATAAACTCAAAGTTCATTGGCTTATACGGTACTCCTAGGTCAAACCGTACGTATTGTCTACCAGCTTCGATGAATGTCTCTCCGAACTTGGTACTGACGTATACTAATCCTCAGTTCGTGGTTGATGGCGGGACCGTCTTTGATTGACATCCGACCAGAGACCAGTTCAGACTCCTTCCGATTGTCGACACTCAAGATGATATAATATGAGACGCGTTTGTATTCATGTTAGCGTCGGATAAAGGTTGGGGTTTGACCAAAGAGTGTTCATTGTATATATACTTAATTCGGACTGTACGGAATATGGCGTCTGCGACACAATGACATGGGAAAATATGTGTATCAGTCTGGGGGAAAAAATGTAACAAACTCCGATTCAATCTTGAGTATGGAAAATCTTCCCTACTTCCGATTGTGTTCTCGATTAGCCTCTGACTTCAAAGTACAGTAAGAGCCTGCCAGAAGCAGAACGGACCATTGACGAATAAAAGTATGCATACGGTACCATTTAAAGCAGTGATTTTACTTAACAAACAACCACCACAATGAAAAGCCAGCCGTAATTTGTGAGGGCGAGGGTGTGATATTGTCCGTTCCGTGAGAGGAGAGAGAGAATGTATTCCGTGGCACTAGAAGGGCATGTTATGGAAATAATAGCCAATATCTCCGCTAGGATCGAATACATACTATTGTCTGTGAAAACGGTGAGGTAAAGTAGTACCTATCGTACCACTTTGTTTGATCTGTTTCTTGCTTACGAGGCGTCGCGGGGGAAACGAGAATATGGTCGAAGTAATGTAGTGCGACAAGGAGAAGGGCACTTTGACGAGAGAAAGCGCCGTATGCAACGTGCAAAAAAAATCAGACACGAGGTAGATAGAAAAAAGGATATTAACCGTTCACGCACCAGCGAGGCGTTAACCCGCTGTTTGTAGGTGCATTCAACCACCTAACCATCTGTAACGCAGCCGGACGTCAAACGTCCGCGTCATCATTAATGATCATATCTCGGTACTTTGCGGCGGAAATTGCTAGCACAGCTTCTGGCTAGTATCAGCTACACCGACTTGAATCCTTAGATGTAGCAGAATTGTGGTTTCAATTTTGGGAAAGTAGGTTCACTCTGGCAAAGTCAGGAAAGTGCAGTTAATGTACGTGCCAAAATCCTGATGACTAGCATGTGAATTACATTTTCATTGGACCCAATCATGTACGTATACTACCGGTCTCAAAGGACATTGTACACATGTATCATGGTTTAAGCTGAAATAATGTTCCATACCTTCATGGTAACGGAATATCACTCTTGCCTTTGCTTCTCTGGTACGTATGCGAGAGGCCATTGTACCTCTCCCGAACAACGCGAAAGCGCTCCAACATCTCAGTTTTCTCTGCCGGATCGCCAAGTTCTTCGATCAAAACGGCCACAGACTTGCCGGTCCAAAAGGCGTTCTGTCTGTTGTACAAAGGTCGTCTGTTGTATGCTTCGTCTGTCTCGCCTTCTGCTTTCACTTTGAAGACCTACATAGTTATATTAGCCATATTATTGAGGGTGCAGCATAAACTCCTCTCAGTACCTCCTCCAAGATCTTGAGGTCGTGTGGGTTCGTGAAGACTTCACGTGTATCTTCGTACGTGAAGAGGTAGAAGAAGCTGTTGAAGCCGCTCCATGAGATAGCAGAAAGACCTGTACAACCCATGTCAGCTCGTCAAGAGGCAATTTCTCTTTGGCAGTGAAACTCACACAGAGAACACGGCTCATGCGTAGAGAGCAAGATGCAGTCTTTCGGGGAAGGTCTATCCTCCAACTCGTGGAACTTCAACAGGCAGTTCGTCTCTCCGTGCTACATCAGTCAACTCCTTCGTTAGTAGAACTCGTATGACATAGAACAAACGAGATAAATAAGACGCACCAGGAGTGGAGACTTCGTCTCGTTATTAGTCGCTGATACGATAACCTCCAGCGTCGACTTTCGAAGAATGGAGGCGCCGAAGACCTTATCGCCCTTCGCGACGCCTGATGATGTCAGCGGAATGATATCATCTGAGATGGTTCGCAAGAAAGCGTTCAGCAGAGCGCGTTGCGTTGTATCTGCCATGGTTAGAGGCGCAGGGGCCCCCGAGATGCTGGTCTTATCAGCGGATGGCAGCGTGCGAACCTATTTTGACCTGTTCATGTGGGGTAGGCCGAGTCTATTTTTGATCGAGCTCTTCGTAGATCGGAAATATAACACAGAATCATCACTGACAGCTATGCGAGTCAGTGCGGACCTCGCACCAGCATAGCCATGTTGGCCATGAAGGATATGTCACCTCACCTGCACAGAAAGGCGCAATGGTCAATGTATAGTACGTACCTGACAAGCTTTGGAGAGAATTTGTCCATCGAGTCAATGACTCTACGAGAAATATGATGCAATCCGTCAGTACATTGTTTCCTTAGTCATCCAAGGCGCCAGAAAGGCTTCAAAGGGACTACGCTCCCTCACATTGTGAAACCAAGCAGGATATGGGCCATCACTAAATGGGTGGGAAAAGTTTGACCGTTATACCGAGTGATCACCGTTATAATATCGTCGTCGAGACAGTTTTGTATGATCACGGATGGTGACGCATTCCCATTGAGTTAACATATTGTTACAGTGTGGCAGTGAATTTCGGCCGAACACCATGTCGCGGACACTTTACCATTGATCAAAACTGATGATCTTGCTCGTACATTTGTTAGTCAAATATAAAATACGGAGACCATTTCAGAAACAAAATTATCATTGAGCGATAACTTCAACTGCATATGACAGCCACCGCTTTAGGTAGACACAAATACTAATGAACAATAAAAACGGTAGAGATTTGAATACCTGCTGACCTTTACAATGATGCAAAAGTGGAGCAGGCGAGCGGGGGAAGAAACCCAGCCACACCACATTGGGCGCATGAACACCAATCGCTCGGCGTCTTTCTGCTTCTGTTCCTACCTATAGCCCTTGCGAGGCAATGTCTGAAGTGGCGACATGCATTCCAACTACGAGAGAAGACCTCTAGTTATTTTAAGCGAGCACTCCTGCCTGGGTTGCGCGACACTCAAACGTCTAAATATAATATTGGCCAATCAGAGACAGATGATGAAACCAGCCCTAAAGCTGATAGAGAGATAAGATAAGATAAGACCTTTGTGTCGCCTTTTTGAACTCTCTCTCCACCTTTTCTCTCTCCTCCCTTCGACTTTTCTCTTTCTTCCCCCCGCAATAATCCTACCCTGTACTCTCTGTTTGATTCCCTACTTGTATTATACGCTTCTCCACCACCGGTTGTCACTACACTCACTTGTCTCACCTCAAGTCCTGGAAAATTGTCCAGTTCTTCCGGTATTTTGGCCCTGGTACATCTTCTATGTTTACTACGCATTTAAGCATCTCACCAAACCCAGAACACCTCAAACACAAAGCCAACAGCATGCTAGAGCAATGTACTCAATGGCGATGAGGTGCATGCTTCTGCTCCATCCCCCAGCTGTCGGCGAGGACCTGGAGCACAAGCCTGGAGTCTGAGGCTATCACATTTCGAGTTGATGGTCACTATGTGCGTCCCCACCCGCCTTCTGTCAGAGTTGGAGCCCGAAAGTAGACGAGTGCTGTCATCGACTGCTAGCTTGTAAGCTCTAATTATTTCCTCGGATTTCCTACACTCGTCTACTGCTACTGCTCTCTTATAATAACTTTGTTAGTCGTTTTAACCTCAAATAATGCTACATCATGTGCTATATAATATTCACAATAAATGTCTTGTCATTGGAATCATGGGCAAGATTGCGAGTCCTCAACATATGGTCTGAGTTTTTATCATACGGCATAAATCACCAGCCAATCTTATCGTGTAATTATCATGCAGGCTCCGCCAGCGGTAAGATAGCCATCAATATTATAATATCATCCCTGATCTGACCATTTCACCGTCTTATTTTGGTCTGATTTCCCATATGTCAAAAACGGACTTTACGCTCCACTCGTGCTGGAGATTCGAAATATCATTAAGGTACGGTGTCAGTTATAACTGATTCTACTACTGCTCATGTACTTATATTCGGTCCGCCCATTTAGTGATGGGGCCACCAAGTTCAACGCTTGGTCAACGCGCTATGTTGACTAAATTGTCTTTCGGAACTGGGAGGCTGAGAGTCCTCAAGTCTACCTAGCACTGTACTCTTTACGTCGAATTTGCTGTCAAAGTTCAAATATGGATGAAGGTTTCGCGCAAGCCTTGTCATATACGCAACCTTCGGATGGGCCATCCACACTTAAGTTGGTTTTGCGTACACGTGATCGCGGAACGATCATCGCACGCGCCCCCCTGAGACGGCAGCCGCTTCACCAGACTCCTCAACCTGGTTCAGACAGACCAGGGTGGGGGCACAGTGACCCAGCCGTACAGCAATCGACGTCGCGATGTGGGGCTTATCTTGCGGATATACACTTTCAACCGGGGAGACGAAGCGCTGCTACTCCAGCGGTTCGAGCACGAAACTGCGCCAAGGGAGGCAAACAGCGAGCCATGGCGGAACCGGTCAAGTGTCATCATGATTCACCATTTTTTTCCGGTTATAAACACGTCCATAACAGATAAAACAGAGAATCTCCAAGCATATGCACCCGCTATGTCTTGCGATCACCGTCTAGATACGTCTCGGACCACATCGAGGCCAACGCATTTCTCCCCCTCGCCCGCTCCTCCTCGACCCACGTCTGCAGCACACACACGCAAAACATCTCCGGATAATCCCCCTTCAAGTCCTCGACCCCTGCCAAAACGAAAACCGTCCTCAGATCAGCACACAAAACTTCAAAATTCAGATAATCAAACACACGCCACCCATGCCTCCCCAACACCACCTCGCCCACCCACCTACTCTCCCTCTCCGCCGCCCCCGACCTTTCCAGAATCGACAGCACCTCCTCCCGCGCGCCAGGCTCCCGCATCCGCGGCCCGCACCGCCCGCGTATATCGTCGAACTGCAGCCGCATCGCGCGGTGCCCGAGGTGCGTCAGCCCGCGCATAATCGCCCTGCAGCGCGCCTCGAGCCGCGACAGCACCTCCGCGCTCAGCACGCCGGCGTAGCCGACGCGGTTGTGCGGCGTGTGGATCAGCCGCGCGAGGTGCGGGTCTGCGTGCATCAGCGGCGAGTGGAGCTGCTGGTACAGGCAGCTGTAGGAGACGTCGCTGGCTGACGGGACGTGTGGCAGATCTTCAGGTCTGCGGGGAGGTGTTACGGGTCCGAAAAGCATTTAGAGCGCGGAGCAGAAGGGGGGAGGATAGGGTGCTCAGATGTTACCGTTGGGGCTCATTATACCTGGCGACGCGACAAAGCGCGGTCGATGCGATGACTAGAGCGCCTAGAAAGAGTCTCAGTGAACCGACGCAAGACACGACCGCAAGAACAACAAAGGCCCAAGCGCCGAACGAGCTACCGTCACCGAGGGGCTTGGGCAGGACCTAGCACTCTCTCATCGCGGACGATCCTCCGATCGGCTCTTGCTGAACGCCCCGACCGCCACGGCCTCAACCCGAATCCAGCACAATCGATCAAGCACATTCAAATGATTAACAAAACAAAGAGTCACTTGAGCGAATACATTAGTACATGGTCCTCTTCCGAGCTTCCGAACGTGAACCGTCATGTTGTTGTTGTTGTTGTGTTGTGTATATACTTCCGCCCTCCTCCATCACCATGAATCCGATGATCGGCGTAGGCAATGCGAGGGGGCCAATGCGATGGTCCAATCTAATAGCCGACGCCGATGAGGTAGTCCGCGAGGCCCTCGACGACCACGGTGGCCTCGCCGGCCTGGGTGGGCGGCTGGTACTCGGCGACGAGGATGGCCTGTTTCGTCTTCACGACGACGATGCCGTCTTGCTGTGTGCGCGTAACGACAACGGGCGAGTGATGCAGGGGATTATGACGGTGGACAAGGTGGTGATGGTGTGCCGGTGTAAGGGGTGAGGAGAGCATATAACCGAGCAACGAACATGGAAATGGCGATGGCGATGGTAATAGCAAAAAGAGATGAGCACGCGCACGAATGTACTAATGAGTAACGGGGGACCCAGACACACCTGCTTGCGCCCGTAGAGACTGCGCGCCTCGGGGCGCGTGATGATGAACTTGCGCCCGGCGAGGGTGAGCGAGCTGACGGGGATGGTGTTCTCCTTGAAGGACGCCTCGATCTTGGAGACGGCGTCGATGATGGTCTTTTGCTCGTCCGCCGCGATCTGTCCGTGCCATACGCCAGAATATGAAGCAGGAAGAGTATGAAGCGGGAAGAGTACGAAGCAGGAAGCCGTATGCAGCAAGAGCATGCGATTGATCAGGATGGATAGGACTGTGTAGGAGCGGCGATGCGTACGTTGTATCCCGCCGATACCGCCCAGACACCGCCCTGCTGGCCGAGGATAGCGGCGCGGGCGACCTTGCCGGTGCCCACGAGGTTGGAGTCGACGTATGCTGCAAGGAGAGGAGGTCAGACGGCAGATGCAGAAGGCAGGATGATGAAGAGACACTGACTTTGCCAGGACATGATGAGAGGGAGAGCGAGTGGGATCTGGGGGAGGGAGGATGAGTGGATGGGTTTTGTAGAGGAGGCGAGAGTGGTAAGTAAGCAGGGAGTGCAGAGGAGGGCTTCCGTCAGTTGGGAAGGCGCGGAGATCGCCATATGATAACTCCCTCTGTGGCTGTCCAATCAGACGCATCGTCTACAACTCTTACATTACATTGCCTGCTGCATCCGTAAACGACATGCCGAACTCAATGCAAAGACCATCGTGTCCGGCGTAAGCAAGCAGAAGGAACGTTCGGAAGTAGGCTATCGAAACACAGCTCATTATAACGTACAAATAAAGCAGCATCAAAGAATCCAAAAGTCCGTGGACAACACTCCAACCAAGTCACTATCAGTGCCGTTCATTCACCTATCAAATGAACCCCAGCGTAAGCGCACTCGTCACCCAACCCACACCGTGAATCCACAAAACAGCGAACATACCACAACATACGTCAGCATCGGCGTAAAATCCACCTTCTTAATAATCGCCTTGATCTGGCACACCCTGCACAGGTTGCTCCGGTGCCTCACTCGCTGCCCGCGCATCTGCTGCAGCATAAAACAATCCAGCCCCTGAATACGCCTGCACCCCGCGCACGGCACCGTCAGCCCGCGCGGCTCGCGGAGCACGTCCAGCGGCAGGAGCCCGCACGAGCCGAACACGTCCTCGGGCGCGACGCGCCCCTGGTATGAGAGCGCGAGCGCGTACCGTGCGCTCTGCTCGAGCAGCGCGGGCTCCGTGTGCGGCGTGATCCAGCGGTCGTGTAGGAACTTGGCGTAGAGGGCGTCGAGCATGTATATGTCGTGCGCTGCGTACGCGAGTAGTTTGGGGTGCAGCGGGCGCTGCAGCCACATGGCGGAGCCGTCGGCCTTGTGCATGGCCACGACGTCGGCTACAAGCCATGCACCGAGGTTAATATTCCATCGAGAAGCGAAAAGTCAAGGAGTCCAAGTGAGCAAAGCGACCTTTCAGCGAACCGCGCCACACACCGTCCTTGCCCTGCATCGGAATCTTGCTCTCCCTCAGCGCCTGCTCCATACCCTTGAGCGCATGCACGCCCTTAAACAACCCGCGATTATCCCTCAAAAACCTCCACGACACGCGCCTCCCCCCCGCCGCAATCCGCCCCTCGCGGCGCCCCGCGCCCTCCCACCCGTCCTCCCCGCGCGCCCCGATCTCCGCCAACTGTAAATCAAGCACCCCACGCATCGCAGCCCCCAACACCTCTTTAATCTCCAGATAATCGTTCCGGCAGTCCCACATCACCTTGCGCACACCCGGGTCCGCGAGCACGCGCGCGAGACGCGCCAGCGCCGACGACTGATCCGTGCGACTTGAAGGATCCGCGGAGCCGCCGCTGGACTCGGACGCGCGCAGCGCGAGCACGTCGAACACGAACACGTCCCGCGCGTGCGCGCTGCCGACGCACACGAGCGAGAGCACGCCGCCGGCCTGGCCGATGTTCATCCCTTCGCAGTCGAGGATGATGTACGGCGACGCCTCGAGGTAGGGCAGCGCCCAGTTGGCCGTGCCCGGGTCCGCGCAGTAGATGAAGGCGGGCGGCGTCACGTCCATGCTCGCAGCTGGTGATAGCGGTGGTGGTGGTGATACGGGTGAAACAAGCGAGCGTGTTTGTTGCCTGTGCATTGGCCCGTAAGCGGGCAGGGAAACATGCCACTGAGGCTGTCAGCGTGTGGCATTGTCTCAGCCCCTATTTATGCCGCCTCATTTCGGCAGCTTTACATTTTGCGACTCATAGCTAACGTGGTCCTCGACCAACTCAGTGTCAAGAGTTTGCACCGAGGACATACAAAACTCGTAAAACGGACGTCCTCACTCCAAGTGCCTCGTTTTAATAGCCAATGTACCCCATTCAGGGTCTCCCAGCTCAGCACCACACTCGAGGGTGGCTCTACAAAGGCGCGTTCAGCCGAGGCCGAAAAACCACCATAATAATATACGCAGGGTGGGTATTATATCATAAAAAGAACTCTGCCGAGGCGACGACCGCTTTCTACACGCAGCGGAGGCACCCACGCGAGCATTTAGCGGATTAGGTACACCGTGACACCACCGCGCGAGGGACATGCAGCAGACAAACGTCGCAAGGTGTCGGAAGGGGACGCATACAGGCAAATGGATAAGAGCGAGCGCGAGAGCCAAACAAGATGTCCATTAACGTTATAGTGTAGACCCCCCGAGAATTACTTGGCGAACGACCGAATGATTTTAGCAGAGATGTGCAGGAAGAAGATGGATGCGATGAAGGAGAGCGAAAGGATGAGGACGACAAAGGGGTCACTGTATATAAGCACGAATGACAAGTTAGATATACGTGGAGGTAACAGAAGGGGGAGACGCACACTCGGAGACCAGGCGAGTCGTCCGTGTAGAGCTTGAGCATCGTCCCTGACGAGCCGCCCGCGCCCGCCGCCCGCGTCGAGTTCGGTTTCTGCTGACCCGTTGCCCGCCGGCTGTAGAGAGAACACAATCCTGGTTAGAGAAGACGAAGCACGTTGCAAAGGGAAGGGCGGGGGACGCACCGAATCTGAGCTCCCGGAGGCTTCGCAATAGCAGACGAGGCACGGCCGTTGGTTTGGCTGCGAACGGAGGCTTCAGAGTCGGACTGTTGCAGCCAGCCATGAGTTACACGAGCACAGGACCGAGAAAGGGAGGGAGAACGCACCATGGTGATGTTTCTACAGCTGCGTCGCGGGGTGAGTCTAACCAAACTTTTCCGGAGAGAGCGCTGAACTGCTGTCGTGGAGGCTCCAGTCCGTGGGGAAGGCGCCGGGATTTGCCGTGATCCTTCCAGTTTAGGAAGGCGGATGTTGTCAGGCTCCACGCGGTGACAGGCAGTGTGGGCCAGAACTCCACGCCGTCCTCCATAATCCATCCTCGAGACTATCATGTCGCTGGTAAGTAAGGGGTACATTAGATTACAGAAGGAGTCTCACATACTAAACAGCTTCACGCACTCGTCGCACGCGGGTCTGTTATCCTCGCCGAACACCAGGGACCGGGCGACCGAAACTTCTCCCATGGTATGCCATCCCGCTGCGGACCATCCCCAGATTGACTGACCCAACGTTTCCTGGTGACGCACCCCTCCCGCAGCTGCGCAGACTGTTCTGTCCAAGATACCACCCAACAACAGCAAGCTCACCTACGTCTGGCAAGAGTACCTCTTCCACTACATCGCCGATAATGGATACATCTATCTCGTCATGGCCGATGACGCTGCCGGCAGGTGAGCCCTTGATTTCTGGTTTGAGTCTGTTTGAGCTGGCTCTGCCTTCTCTTGTGCTTCCGCTTCCATGCACCCGGTTTCTACTATTCGTGATGAGGGCGCATGAAAGCAGAAATGAAGAACGCTGACGATGACGTGCTCTGATCCCCAAACAGAAAGATGCCGTTCGCATTCCTGGTAGACCTGCAGCACAAGGTACGCGCAGATCTTCCTTACCCCCACCACCGGCGCGAGCCGCTGCCACCGTCTCGCGCACCCCCGATCGCCCGCTTCTACTCTATCCCACACCCAGAACCCACCTACTAACCCTCCCCCAGTTCACCGACCTCCCCTCGACCTCCTCCGCCGCACTCGACAGCACCCCCGCCTACGGCCTCCAAGGCACCTTCGGCCCCGCCGTCGGCGCCCTCATGCACACCTACAACACCGCCCCGCCCGCGGACGACATCGCGCGCGCGCAGCACGAGCTCAACCACGTCAAAGACATCATGGTGCAGAACGTCGAGCAGATCCTCAGCCGCGGCGAGCGCATCGAGCTCCTCGTCGACAAGACCGACACCATGGCCACGCAGGCGACCGCGTTCCGCCGCGGCGCGCGCCAGGTGCGCAGGCAGATGTGGTGGAAGAACGGCAAGATCGTCGTGCTCTGCGGTGTCGTCGCGCTGTTTGTGCTCTGGATGATTGTCGCGCAGTTTTGCGGCGCGGGGCTGAATCAGTGTGGGGGCAAGTCTTGATTTCGTGCTATCGGTTTATTCCGCCTTCTTCCTTTCTTGTTTCCCTTGACCTTCCTGAGTCACTGCTTTCCCTGGCCTCTGCTTCACGTGCACCCCCGAACGCGCATCCGTGTTATCGGATGGCTCTACTTCGGATCTGAGCATCCTCAGTCTGCTTTTTCCTGATTCAGGGGCGCCCACCTCCTACATACACACATACTACTACACCCGCCACCTACCCAATCCCTTCATGCCACATCGCCCAATCCTTTCTCGTCCGCTTCGATGCCGCGGACGTTTGCGCACCCCGCTTACCTGTATCACTAATCACCACCATCATGTATCTTCATCCGGCCGGTTAATCGACAATCGTTGTCAATCGCTAATCGTACATTCATCACTATCACTATCATCGTCGCCGTCATCGGCATCGAAGTCCTGATCGTCTTGCAATACACAAGAGTACGTAAACGAATGTCATTGAGTAGCGATCGTGAATGCGCGCGCATACAGTGCAGTATGCGCCGCAGCGTGTCGGGAGGGGGAAGGGGGAGTTATCATACAAACAGTACGTATCGTGCAGGAGGGCGCATGTACAACTACAAGAATACAGAGAAATGCACAGCTACGAGGGTTATGTTATGTTATGTTATGCTGGGGCTGGGCTGAGCCGGGAGCCTGGGTTCATGATCAACATGGTTTGGAAAAGTCGTGGTGATATCGATAGGGGAACGAAAACGAGCTTTGGACGCTAAACGAAACGCGGCGCATGATTAGCACATTAGTAGACTTGAACGACCGGATCCTGGCAGCGAGACGAGACGGGCGACAATGGTGTGTGGACTGAGAGTTCCAGGCAGCAGCCGTGGATATAGAGGCGAGTGGGGAGGAGGCAGAACGAAATGAGACGCGAGGCGGAGAGGAGGGCGAAGGGCAAAGTTAACCTAAGCATAAGAGACATTGGGCACCGAGTGCGCCTTGTTCTTGCCCGAGCGCGAGTGCCGGCTCTCCCTGTACGACCCATAAGACCCGTACGAACCGTACGAGCCAGGCGTGGGGCCGCCGTACCCCCCGCCCCCGCCAACGCCGCCGCCGTTCCCGCCGTCCTTGAGCCCGCTCGGGATCGAGGGCGTGTGCCGGATCTTCTCACGTTCCCGCTCACGCTCGCGATCGCGATCGCCGCGCCACTCCACCTGCACCTTATCCATAGTACGCCCCGCGCCCGAGTGCCCCGACGGGCGATACTGCTCGCTATAGAACCCCGCCGCGGGCGCCCACGCCGCGCTCCCGGGCGTGTTCGAGCGCGAGACGGTCGAGCCCGGGCGCTGCAGCGGCTCGATGAACCGGTCGGACGAGAAGGAGGAGGACGTCGGCGCGGGCGTCGGCGTCGGTGTCGTGTCGAGGAGCTCGTGCAGCTGTGCGCAGCGCCGCTGCTCCTGCTGCTGCTCCGCGCCCTGCCCGCGGCCTTGGCCTTTCGGTCGGACGTCGCCTACGTCGTGGTCCGGGGGGGAGGACGATACCGGCGAGGTCTTGCTCGTGCGGTGGCTGCCGCTCCGTGGGCGCGATTTGGAGAGGCCTGACTTGTGTGTCCAGGACGAGCCGGTGTCGAAGTCGGCAACGGCATCCGTCGGCGACGCCTGGGCACCCGGGATATTCATGGGCGGCACGAACGAGTGGGAGAGCGGGTAGACGACGGCGCTGTTCCTTACGTGGGGCTTCTCCATATCGTCCTCATCGGTTTCGTTGTCGGTTTCTGTATCGCCTTCATCGCTGTACTCGTCCTCTGCTGCTGCCGCGAACGGCTGCATCGAGGACGGGAGAGTGGGCATGTTCTCCGGGAGAGGGGAGAGGCCGAAGATGATGTCCTCCCGAGTGGGCAGGCTTCTATCGAAGCTGCACTCGGTCCTGAAATCATCTTCCTCCTCGTCATCGTCGAATTCTGGATCCTCAGTAGGGTAGAACTCGGCCTCGGACGGCGTATATCCCATAAACGGCTTCCGTGCCTTGCCCAGCTCTGCACGCAGCTTGCGGCACTCGTGGACAGCAGCATCATACTAGAACGGCGCAGAGGTCAGATAAGGAGACAGCGCAAACAGCCTAGCGCAACTTACTTGACTATATGCGCCGCGATCACGGGGACACGAGGGCGTTAGCGTTTGCTTCGTGATGGACGTGTTCGGCTCAAGACTCACGCTTTCCACCGAGCATCGAGAGCCGCGTGATGGTCCCTCAGACTCTTCTCCACCTCCACCGCCTGCTCGCTCTCGCGCCTGCCTCTCCGCTGCACATCCTTGAGCTGTGTCGTAACATTGTTAAGGTCTTTCGTCAAGCCCATCTTGATCTCCTCGAACTCCGCGTTCGCTGCCCTGGCCCGCTTCGTCTCCGCGGACAGCTTCGCCCTCGTCTCCGTGAGGTGGTACAGGAGCAGGTAGCTCACCCGCAAGCTGTCGTACTGTAACACGTGATGCGACACGATGACGATGATGAGGACCGGTGTGGTGCTGCGCGATATCGGGAGACGGGAGATCCCCGCTTACCTGATCGGTGGGCTGGGTCTTGTACCAGGTCCTGCATTCATCGAGAACCCGGCGGAGTTCCGACGACTTGACGCCATCCTTGACGACTCGGATGATCTCACCCTGCAAGCGCTGCCGCTCGTGCTGGGTGGGGGAAGCGAAGGAGGGGGGAGGCGGAGACGGCTCGTCGCTGTCGTTGAACATGTGTGCGTGGGTCAACCTGGGCGGGGTACCCAGGTCGATGTGCAGTCTTCGCGTCTCCGTAGACTCGAAGGGAACACGGCACAGGGGACACGAAGCGCGTGCCAGCTGATCCAGGCATCTGTTGTAGCAGGGGATCGTCAACACATGACATCGTCATCGCATGAAGGGAGAAAAGACTGACACGCACTTCTGGCAGAAGACATGGCCACAGGAGATCGCACAGGGTATATTGGTCACTGAATCGTAGCTCTCGAGACAGACATCGCACGAGGAGCTACTGCTAATGACTAGCATGACCTTGGGGAAGGAGAGTGAATGACGCTGCAAGTCAAGACTGTGCAGCGGATAGGCGGGCTCTTGACTAGCTCAAGCAGCCAGGCCTAATAAGCGTGGTGGGATGGGACGGTTGCGGGCGGGTTGGCGTGTGCATGTCAGGGAGGTGTATTCTGCTTGGATATATAGGGCACGAGGCCGTTAAGCGACAGACGAGTGACAGGGGATCGAAAGCCCCGTTCTTGGAGGGAAGGGAGCCAGTGACCACATCGCTGCATCACGAATCACGACGTGACAGAACCTGGCCTGAGCAAAACGGGCGAGATAAGAAAACTATTGGCCCCGGCCGGCCATCTGGATCCCTGGATGCGTTTTGGTTCAGCGAGTCCGACCCGGCAAACGTCCTTGATGTGCAAGGATAAACAAGGAATAATTCCGGCGTGGACACTTTTGTGCGCACCTAGTTCATTTTCGGCTCCCTTCTTGCGTCTAAGAAGGACCAAGATCGTGCTAAGGGAGTAGCTCTGCACCGGGCCGAACGATTTCGTCCTTGTCCTCGTGTTGTCAGCATGTTGACAACGCGGAGTGTGTCATGATAAGTCTCTCGCACTCGCGAGCGGCGCTAGTCTCTCTGAGTGAAGTCTGAAGTGACATCTGAGGACGTTCTATTCATCTGACATGATGCTTGAACACGTACTCGTGAGGTGGGACAAGCTTTGGCGGCTCTGAACGAGGAGCGCACACAAGGGCGGATGTGGTAAAGGGGGCTTGGGAGATAATGCGGCACTTCCCGCGTGTCGGAAGTCGGCCGGAAGCCCAGGCTCGGGCGTCTGGGGAACTCAAACTGAGCCAGCACTGGCATATCGGCTTGCTCATTTATGTGTCAGACTTAGCGAAACACGCACTCATCGCATTGGTGCTACGTCCAGCCTGCACCGTTTCGTCAGAACAGCCTGGCAACCTACGAACATATCCAGAGTCCTGACACGGGAGGGCCCATACTGCCTCATTGATGGATCGTAGAACTGGTTGCTTGATGTCGAGATTACCCCACACACGCCTCCGTTCAGATAAGTGCTTTACTTCAGTTTGTGGCTTCAGTGGCTGTTGCGTCATGGGGGAGGGAGCTCGAAACGCTAACCATCCACCATACCTCGGACCTTCGTTACGCCCCAGTGAGGCTATCCATAAAACACGAGATCGCTTCCGAGCCGACGCTTATTCTTGACTTTCCTTGCGCATTCCGTGTCGGATTTGGATCTCTTGCGCAGCGATGCTCCTTGTGAACGGAACCCCAGACCTCCGAGCGGCTAGCAGGCTTCACCTACCCAAAACGTATCGCTCGTGCGTCCATATTGCACGTTCATCGCAAACAGGATTCTCCCACTGCACTGCAGACGTGAAGCCTATCCATGATCTGAGCTTCTCGTATGTGTATTCCACTGTTGTGGGCTCCTCATGTCCTTATCGTCCCGTGCCTAGCAGATCCCCAGATTTAATGTAAGTATACCGTCGAACAGGAGAAACTTCGCTCGAGTTCTATACCTACGTTAACCCCACAATGTGAACGTGTTAAGCAATCTTACGCTCGAGGCATAAGCTCTATTTGCTCCTCAAAGGATCATCACTCGCTCCGTTTGTCCATAGATCAACACCCTAGTGGCACGTCACCCGCATACTAATAATGTAGTAGCCTCACTTCCTACCTCCAACGAATATCGAATGCACGATCGCACACCCGATTCCATGCCCAGGTCCCCAGTGGCGGTCGCACTCGTACCCCATACTAACATTAACTTCTCAGCAACCTAGCAGAGCTTCGCAGATTCACAATCGTATGACCATGATGAGTATGCATCACGCTACGTACCATCGTTCTGCGCAGCTACTACTTCTTCGGATGGAACATCGTGCACCAGCATTAGCTTGTGCTGCACCTACACATAATTAGGACCTACGATCGCACGGGCCTCGTCCAGCTGAGGCTGCGAGCCAGGACCTCGAGTGCACGCACGCACGCTCCGACCATCGATTCGCCCTCAGGCTCTTTGCCACTTCGCGAGTGCTCGGCCAGTCCCGGAGTCGGAGTTGTGCTTCATCTCAAACCCGGCGGAAGGTTTCACGAGTCGCTTCAATCCGGCACCGCTACTCGTCTTAAAGTTACAATCGCAAGTGTCGCGAACAAGCACGAAGGTTTCCAGCGGGCTCGACGTGCCCTGGACCTGAGCAGCGCCGTGACGTTCCCAGAATATACCGAACGTGTGCTCGGCTGGCACCGCCTCGCGAGCTCTCTCCGACTCCGAAGCTGCACTCGGATGGAATGGATCAAAACGCAAAACGGCCGCGCCCGATCCTCGCTCTCTAACACAATTGCCAACTTTCCATATGCGCAAGGCATCTTTCCCAAAGTTACCTCAGGTCTTGAGCTCTATATCTTAGTTTCGGCCGCAGAGTCCAATGTCCCTGTTCCCCACACGGATTGCACCTGACCAACATCGCCCACCTTTCGGGCAGGTACAAAAACTCTTTGCAGCGCCACACATCTTCTACTCCGAGTCTTTCATCCATATCCATAAGGATTCCACAGGTACGATGGCGTCCATACCTGCCATTGCCAAATCATACCTTTAGGCATAAGTAACTCGATAACACCGCACGGGGCAGTCCGACTTCCGTCTCTCGACCGTCTCCACAGGCCCGCACAACGTCAAGTGCGCAGGTAATTTCCGCGGCGCTCGCCCATGGTACGGCACCAAAGTGCCAAACAGGAGCTCGTGATCAGCCTGTACAATTAAGTAGGTAACACCGCTCAGCGCTTAGCACCGAGTAAGCGGAACGTACAGCAGTGACACACCGTACATGATAGTAGTAATACTACGCAAACAACTATGACTACCTGACTACTATGTACATGCACTTCGATTCCATTCCATTCGACGCGTGAACCCACTGCGCATCATAGCGTTGCCGTATATATACACGAACGATGAGCGAATTCATTAATACAGAGCACCTCGAAGTCGGCCGAGAGATGAAGCCATCTGATAGCACCTCCTTGAACCCAAGTCGTCTAGCGACCGCTCTCATGATCACAACAGATCACACATAGCCCACAAATGGATGGATGGATGGACGGATGGATGAATGGGATGGATGCAATTAATGCCAGTGGTCCACGAAAGTTCTAGAGCCCATCCTCTCAATTCGGGGGTCCCTCGAGAGTCATCCCATGGGACTCATCTGCATCACGCGATGATGATGGACCCATTCGATCCCGGCGCGGTCTCGTGCCAGCGCCACGGCTTCCGAGTGTCGCAGGCTATAGGCAGGGAAATCGCCGGCCGGATGCCATGGGCGACTTCGAGCGAGAGACGAGACAGAGTTTCGTATATTAGGTTCGAGACTAAAATCTACATACACCACAGTTCTACAACAACCTTCGAAACGACGCCGTCTAGTGTGTGGGGGTGGGGGCGATCAGTACTACAACACATGATTCCGATTAGTACTAGAGAGACCATGAGAGCGATATAGGATGGATGGGTGGATAGACAGGGAAATAGAGTTAGAGTTAGAGGAATAGACGAGCAGAGGAAACTTTCAGAGATACAGCTTTAGATAGAGTGCAAGATCAGAGCAACGACGAGAATGAAAGAAACGAGAATGAGACGAGGACAGGCATCGCAGAGATAAACAATCAAACGGGGTAACGTGAAAGAACGTTCTATGTACGTGGATGGAGACGGACGACGGAAACGTGCGGTAGTCGCGCAGAGACGGCGTGGAGACAATGTGGGGTAAAGAGAGTTTGGGAAAGAGCGAGACGAAAAAGCAAGATAGGGTTCTATGAGAGATCATCAAAGAGAAAAAGAACTCCATTCATCATGCGCGGTTTGCCCACATTTGAGCAATGTTCGGTCCGCCGACGATGGGTGTGGGTGCGATGATCTCCGGCCTATAGTTCATAGAAGTCACCAGGTGCTGCGAACGCACGGAAGAAGACGAGGTGTTGATGGAAGTGGAAGGGAGGTGCGACGAGGAAGACGAAGAGCCGCCGAGGGAAATGCCCAGGGCGTTGCCAGCGTCGGCGATCTGACCCCCGGAGCGTGACGAGGAAGAGGAAGAGGAAGCGCTCGAGCGATGCGCAGATGCGTGTCGGTGGTGGTGGCGAGCGCGATTTTCTCCGTTGGTAGATGAAGGAGCAGCAGGTTGAGGTTGTTGTGGCTGCTGCTGCTGCTGCCCTTGAGAGGCACTGCGGCCGAGGTCGCCGTGCCGCGTGGAACGCTCAGAGTTTGAGGCCGAACGCCCCCGAGATGAGACGCCATTTGCGGTCTCATCAGAAGCATCGTCTTCCCTTATGAGTCCAAGGAGTGAGTTATCTGGAGCGCTCTCTCTCCTTGCTGCCACCACGGGCGTCCCTGCATCGTCCTCTTCCTCGTCATCGTCATCCCCTGACATCGGCTCTGGGCTGCCTGCGATGCTCTCCAGCCCAATCACACCCGTCACTCCTCCATCTTGGAGCCCGATCAGACCCAGCTCGCTCATGCTTCCCCGCGAGACCGTGTGGACGGTCCCCCAGGACGTCGTGCTAAGCGGCGAACTCTGATCCAGGTCACTAGCCAAAGCTGCGATGCGAGCCAGGGCTCCCCTGGATTCACCAGTGGCCGCCCCGTTCTCTCTGGCGTCCCTCTCGAGGATCTGGCTCAGTGTGGGCGCCTGGCGGGGGCGTGCCTCAGCCTGCCCCTCGACCAATGGGATACGTTCACGTGTTCGCGCAGTCCTAGATGCCGACGTCTGAGCATTCCCAGTGGTGTTTCGTCTGCTGAGCCTAGCGTCCCTAGAGCCGGCCTGCTCGGACGTCACAGTGCCCGTTGCGATGGGCTCCGGAACGCCGACCAGACCCAAGCTCCCGATGGTGTGGCCGAGCTGTTCGATCTCGTGAATGTGGTCGTCGTAGGAAGAGCCCGGTGTTGGGGCCGACTCGTACGCGAGCGCGTATCCGGACTCGAGGCCTGCACCATATCCGTTAACATATGCAGCTGCTGAAGACATGCGCGGCTCGACGTTGCCGGATCCATCATCGCGGGCCCGGCGGCCGTGCGTGCCGTTTGTAGAGTTTGAGGTGGTATCGCTCCATGGCGTCCATCGACTGGACCCATTGGTATAGGATACAGCGTCTGAGTCGGAGCGAGCCGTAGGGGGGATAGTGCGCTGGGGAGGAGCAGGCGCGGGGGCGACGGCGTGGGTCCGCTCCCTTGAGGTGTCATCACTCTTCGTGCGTCTCTCCGGGGGTGCGTGGGGTACCGGCTGCTGGCCAGCCGGGTTCGTGGGGTTGCGCTGGGCGCCGTTCTGATTGTCTGGCCACCGAGCACGAGTGGGCTCTTGGGTAGGTGGAAAATAGCTAGTGTGTGAGGTTCCTCTCGCTTTCAGCGCGGGAGGCCCGGAAGAAGTGTTGTTACTGTGCTGGCCCCTCGTTCGAGATGGGGGTGCGTTGTTGGTTTGGCCAGAACCGTTCTGGCCTGGATGGATGGCGGATCCGTGGAATCCAGGGAATTGATCGAAAGGCAACGGTTGCGGTGGAGGCGGAAGTGGGTTGCTGCCGCCCTTGCGATATCGATGGGCAGCGCGATGTGCATCAAGCTCGGCACGTAGTTTCGATAACTAGATAACACGGACTGGTTAAAATACGCAAAAAAGGCGACGATGATGAATGCTCACCTCTCTAAACGTAGAAAGAAAAGACAGCCAGAATATTAGTGATTTCCACGCTAGCGGATGACGTTATGCACACGTACGCAGCGTGCTCATTCTCGATGACCTGGATCCTGCCGAGCAGGCTCTCCTCTACCGCTCGAGACGTTTTAAGGTCCTGGTCAGCAGTACGTTTGCTAGAGCGCAGCTGGTTTTTCAGCTGCAAATGCTCAATCTTCTCGCGCTCCGCACGCTCTTGCAGTGCCTGAAAGCGACGGAGGGCGGCCATGGCAGCGCGCAGTGGGAGGTTCTATGATATGAATAACGCATGAGCATTCATTTCGCAAGTGAATGGCGAGCCGAATCTAGCGGTGTGTGCCACTGCACTGGATAATGACTCACCGAAGTGGATTCGTCAGCCTGTGCTGCGAGCCATTCGTCGACCTCCGTGACGACCTCTACAACCTCGTCCTCTGACACATTCTCGCCCGAAGCGAGAGCGACCCGTTGAAGGAGAACATAGGCTTGAGATCCGGTGCCGTCGTTGTCGCTGTTGTCGAGTTCGGGTGGAGCCGCGACGTGGAGTTTTTTGACGCGGGATTGGTCGAAAGCCTTTCGGCAGAGGGGACAGGCACTCGGGGAGAGGGATTTTAGACAACTGGGGGTGGATGCCTCATGTTAGGGTATGACATGGGTGGAGGGGATTCTGGGGACTCACGTGAGACAGAAAATATGGCCACAAGCGATGGCATGAGGCTCGAGAGAATTACTGTACGGATCGAGACAGACATCACAGAGACTGGCGGGGTGCACGACGAGCATTAGAGATAATAGGAAGAATAAACAAGAAGAGGAAAAGAGGAGATGGTATAGGGGCTTGCTAGCCTTTGAGTCAGTCACCGCATAGCCTGCTGGGGAGAACACAAGGGGGGACGAGGACGACCGACGGCGGAACAAAAGGTCACCATCGACCGAATAAGGAAACCGTCGTAGTTCGCTCGGGCTCATTTTGCCCTCCTGAGCATCCTCTACCCTTCCCGCTCTCGTCTAGATCCTCACACTGCTCGCCGCATTCTCACAAGCAAAGACGTAACATTGCACCCAGACTGCTCTATCTACTGCTTGTCACCTCTGCAGTCCCACTACAGAGGGAAACAATGTGCTCATAGATTACCTCCGCCGCTCCTCAGCTTCGCAATCACCTCGTGGCCCGCCTCAGAAGCCGACAACTCGGTGATGTAACGTCTCAGAGACGTCTGGGCTTCTTCTCTGGCAGCGAAGAGCGGTCTGATAAATTTGCTCGTGCTTGGAATAGAGGTTGGGATAGATTTAGCGTCAATCTCGGCTCCTCCCGCGGCCAGCCGTCTGCTGACTGGCGAGTGAGACTTGATAAACGGATTAGCCAGCGGCGGCTTTGGTCGTGAGTAGCGCTTCAATTCTTCCTGGGTAGCGTCGGTCCTTGTCGGCGACGTCACACCCAACATGACCTTGTACGACGTCAGCAACCTTTTCCACCTACAAAAGCGTCACTGGACAGTTCTATTTAGGTGCACACGAACTCACTGTAAATAGTTTCCTGTATTGTGGAGGACAAGGTCAATACGGGGCATGATATATAAAGAAACATTAACTCCCCTCCCACGAAGAGATTATGCCAGCTCCACAGAAGTCGAGTCGTCCCGCAACCGAGCAGCACAAACGCAACCGAACGTTTAAGAAGCTTAATGATCCAGTCGTCGCTCGAATGAAGATATGCGGCAAGGTGCTGTAGAAACTCGATCAAGCTATTCGGCAGAGCATCCCTTCGGACGAGCCTGTCCAGGTACGCGAAAGGCTGGTTCACGAACTTCCACGCGAGGCGAGTGACCGCGCTGTAGCTAGCAGCCAGACCGAGCCCGCCAAAGATCGCCTTAAATTGAGTTTTCGACTCTTCCTCGGTCCTTGGCGACAGAAAGTAGGATGCGATCCAACCAGTGAGGTACCCCGGTGCGTGGACAGCAAACATGGGGAAAAACAAGAGCGCTCGTGGATGAAGGAGGGTGGCCACGAGCTGATAGAAGAACGTTCTGAGAGCTTCCGTTACTCCAGGCGGCTTCGACGAAGATGACGAACCCATCGCGACAGAAAGGGGGGACGGAAAAAGAGACTCAAGTGTGGTGCTCGAGATGCCCGTGTAACGTTGCAAGGCCAGATAACGTACTAGAGATCCCTTAGCCGTTTGACCTGCCTCGGAAGTCGCCGTAGAATCTGTGAGTGTATCCACGAGACTATCTGTGGGTCGTTATGCGCTCTTACTCAACTACACAATGGAACGTACCTTTGAGAAACGTCCACATAGTTATCGAGGCCTAATGAGAGAGGTTTGGGAAAGAAAAGCTCTCTTGCAGCCGCAGCCGCACTCAGCGTGTCCCTGCGTAATAGTTTGCGTGTAAGCCGTTGACAGAGTGTACTGGCACGCACCAGTCCTCCGCGTTAATCGTTAAGGCTCTGAGTCGTCTCTCAATCTCAGCAGACACCCCTTTGACAACTGCCCTCGTGGCCTCCTCGTCCTCCTCTTTTAGACCTTCCACGTACCGACTGATGGGAATAGGTTCCCCGTACCTACGCAACTTCAGCCATCTAATCCCAATATCCATCACAGCGGACAAGCTCACCTCACGCACACCTAGATATCATACCCCGCGTCAGCCAAACAGCACACCCTCCCTTTCCTAAGAAAACTCACCCGACTCTGATACTGCGACTTATCCGTATACACCACCGCAGCCGGCACAACCACCAGCTCCCTGCCCTCCCTTACCTCCCCCCTCCTCACCGCCTTCGCATACTCCACTGCCGCCCACGCCGCCCCGTCCTTCACCTGCACAATCCGAGGCTCCGAGTAACTCGTCCCCTCAGGGAACACCCCTACCACCGACCCCGCAGCGAGCGCCGCCGACGTGTCGCGGAACAGCGCGGCCTGCGACATCCCCGCCTTCCCACCACCGCCGGGGCCGTGGCCGTTGCTACCCGGCCCAGTCGACGCGCTGTCGGGGTTCCGCTGCACGGGTATGCTACCCGCAGACGTGAGCAGTTCACGAGCGAAGATGTTCTTGAACATCGTGGACTTTGCCCAGAAGCGGACCTGTCGGCGGTGGGGGATGGTGGCAGCTGTCCCGGTCGGCAAGCTCGTCAGTCATGGAGCCACTGGAGGGCGAGACAGGCTTACAGAGGGCAGCAATGTCGATAATCTCATTATGGTGGGTGGCCGCGCTGAAGAAAGGGGTGGTGAGCCGAGCGCTACACCGTGACGCTCCAACGGGACTAAACCTTACATGATGAGCGGGCCTTCTTCGGGAACATGTTCACGCCCACTAACGTGTACATCCGAGTAGAAGCCCTCCAGAGTCCAATCTGATATCTTCCGCAGAAACCTGTACGCTAACATGGGAGGCATGCGGAGAGAGGTGCTTGCTGAGAATCAAGAAAAAGGGGATACCCCAGTGACGCACGGTATGTCTGGGCAACAGCTGTGGGGCGATTGAAGGCATAATGATCAAATGAGGAAACGCCCCTGAGTGTAAGGATCGTAAATCTGGTGGGTCCGGGCCTTCTCAATATTAAGATGGCTCTGTGTCATATGAATATTTGAATCCTGGCCTCGCCGTCAACTCAATTGACGCTGCGAAGGTTTTGGAGATTCCTCAACTCAGGAAAATTTAGCACACTAATCGCATCACACTCAAACGACGACTACATAAAAGCAGGATGAACGACCGCGGGGCAGATGGAAACCACCTGTTGCGCGTCGAACGGCGACATACAATTTGAGTGCTACGAGCCAATACACATGAGGGAGCATGCAACATTTTGGATCGCCAGAAGGCAAATGGTAACGAGATCACAGACGGCGACCACGGCGACCACCCTGAAGAAGAAAAAGGATATTAGTCACTAGTCTTTCTGAAAATTTCGAGAGGTTGAAAACGCACCTTGCGACGGGTAGAGTCGGTCGGGATGGGGGTGACATCCTCAATGCGACCGATGCGCATGCCGGCACGGGCGAGAGCACGGAGAGCACTCTGAGCACCGGGGCCAGGGGTCTTGGTACCGGTACCGCCAGTGGCACGGAGCTTGATGTGGAGGGCGGTGATGCCAACTTCACGGCAGCGGACGGCGACGTCTTGGGCAGCCAACATAGCAGCGTAAGGGGAAGACTCGTCACGGTCAGCCTTGACCTTCATGCCACCTATCGAAACCAACGCGTCAGATTTTGAGGTTTTGCGAACCAATGGCGAGAGATCGTACCGGTGACACGCGAGATGGTTTCCTTGCCCGAGAGATCGGTAATGTGAACGAAGGTGTCGTTGAACGAGGCGTAGATGTGAGCAACACCGAAGACGAGCTCGCCCTCAGCAACCTGGGGGCCGAGCGAAACGGTGTTCTCTTCCTTGGGGGCCTTGACTTTCTTCGGCGGCTGTGATGCATCCAACAGTCAGATTACGCATCCACCACAAAACGCGTCATGAGCTATCTCCGAGCGAGCCAAAGCGCAACAGAGATGGTCAAGGGAGGCAATGCAAGCGTTCGACGTACCATTTTGACGGTCTTGAGGTGTGTAGGACGTTGACGACGATGAGATCAACACAAACTTGCGATGAGCTCGCAGCGGGACCAAACAAGTGTAAATGCGAATTCCGGGAGCCGCTGCCGAGTTCCGTTTCTTGCCATTCTCTCATGTGCGCTCACCTTCTGGTTACATGGCCACAGCACCGTCTTCCCTAGAGCCCAGCTCATCCTCGACCACCCCTTTAACCAACTCTTTAACGTGTATTCTGGCTCTGAGCATATAGTTCAGCACTCCGCCAAGTAAAGAAATGACAACTTGAGCACTTCTACTACCTGGCGTCTGCCAGCCTCGCATTCGTTCACGGTGCTTTGGCTATAAGCTTATGGTTTATCGTCTTCCCATCGTGGCAATCTCATTATCCCCTTGTATTATTTCTGGTTATGGGACGATTATCGCCGTGCACTCCTCACGCCCCTAGCTATCGGCTCTTACCATAGTCCCTCATCACTAGCAGCACCATTAACAATGTCCAGCGAATTCTGTGCGGGCCTTACCTCTGCTATGAACCGGAAGAGTGAGGACTCCTCGAACTCCATCCTACACTGCGGATGCTTATCAGCTCGACTGTTGTTTTGCAGACTTGACCCTTGAGCAAGTTGCTGGCGCGATAGGCTCAGATGTTGGCCGTACCACCCAGAGTAAGCCCTACCTTGCTCATCCATACCTCTCTCTCTTATCTAGCCGTCTATTCTCCGTGTACTGCATAGTCTTCAAAGGCCAGACTAACCCCACGGACGCCGAGCGCACCAAGCTGTACAGCGCTCTCGGCATCCAGAACGTCAGTCCCCCGTCTTCTCCCCGTGCTTCCCCTGATCCCCGTTCTGACGATATCGCTGCGATTGCGTTTGCATTCACAGGCCCCATCCGACCTCAGCGCTCACGTCCACGGGCAGAAGTGATCCCATCATCACCAGTCATCAATGACGAATGCTTGTATTTTTAGGGAACGCATATCGTTGATGTAGTACGGCATCTCCTGTTGCGACGATTGCGGATTGTCTGCGGGTGCCGTTGACGTCTTCTCATTCGGTGTTGGCCTGTCAGCGGCAACCTTGATAACGAGTGATCGGCTACGTGCCCGCCTCGGAAGGCCCTGTTATCTATGCATGCGCTCATCGACAGCGGGAGATACGCGTCGTTTCTATTGAGCCTCACGAGAGACATGCGTAAGTTACACGAGGGGATGGCGTTCAGTCTCGTAACGCCGGCGCTAAGGTGCGAAGAGTAGCGTGTATGGTAAGTAATACTTGAGATAAGGGCGTTATTGCATTACGACTCATGCCCCGTTGATCTTCCAAGCTCCAAGGCCATCGAAAATGAAAGAAATGGGCTAGCTTCTCAGCTTCGATTCCTAGTATCCTTCAGTGAATAACAGTTGTTGTGTGACATGGCTGAATATGGTGTGCCATAAGAGTCAAGTTGTCGCACGTCCAAAAGTCCCCTTGCTTCTCTCCCAGTAGTCCGCAGACATTACTACCGATGGGAGACGGTGAGCGCTGAACAAAGATTACTCAGTACACCTCGAGGCTTCGCATTCAATAACAAGCTTTAGACGCTCTTCTCCTGCAAAGTTCTCAGTTACCGCAAGTTTCATTACCGTGGCACCTGTTCACTTCGATGTTTTCTCAGAATGCAATGAACAACATGAAGAAGCAGCTATCTCAGGAACCCGGTGCGTGAGCGAAGTGTCCCGGTTGATCAATTGATTCTTGAAACCTACCAGCGTTGAGCTTTTGATTCAGAGTTTGCCGTCTTAAGTCAAAGGCTATTTACCAGGATATACTCAAGCATCACCAGGACGCTTCTCCTCTTTCCAGGCACCTAAAATAGGCGATCCCTTGATATGCAACATGCATAGGATGGCGGCGCTTCAACGTGTAGAGGCGCGCGCTCAGGCGTTCCTGCAGCTTCTCTCGCAGTATCTGAGGTACCCGTTGTGACCATCATCTCTATCCATACACGGGATGGCAGACGTGACAACCTCGGGCTCAGAATTGAAACTATTTGCACGACCGACACGCCAATTCAATTCGGAGGCATATACGCTTATCTCCCCGTGTATGTCTGCCGTCCCGGGTCGGCCGTCCGTTGCTGGTCGCCCCGACCGTACTTGGGTACGCACGGCGTTAAGCTCTGTTGACACTGTTGACAGTCAAAGTGTAATCTCAAATAACCAAACCTGAGGGATCTTCCACGTACGGCCCTACGACATCGAAAACAGGTCTTTGATTATCACCGTAGCCTTTGTACGAAGCGTTCTTTGACCCTGTCGAACGGTTTACTAAGCTGATGCGCTACCCGACGCAGGCTGATCATGATCAGGCTGACATTCCATCCATCCGTCTTGTCTCTGCCCTCGCGAGGGTAACATATGATTTAAACATACATCTAGCAACAGCTCACACACGTACTACAACGACCAACACATCCGGCCAAGTGTCCGTATCTGTTCCGGATCATCGATTGTACACGACAATCTAAATCTCCATATCAAAGTTCCTGAAGCAGGCACAAACCTGATCGACCTCAAACGCTTCAGCCTCGAGGCATCTCCGAGTCGCCCCTTGAACGTTCTCCCGAGCCGCCGATATCAAACAGGACGAACACGAGGCGAAGCGCCAGAAGCCACATCCCAAAGAACAAAGAAGTCCGCTTGCACCGGCATTTAGTGGGTTAAGCCAGGGCGCCACTAGTTCGAGTGCTCGCAGGTGGTGAAACGCGATATCGGTAGAGTTCCTTCAAGCCAAAATTTGAAGCTTAGATATGGGGCTTGTACAGTATATGCTCAGACTCAAGGTTAAAACGTTAAAGTTCCAGCCACCACGTAGTGTCACAGACCCACCGACCTTCCGGGAAGCTAATTGCAGACATGAGAACACCAAGCCCTTCTATTCACAACCGAACCAGCCAGCTAAACCACCTACTTAGCGAGCGCGGCGAATAAAACACCCTCGATCCGCGCAGAATAAGTAGCCCGGGAGATTGGAAAATAAGCCAAACAAACGGTGTTCCTGGCTGTGGCTGTGGATATGGGTATACCATGGAATGAGGGTAAGCTGCAGTCTAGTATATGCTAGAAAAAGAGGAAAGAAAAGCCCGCGTACGCGCAGACGTAGAGTAAGCACTACGGGAGAAGGGTATTCAATGAATCGTAAATGTTCATGGTCGTAATCGTAGTAGTCGGGATGGAATCATCGATACAAAAACCGTGGGTAGCCGTGAACGAAGCGTGAACAGAACGTGAAGACGTGAGGGAAAGGGGAAACTGTGGGGCGTGTTAAAGCGAGGCGTCGACAAGTAGACGTGAGCGTGGCATGAAGGGTACGCGAAAGCAAAAAGGGGCGAGGAGCGCAAAAGGAGAAAGCAGAGGCAGAGCAAGCAAACCGAGAACGGACGGAGATTAGTAAACAGGAAAGACAATGCTACACAAAGAGATAAGGAAGAAGATTATAAAGATATGTAGCGAGGCGGAGAGAAAGCAAGACGAGGCTACGTATGCAGCAACTACACTGCACGCGTTCCCGTTGAAAGCAGACGCAGGATGAGATAGACCAAAATGCGACAAGATAAAAGGTGAAGGCGATAGCGAGAAACGACGAAGCAGGAAACACAAGGGGGTAAGGGGGTAAAATGCTTTCCTGGCTGGCGATATTAGGTGTAGTGTAAAGTTGAAGGTAATAAGTCACATGAAAAAAGGGGGCTAACAGGCGGTCTGGAGTCAACCCGAGATCGCAGTAGAAAAAGGTGTAGAGTATTATGCGAAGGCGAAAGCGAAGCCAGCAGGGCGAATGGGGGGCAGGTGATGAAACTGGACGCGATGAAACAGACAAACAGGTCAATGAAAGCAGCCATGACGGACTGCTACCGAAGGGAGACGAGGTGAAGCAGGGGTACCAAAGGATCTCTGAAGGTGTCCGGTAGACGACGTGGTGTTGGATAGCAGCTTTTGTGGGTTTCTCAGTAGTCTGTGGGCGCAATCAAGCCGCATGCGTGGACACCGTCGTCGACCGGTGCGCCGTGCGAGCAGCAGACGAGGCCGAGTTGTACGCCGACGACACGTACGCGAAGCCCTTCGAGGACGGTGGGCTATGCGACGTGGTGATAGAGGGGATCCAGCGCTCGTGCCGGTGCTGCTGGTGGGAGCTGCCGCCCTCGCGGTCAGACTCGTCAGAGTGCGAGCGCACGATCTTCTGCGGTGACGAATGCGTGCTGGAGTAGCCCGGGCTGTGGGAGACGGACATTGCTCGCGCCTTCGACTGGAAGGAGGGCATTGGCGGGGGGCTCGTGGGCGACGTCGCCCGGTGGCGAGGAGGCGTTGCGGGGGTTTCGGAGCGCAGGCTTGCCCCGGGGGTAGATGCACGCGCGGCGGGTGTTACGGGACGGGAAGACGACGAGCTGCGCGCGTGGCTAGGCATGGCGATGGAGCGAGAGAGGGGCGACACTGGGCTGTACGGAGGAGACATTGGGGACTTAGCACCGGTCCGGCGGTCCGGGGCCGCCGTGCTCGGGCGTGCCATAGGTGCAGTAGAAGTGGGACGCGTAGGAGCGTAACCAGAGGGCGAGTAAGATGAGGAGGACTTGCCATTCGGACGACTAAGCTCTGCACGGAGAGCGTGGCATTCTTGTACTTTTTGGGTATAAAGCGAGTGCTACGTCAGGACACAAAAAGTCAGCTGCCTCGTTGCAAACACGCGAAGATGACGGATGTACCTGTCTAAACGAAAAGATCAGATATCGTCAGAGGGTGATGATAAGGGCTATCGCTTACTCTCTGAGCTCCGACTTCAAAGAAACGACAGTGTTCTCGCTTTGGTCCAGCTTAGATTTAAGCGTGGCTTCGAGGCTCTTTGCAGATTTCGTAGCCTCGGCATGGGCAAAGTGGTTTATAAGGATCGCGCGCAAAAGGGCTGCGCTGAGTGTCAAGGACGAAAACTGGTACACGGTGAGGAACAAAGAATCAATTCTATGATATTTCGAGGATAAGTCAAGCACGCACCTGGTCGTCCGGCTTCCCATCATGACCCAACCACTGAGTGAGCTCCTGGAGCAATGTTTGCACCTCCTCTACGGAGCACTTTTTGGCAGCGACCTTGGCAACCTTGGTCTCTAGGACAGTCTTGGTACGCCTTGAGGAAGAGGGCTTCGAGGAAAACGAGTCCTCGACGACGGGGAAGCGAGCCTCTTGTCGCGTGGCGGGGAACTGGCCTGCCATATCCTCGATGATAGCTGGCTTGCCCTGTGGTGTGGGCCAACTGGTGTTCGAGTAGTCGAACCTGATGAGTCGGATATCATTCCTGGTGAACTGCTCCCTGCAGAAGGGACAGGCGGGTGTGTGTTTTGGTAGTGTTTTCTCTATTATCTTGGAGCAGCAGGTCGCGCAGAACACATGTCCTGGATAGACGAGCGACGGGAAAGGCGACGATCAGAGGATGACGAGATTAGTCTCCTTCGGTTTCCCAGGGCGAAAAGTTTTGAGCTCACCGCACGGAATGGAATGGGGCGGACGATGCGGGCCATACTCCTCTGCGCATACGTCGCAAACCGAGCCAGGAATGAGTTGCAACATTTTAGTGGTCGGCGCTGTGAGTCCCTTGCCAGGGTTGCTTGCTAGAACGGGTGTGCAAGTTATGACAAGGGATGCGACTGGACCTGGTGGAGGATAAATGGCATGAGACGAATGGGCCGGAGTGACGCCGCCTAATTTCTGGCCAAGGGCAGCCAAACAAAGCACCGCATCGGAGCCAAACATATTCATCCGCTCCTCCCCTCTTCTCGTGAGGCCATGAGGTTTCATATCCATACAATCTCATTCAGTTTCTCTCTTCTCTGTTTTCCGTATCAGTCAAGCGACCCGCTCTCCTGCAGCAGTTTGCGTCTTTACGCGTACCACCTGCTCGTGAACCACCCACGGTCCAAACCTAGGTTTCAAGCTCCAGCTCGTGGCTTGCTATATCAAGATTCCTGAGAGGTGCGGCATAGGGTTCAGCTTTGGGCCAGCTCGGGCTGGGCAGCTTTCTCGCTTCCTCACTGTCAGGCTACTGTTTGTTGATGCTGACGCCTGCATTTCGGGATCTCACATCGGGCGATGGTTTCCACTCGTATTGGATAGTATTTACACGGCTGCCGCCCCAGCTCACTAATCCCCGAGCCTCGTCTGACATATTGTCGCCCAGAGGCGCTGACATATCCTATGCACGTTAGCTCCCACCTCAGGCGATTACGCGTAGCTCTTGGTTTGCGTTTCACACAGGTCAATTGTCTGACTAACCGAAAAGAACTCACGAGAACGTATACCCAGATCCTTCTCCGTGTTCCGAGAGAGAAAACATACCGCAAAAGTCCTTTGCTGGTCCGACCGGAGGCACACACGCCCAAAACAACTCCCCGAAGTTTATTTGTAGCCAGCCGCTCTTCTATCCTTGCCACGCGGATCACCTCTTTGGAAGCCGTGCTCCCAGGCAGTGGTACGCATATAGCGTCACGAGCTCAGTTTTTGTCAATTGACTCTCGCAAGATAACGGATCCCATCACCTCATCAAACGTATCATCTCAAATTCGCCTTCACCGCATCCTTTCACCCACCAATACCACGTCGACTTCAGCTGGCCGATCATGATCACCATCATAATGCTGTATGCTCACACCGGCTGACGTACACATCGGTGTTGCATTCTCGATGATGTACTTGCCCCTCTGGTTAACATCCACGTCGACCGCAACGCTTCCCCTAGTACTTAGCGCCCACACATACTCGTTGCTTTTGCGGCCCGCGTCGATGTCCTCGTGCCCATCCTGCATCGTCGCCTAACGCTTTGCAGACTCACGCCTAAACTCGTGCTCCTCTCGGCTTCTCAGGATCATTTTGTGGTGGCTTACCGGTCTCATAGCCGCCCGGGGATCCCAGGCACGCCGGGTGAAGTGGGTTGTACTTCCTTATACATCAGATAGGTTCACCGATGCAGGAAACTCTAATTGCGAGAATGCATTGCTACCTCGATCATGCTTGGAAGAGAACAAATGACTATTCAGGCATAATGTGCTCCCGCGGGTGCCTAGCTCAGTGTTCTCTGAGACGTCCAGAGCGTGTACCGCCCTTGCACCCCCAATGCAACACGGCACCCTCAATGCAACAGGGTGTGTTTTCTCTTTTGTTCACGCTACAGTTTGTTTTGAGCTGGTGAAACACATCTATACAAGCCTACAGGTCAATATATGATACAGTTTTCTAAGAAAAAGGTCAGGGAGAGCACATTCAACGCATGTTGCATTGGGGGTGCAAGGGCGGTATGCCGTCGGCGACAGAACATTGACGGCGATTATGTACTTACACTTGCGGCTTTATACCGCGCAAACTCAACCTTGTTCGAAACGAGAGCTTAACTTCTTCGCACTTCCTTTCATTAACCCACTCCAAATCTACTTCGTCTCTCGACCGGAGTCCAATCCCTCGCCCTCAGCGCTCAGCTATTACCCTATTCGACACTCAACGCAGCCTGCACCTGCACCTGCGCGTACCTCACGAATCCAGAGCGATTCGCCCTATTTTGCTCGCGGACGTGAATCCACCTGACGCCATAGCTGCTCGGCTATGCCAGGTGCTGCTTCCCGCCGTCATTTAGGCTTTCTGGTCCTCTCACGTCTCGTCACGCCAGTTTAGCCTCTTCGGCCTCGACTTCCTCTTGGCAAGATCTGACTTGCCCAAGGACGGGCTCGTGGCTCTCAGCCACGAGGCCTCCTGCAGGTGCGCAGTGCCCTCCCCGGTGCATACCGTGACAAAGCGTCATGTCTCATGTTAATTTGTTGATAACTTACCTAGCGTACCATGCTCAAACGCGTACTTCCCCGTATGACAAGTGACTGCGGGCCAAGATCGTTCACGTGTGGAATATTAGTCTGTTTGTGAACACGGTGGCGCGCCGCTCTCGAGTTAATCCACCAAGCTTTAGGGCTTAGTCATAATGAACCTGAGATCTGGGGTAACGCAAGCTCCAGCTCCAAACAAGTTGGTTTTTGATATGTACAAGTACACTGCACACTCGCGAATTTAGAATGGAATTAAACTAATCGTCAGTGCGATAACGACTAGCCAGCTTTCTGGATGTGAGTGCGGGGTAATTGAGAGCATAATTGACGGGTGTGATTATTCAGGTACTGTCATGTGTCCTAGCTCCCTTCTCCGCCTGGGGAATGAATTAAGGATCTCTGTCCGATATGAGAGAAATCTCGAGTACGCAATGCCGCACGGCCTTGACAGTTCATTTAAGTTGCCTTTTTCACTGGACTAATACATATACGGTACAAGTCGCTTGCTTCACAGCTAGTAGCTAATATGAGTATATAAACGTGTATCAGATCGAGTGAAGTGAGTTTCTGTCATGATCAATGGTGGTAGCGACAGGATACAGTAACGGACTTCAAGAAACGCAAGTCGATATGATGCGAATTAGAGTAAGCGTCGCTTCTCCAGCCTGAGGTTGCACAGAATGACGAAGCGCTCATAATACCTGCTTCACGCAAAGTGGAACTTTAGTGAGTCCTCGGCGTCATACGAAAACGATCAATTCATGTCATTCGCAAAGCTGTATTCATGAGGATCGCACAACGTAAGCAAGTATCCAATCCAAACCACGCAAAACAGGCAACAGCAACATATGCACAACCACGACATTAGCATCTCCACCAACCTCCATTCTTACGTCTCATGCTCTATCGATATCCGACATTCCCGAACATCCTTCAGCACCAAGCTCAGCTTATCCCTGGATGGCCTGCATAATGCGCTCAACGTCGAGCTGCACACGCACCCGCGCGGCCTTCCCTTCAGCGCTCTGCCCGCCGATCAGGCGCTCGCCTGCGCCCGCGATGCCCTTCGTGGCGCCTTCGTACAGGAGCTCGAGCAGCTTGACCCACTGCGCGCCCCAGACGTTGACCGCCTCCGCGCCACCGACGTCGAGTGCCACTGTAGACCATGAAGCAAGTTTCGTCAGCATCGCAGTGCGAGGAGCAGCGACGAGGACAAAGACATACCATGTAAAACCTGCGCAGCCACAGCCGTCTCAAGCAACCTCGGCTGCCCCAGCATGCGCGCAAAATACGCCCAGAACCGCGGAAGCTGATACATCCGCGGCGGCGGCGCACGGTCGGGCGGCGTCGGAGCCACCATAACGAGGAAATACACACGCATGAGGCCCGCCACGCGCGTCACGTACTCGCCCGCCGTCTCGCGCTCGCCGTTGGCGCCGCTGTTGCGGTACCCCATCGCCTTGGTGCGTGCGTCCTCGCCCGCCCAGGGGGTGCCGTCCGCGTCTCTGGAGGGGACGGCGGAGGGGATGGGCCACCCGCCGGCGCGCTGTACGAGTTTGGCGAAGAAGACGTCGGGGAAATGCGGGAGGGTGGCGAGGAAGTGTGAGGTGACGAGCGCGAGGGGGATGGCGGACCGTTTTTCAGCTGTTACTTCTGTTTCGGCTTGCAGCAGGATGGCTTTGGAGAGCGACGAGAGAGAAGCGAGGTAGATTGGCTCCGGGAGGGGGCTCATGGGCTGAATGAGCGCGGTGATTTGGGTCGTCTGTACAGCGAGGGGTTAATAGGATGGTAGATGCGGGGTGCTGCTGGAGAGCTTACGATGCGGTTAACAGACTCGGAGTCCTGGGTGAGCTGGCCAATCTTTGGTGTAATCTGACGTCTGATAGCGCTCCATTGTGACTTGAGTTCTTTGGTACCCTTCACGGTCTTCATAGGACCAGCTTTGAGGTTCTGAGGGTTACGTATCGTCAATGAATATTCACGAATACGGAGATGATGACGCACCTTGAGAACCTTGCGGGCCTCAGACCAGTCGTCCTCAGCAGTCGTCACACCCATCTGCCTTCGGCCTGCTTCCTCAGCCTGAAGCTGCTCCTTCCTCTTCTGCTCAATCTCGTCCAAGCGCTTCGCTTCAGCGTCGTCCTCCTGTTGCTTCTTCCTCTTCGCTTCATCTTCCTGGCGCTTCTTTTCCTCCTCCGCCCTCTGCTTCTCTTCGGCCTCCTTCTGTTTGCGCTCTTCTTCCTCGCGGGCACGATGCTCAGCTTCCAGTCGCGCGCGCAGGCTGTCCTCCTCTTTCTTGATAGTGCTCTCAATGCGGTCGCGTTGCTTCCGGTCGCGCTCCTTCCATTGTTGCACGTATTTGTCGATGTCCGACTGCTGCTTCATCTGCAGCGTAGCGAGCTGGCGCTGCACGTCGGCAAGCTGGGCTTCGTGAACTCGGTTGAGCCGGGCAATTTCCTGCGCATGACGCTGAGAATGTCGCGCGCGGTGCTCGGACTGGGCGTCGCGTTGCTCCCTGCGAGCTGTGCGCTGGATGTGCGGAGTGTGGGGTAAGACAAAATGGTCACGTTGGGAATCAGGCGGGTGTACGTACGAATGCATCCTTGCGCGTCTGCTTCTCCCACTCCTCGTACGGGTCATGATGGCGTATGGACAGTCGTATAGAGGCAAGCGTTTCTTCAACGTAGCGTTGCTCTGCAGGGGACGAGAATTCGCGCCGTGGTCTCCTATTGTGAACGTTAGAAACAAGTCGAGTAAACCAGATGTGCAGGAAGGGAAGAAGACACAGAGGGAGACCATAACATGACAATGGTACGTACGGGGGTGGAAGAGGTATCTCCGACTCGTCTCGGTAACAGAACGAATCCGACGAGGACGAGCTCAAGGAGGACTCGGTGTCAGACTCGGTAGCATCGTGGTTCTCTTCAGAAGAGCTCTCGGAGTCGGACTGAAGACCGAATGTCGAGCTTCTCCTAGCTTTGGGATTCGTGGTCTTCTTTGGTCTGCAACGAGTAGGTGGTTAGACGCGCGAGGTGGACATTGTCGAACGAAGGAGCATACTTAGACTGGCGCACAGGCGAAGGCGAAGGCGATCGAGTGAGACCAAAGCGCATTTCTCCTCGTCACTAGGAGTGGGAGAGGTTAAGGATGAACCAGACACAGCTGAAACTGGGAGGTAACAAGCTGGTTGTCGCGTCACTTGGGCGGTGCCTCGAGGCGCGGAGAAGGAGTCACCAAACAAACCCTAACATGAGGTTAGGGCTCTTCAATGCCTTCACGATGCCTTCATCATCATAGTCAAAGTCCATCCCTCTGGCTGGGGGAGTCGCCTGGAACACTGAAGTATGTAGATCAAGCTACGAAAACTGATCTCAGCGTCGTTTCTACTCTGCACGGATCTCACGTTCTCGAGTGAACGGCTGCTCAGGTCACAAGGAGCGACTCCTTCTACTATCTTCTATCAAAGGGACGCGACCTTGGGCTCTGGTGAGAGGTCTTTCATCAGCGTCGCGCTAATACATCAATTAAATACGTGATAGCAATGCGGGCGGGCTACACGAAGTATCCATCTTGAGCAAGTGAGCATCACAGCAAAACTTGACACACTTTTCGTGCCTTGATCACCTGCATATTCGGATACACTGGCATACACTAGCCAATTGACGGCTCGGTGGATGAAATCTTTGCATTCCTTGGACTGTTCACCGACTAATAGATAAGGCGTACGCCCATATGTGGATCCACCCACCCCCTGGACTGGTTTCCGAACGGCATCTCGCTTCTGTTCTCTGTCAACGTCTTTGATCGCTTGCTGACAGTACTCGACTTTGTCAAGACGTATACTGCCCTTCCGATGCGCCTCTTCGACATCCTCGACTCCAGGTTACATATCCCTGGTTCGCGTACTCTCAACATGGCACTCATAAGCCCGACTGTTGCTTACCTATTCCGGATCATTACACACTAGACGCCAATATGAGAGGGAATGGCGAAAACAGCGCATTTGTTCTGCCCGCCCTACTCTACCTGAATGGCAAAATTCACGCAGGCGGCCCCATCAATCTTCTGGCGGACACAAGCCACTTGGACAAACGTTACGGCTGTGGCTGAAGATAAGGATTTTTATAAACCTACGGCGAAGGACGCGGACAGGATAAAAGGCATAGTCTGCGTTGAGGGTCTAAAAACTTCTCCCTTCCCTCTCCAGTTATGCCCGAGTTGCTCGAGAAATCGCTGCCTCTCACTTCCAAGTCCTCGTCTAAAGGGCAGGCTGAAGGCGAGCATGGGATCCAGATAGGGTGAGTCTATCGTCGTCGGATGTCCCAGACTTTAACCCGTTTTAACGACCATATTTTCAGTTTCCGTACGCTATCCGTCCGCGTCGAGGAAACGCAGGAGGGCAAGGCCGCCATCAGGCAGCGCACCGCTCAGGACCCTGCGGATGCCATCGCCTCTATCGATGCCCACCTCATCCCGCCTGAGGAAGTCTTCATCCGGTACTCGACTCACCCCACGGTAGGCCTGGAGCTCTCTGTCATCAAGCGGCGCGAGAAGGACGGGAAGAACGTTATCAGCCCTCCGCCAACGCAGTACTGGAAGAAGGCCCTCAACTATGTCTTCGGAGGGTTCAATTTCCTGATGTGGATTGCTTTCATCGTCACAATAGTATGGTTTTTCGTCTCTCAATGTTAGCGTGTGCTGCATTCTTCGTCTGTTCTGCAGCTGGCATACAAGCCCTTGGGAGAGCCGGACCCAGCTGTCTTCAACCTCGGACATCAGGAAAAACCTGAGCGTGAAACTGGTGTTAAGTTTCAAGAAATTGTGGAAATTTGTGACACCTTTTCGCAACTTGACGGAAGTTTCAGGGGCAATCAAGTTGATAAAAAATCGCAGCCCCCCAAAACAAGTTGCGGCAAATTCCTGTAACTTTCATCAAGTTCGAGCACATTTTTCGCATTTTACGCCAGGTTAGTTGGGGGTTTTGATTGACCTTTCCATTATTCAGGCTTCACACTTAGTTTGTAGTGTAGTAAAAGTACAAATGGCATTCACTGGGTACTCATACAAAGCAGAGTTCTAGCTACACTACAGCTATGGAGCGATAGAACCCTGTTGAACCAATAGGTTACCTGATGCCCTCCAATGCCAAAACTCGTACAGCGTGCACGCGATCGAACTCGTACAGGGAGCACGCGATCGACTAGACCTCGAGCACGGCATTGTAGGGTACTCCGAGGGCTTAAAGTAAGACGTCCAAGTCAAAACGCAGAAACGAGGACACGAGAAGGCCAAGACTCACTGGTTTCGGGAGCACAGTAGAATCACGAGACGAGGTAAGGCGTGATATCATTCTCCGCCGCATCAGATGCGATGCCCAAGCTGGACAGCTTGAGCACCGTCCTCTGCTCGTTGACCTACGTAACCATTCCGTAAGCCATGGCATGCATGGGGATGGATAGAAAAACGTACGAGGAGGCTTGATATCGGTGTGCGTAATATTCAGCTTCTTGAGTAAACTCGAGAGGAATAGCTGGTGAGTGTACGTCCGCACTGACTTGATACCCAGACCAACGTCCTTGCCAAATCACTTGACGATGTCTCGTAGATTCATGCTTCATGAGTATGTTAACAGAATGTTTCTCGCGCGATGGGTGTATGCGTACCTCATAGACTCGAAGACCAAGCACACTTGTCCACGGTGCTCGAACGTCCACTCAAGGCGAATACTGTGTTTCTTGTAGTGCTCGTATTGGACGAGTGGTACACCTTGGTAGGCACCACGCCTCCATCAAGCGCGGCGAGGCGCGAGCCGCACGTAGTCCTGCGCTCGGAGACCTGAGGGAATGCGGGTGCTCGTGCGGATGGTGGGACGGCAGCTGCATGCTGTTGGATCCCCAATGTCCGGGTAACAGCGTCGATAGGCACGTGGCCAGGGCGTAGTCCGGCCAAGGATTGGCCAGAGTCGGGACGCTCGCTTACTTTGGACCGTCTGGGAACGAGGTGGGGTGGAAACTAGTGTCGTTGGGCATCAATACCATTTGTCTAGCAGATAATTGCAGTGGTCTATGCCGGTTAGACCAACCACAAATTGGAGACAGTAAGTTCCAGAGCTACGTAAATAGGTTATGAGTTACACGCACCTATGGCCCCATTCCAGCACGCAAAGTGAATCATAGATGTTATGTGAAGGTAAAACCACTGGGTATGGGATGGGAAGCAACGAGAGAGTGGCTGGGTGGGAAGGAAGAGACGGCAACCATGAAGGTGAAGATGAGAGGAGACGTGGCGCAGGAGCATCGTAAGTCCGTTGTTGTGCCATGTTTGCTTGGTTCAATTTCGCTCCCTTCCATTGTTCGCTTCGCTTATGTTGTATATGCCAAGACATGTTGGCAGCCAACCTCAGGCTGCGCGCGCAAGGCCCTCAGCCGCGTTAATTCACGCCCACTCATCGTCATCAACCCGGAAAATCTAACCGGAGTGCCGCTGAGCGCTGAAATAATGTGCAAGACCATGCACCTCGTGTCTCAGCGATATCTTGAGTTGCCAGTGATTGTAATCCACTCGGGCTAGTATCAAGGAGCCAGCACTTTGGACATAATCATTTGCCAAGCAACCGTTTCCTTTGGTTCGATGTAACATGTACCAACTGTTTTAATAGTATACATATCTAGCTAGGTGCCATGGCCAGTGTGTGTTATAGTTACCTGTATCTTTACCTAGCCTATATATCCAACCTTGTGTGTGCGTTTCTTAGTGCTGTGCCTAAGTACTATGCTACCACCAAGTGATCAGGGGTCCTGGGCATCGCACACCAGGAGCATCATATGCTGTACTAAGGTTCCATACGCATTTATGTCATATTGAAATCACGATAAGTGATGCAATGTGACTTTCACTCGAAGTTAGAGAAGTTGGGACAAATTTTGTCAAGTTTGTTAGACTTGCACATATTTTCATTGACTTGACAGAAATGGTCTCCACTTTTTCGGTACTTGACAAGCCTTGGGAACTTTACACAAGTTGTATCCAATTTCCCACCGAGGTTTTTCCTGATGGAGTCGCAGTATTGCTGGTTAGTAGCCCTGATTTTCTTTCTGAACTGTCTTCACTAATCTCTGGCGTTCGATTTATAGATGCTCGTCATTCTCGTTTCCGCGACGTTCTACGCCTTCGTCGACTGGAACGCGTCGAGGATCATGAAGTCGATCAAGTCCCTCATCGCCGAAGAGGCTGCAGTCATCCGTGACGGAAACCAACAGATCATCCCGGCTACCGACATCCTCGTCGGCGACATCGTGGTCCTTTCCACCGGAGACCGTGTTCCTGCCGACTTGAGGATCGTGCAGGCGTCATCAGACCTTCGGTTTGATCGATCCCTCCTCACCGGAGAAAGGTACGCCTTTGTCTATGTCATTCTCTTCCGGTTTTTTTCTCACTTTGACGAACGTTCTAGCGACATGGTCGCCGGATCGCTCGACGCTACATCCGACAACGCACTGGAAACGCGCAACCTCGCGCTCACATCGACGTTCGTCGTGCAAGGCACCTGCACCGGCGTCGTCTTCGCAACGGGCGACCGCACCATCATGGGCCGCCTCGTGCTCATGTCCGGCGAGGGCAAGTTCAAGCTGACGACGATCCAGAAGGAGGTCTGGTTCTTCACCAAGATCGTCTCCGGCCTGGCGCTCTCGCTGTTCGGCGTCGCGCTGCTCGCGTGGGGCGTGTGGCTGCGCACGCACTACCCCGGGTACGAGACGGGCAGCGAGGCGATTATCAACTCGATTGGGTGCTTGACGGCGTTCGTGCCGCAGGTCAGTAGCTTTGGTGCGGTTGTGTGTTCTTGCTGGCTGATGGCGTTCATCAAGGGTCTGCCTGTTTGTGTTGCGCTCTCGCTGACGGTGATCGCTCGTCGCATGGCGAAGAGGCAGGTCTTGGTCAAGAACCTCGCTACCATCGAGACCCTGGGCTGCATGTCCGTTCTCTGCTCCGACAAGACCGGGACGCTCACCGCTGGGCGTATGGTACGTCTCCCGCTATTCTTTGTGAAAAAGCATAGCTGACATCGGTGAAAGTCCGTAGAGAACATTGCCTTCCTGGGCGAGTCCCATAACGTCGCCGCAGGCCTGGAGGAAGGCTCCTCGCTGATGGATCCCTCCGTGCGGAAAGCGCTCACAGACCTCCAGCTCGCCGCCCGCATCTGCAACGCCGCCAAATTCGACAGTGCCACCGTCCATCTGTCTGTGGCAGAGCGCAACGTCAAGGGCGACCCCACGGATACCGCTCTCCTACGCTTCTCAGAGAGCATCCAGGGCATCGATGGTACCGATGTCCGCAGGGCGTGGCATACGATCTTTGAGATCCCGTTCAACTCGAAGAACAAGTGGATGATGAGCGTCGTCGAGCGTGCTGGAAACGATGAGAAGGATCTGGTACAGCGCGAAGAGCCGCTGATGCTCGTAAAGGGCGCGCCAGATATTCTCTTCCCTGCGTGCTCATCGGTCATGAGGGCTGACGGGAGCGTTGTGCCACTTGATATTATCTCGAGGAAGCAGCTATCCGAGCTCCAGAGCGAGTGGTCGAGCTCGGGTCAGCGCGTCCTTGCCGTGTTAGTACTCCGCATACCCATTCATCAGCGCCCTGCTCATGCTCTCACTCGCCAGATGCCGACGGACGCTCTCGGGCTTGAAGACGGACGTATCACCAAACGACATGGAGACCCAGCTTTACTCGGAGCTGCAGGACCTCACCCTCGTCGGACTCGTCGGCATTCGCGACCCTTCCCGCGCGGACGTTCCTGACGCTATTCGGGTCATCAGGCGCGCCGGTGTGCGCGTGTTCATGGTCACGGGCGACTTCAAGCTGACGGCGGCGGCCATCGCTCGGCAGGTCCGGATGATTTTTCTTGGTTTCTGTGAGCTTGGCTCTTTGCTAACGCGGTCTCCTCAGGTTGGAATTATTACTCAAGAACAAGTCGACACCATCGATGACGTCCGCGCCATGTCTGCTTCCAAGACGATTGGCGCTGTCGACCCATCCGAACTCACTCCCCGAGACGAGGATGGCATTCGTGCTCTGCTTCTTACCGGAGAGGACGTCGCCTCTCTCGGTCCTGCGGATTGGGACGTTGTGGTCGGTACATACGTTGAAATCGCGTTCGCGAGAACGACTCCGGATCAGAAGATGCGCATTGTTGAGGAGATCAAGGCCCGCGGCGATAACACCGTGGCCGTCACTGGTGACGGTGTCAATGATGCCCCTGCGCTCAAGGCTGCGGATATTGGTGTCGCTATGGGTAGCGGCAGCGATGTCGCCAAGGAAGCAGGTGTGTGTCTTCGCATCGATCGTATCCCTATGTGTTTAAAGTCGGAGTACCTAAGCGGCATTGATCCTCTTGAATAACGACTTCGCATCTATTCCTGTCGCAATTGAGATGGGCCGGCTGGTGTTCGACAACCTCAAGAAAGTCATATTGTATCTCATGCCCGTAAGTTCCTACATTTATTCTGTTCGTTTTTCTTAGCTGATGACGATAGGCCGGGACATACACCGAGTTCATGACTGTTTTTGCCAACGTTTTCCTAGGCATGCAACTGGCGCTCAGCTCCTACCTTCAAGTGTGCTTCTCTATCACCAATGACGTCGTCATGTCTATCTCGTTAATGTACGAAAAGGCCGAGGCTGGTACGTCGGTATTGCGACGTACGCTGCGATGAGATTCTCTAATCCCTTTTGATTCGTCAGATCTGATGCTACGCAAGCCTCGTAATGCCCGTAAGGACAGGCTAGCAGACTGGCGGTTCTTCGTCCAAATCTACCTGGTAAGAGCCGTCTATCGACCCTTTGACCTCGCGTTGATCAGAGCTATCTCATAGTTCATCGGGCTCATGATGTGGCCTTGCGCAATGAGCATGTGGTTCTACTGGATGCACCGCCAGAATCTCAGCTTTTACGACGTCATCCTTGTGTACAACAAGTGGACAAACACCGACGGCTGGCAGGGATACAGCCAGGAGCAGCTTGCCGAGTTCGTGAGCGTCGGTCAATGCATCTAGTACGTTACCTTTTCTCGTCGGTTTTATTTCCCCGGTATTGACATGATCTGCAGCTACGTGACCATGGTCTTCATGCAGTACGGCGGCCTCCTCGCGGTCCGAAACCGCCGCGTCTCGACCCTCGTCTCGAACCCGCTCTGGGGCCCGCGTCGCAACTGGGCGATCCCGTGCGGTATGCTAGCGACCGCGCTCATCGCGGTCGTCAACCTGTACGGAACTGGCTTGCAGAAGGTCTTCGGCACCACCCCTATTCCTGGCATGTTCTGGGGGATTCCATTCGCGTTCGCGCTTGGTATACTAATCATGGACGAGACGAGGAAGCTGATCGTCAGGAGCTGGCCAAATGTAAGTAAACGCCGATTATGACAACATTCAAGAACTCTTGACTCATATACGTGTTTAGTCCATCGTGGCTAAAATTGCATGGTGAAGAAGACGAGGCCACGTAGATACGGCTACAAGTTGGACTTCCTCGGAGCTAAAATTGGGTTGGACCCATATTCTCTGCAATTGTTTACAATTTGTTATATTTGACCACACCTGTTTGTCATTAATTCTCTCTTGGATTATCCAGCAAAGTCCGTGGAAATAAACCAGGGCCAATTTTGCTATGGTTCCTGATTAATACTGTTAGGCCGTGTTAACGTTGCTGGCGGGCATCATTTGAACAATGGTGGCTTTGGCCTGCCATCGGCATACCGATAGTCAGCTAATTTGGACGCACCATCTACGGACGCTTTGTTTAACGTGACAACATGGAAATAATTAGCGTGGATGCTTGGACTCGCTTTTCAACTGTCGCCGCATTGAAATGCTCCACTTCTGCAGCATTTTGTCGCCTGCTGTGCTTTGACCCTGGACGCTTGGAACAATACACGTGCGACGCTTGGTCCTTCTCCGAGCCATAAATGCAGGTGTACGCGACGTCGTGCTGCTCTTGTCTATTTCCCAATCAGTTTTTCCTTTCTTCCTCCTCACAATCCGATCATGTCTCGTAATTATTACTTCTTTGACAAGGTCAACTACAAGCTAGAAGAGAAGCTTTCGATACTAGAGCTCGAAGACGGCGACAAGGAAGAAGAGAAGGCGTCATTACTCAAGCTCGAGAGCACTTGCAAGGTGGAAGACAATCCTTCGTCACTGGACCAAAAGAATCTCGCCCACGATTCTCATCTGGAGCAAACCTTTGCGGAGTACAATGCGCAAGTAAACCACGACGTCCTTGCACGACTTGACCAGCGCGCCGGAGAGATCATCGACCAGCTTAAAGACCTCACGGACGCGCTGAACTTTATGGGATACGACGAAGTTCTAGGCATATATCCTAATGATGCCAATGAAAACAAAGAAGTCCAGCAGCTCGTCTCTAGGAGGGATCTCTTGGGAGACGAGATGAACCGCATCACTGCTCACATTCTGGCAAGAAAAGATAAAGGTAAGTTCATATAAACCTATGAGTGTGGAGAAAAACGACGCTTACTGATTACTTTATATCGCACAGATATAGGCCAGTATCCTTCGTTACACTCATTTGCTCAGTTACAGGAGGAACATCGCCAGTTGGTATATCGAGGCTGGTAGATGTGCCATATCTCATACTCATGTGAATGTTTGGCATATTATGCTATGTGCGTGAATGGACATACCTTGTATATATGATGTGAGAATAAGAAAAAAGAAACGCGTTCAGAGTCATAGTTGCTTTCCTAGTGGCACTTTCAATGAGGTGGCTTGAGCTTTCCGCGCGTCGCGTCAGAACACGTGCTGGGAAACTCTCCTTTTTGGGGACTTTTGTGAACAAAATTTGCCGCCAGAACTCCGCGGGGCGCGCCTTGAGCTTGAGCTTGAGACGCGCGACACAGCGCGACACCCTCCAAACTCGAACCAACTCCACCTTAAGGATCCATCCTGTAGACGCATAGGCTTTGGCAAGCTTCTGGGAACAACCCTTTTAATCCCCGTGTGCGTTTGTCTAGAAGAATTCGAGACTGGACCCATCACGCCATGCCGCGGCGAAAGCGACAGCCGATGTTGGACACCGTCGGCGGTGAAGGACTGAAACCTATCGATGTGCATGTCATCATCAAATACACACCCAACAAAGCACTCATATTTAGGTCACTTACCCAACACGAACAAATAGCTAGCCAAGCAAGAAAGGACCTAGACCTCATGGGCCTCCCTCCCCCCAAGACACAGAACATCAAGCGTGTTGCAGGCGACTTTCTCTATGGTTTCTGGCCTGATAGTGCTTGCAAGGTGAAGTCAGTTGCAATGCGTGTTTTCTGCTGTATGGCTAAATTACGCGTGCGACCTCTACAGGGCGTCATTGATAGGCTACATCCGGTACTTCAATCGTTCCAAGAGGCTTCGCAGTTGAGTGATCAAGGAAGTAAAAAACGAGCCAAGGCGGACGTGTATGTGCCTTACTTGAACGCTTTCTCATGGAGACGAATGCTCACGAGATAATCAAAGACTGGCCATAGTCGCCACGTCGGTGTACGTCTAGATTGCATTACAATGTTGCTGATACTGAAACAACATAATGGTAGTAACGCTGGAGAACCCTTCGACGTTCAGTCAGTACTTAACGGCATGCCTGAACCCCAGTCCGTGGACCCCTCATCTATGGACCTCCTGCCCTCGCCTCCATTGCGAGCACCTCTTTCTTCACTCCCTTCAAAACCGTGGTGGATATCTGACGCCCAACCGCCCAGCCATGCACCCCCATTAGATATCCCCAGCTCTCCGCGTGCATCTTCTCCCCAATTCGAAGCACCCTCAGGCCTCTCCGCATCTATCGCCGGTACCAAGTTCTCTCTTCACTGTAGGTCACCCACCATCGAGCCAGGTGAGGTGCCAGAGGAGCCCAATCCGCTTTTGTGCCATATGTGCGCCCAGATTTCACCCTTGCCTTTGTCCTCTTCTCACTTTCTTTGCGATGCCGGAAGCAGACAGCTAAGTGGTGAGCCAGGGATAAGCTCTGCGTCTTCATCATCTCCCAGACGGGTTGAGGATCATTGCTCGTCTAGCTCTGATACCCTCCTGGACTCAGATGACGCCCTCTCAACGTTCGTTCCGCCCACCGACGGCTTGGTGAATGAAACTCGAGAGACCGTTGAACGACTCGCCCGTGAGCTCCAGGATGCCCAAGACGAGGTTCAGACGGCCCAAGCCCGCACTCGCTCGCTGGCTCGTGAGTTGGAACGCCTTGGGGCGCGTAAATTGACTTTCGCAGTCGATGAGCGGCGAAGAATGTGTGGTAAGCGTATTTACTAGGGACTGTATTCTGTCTAACTGACCAATGCTCTACAGAATGTGAAGCGTCTGACGCATCGGAAGCATTACGTGTCGAGCGGCGCCGACGCATCCGTGCAGAACAAGCACTTGCAGAGGTTTCCGCTGAATCACAGACGCCTTTTATCGTCCCAGCATTGTTCGAGGCCTTTAAGGTGATCACAGCGCTAAGCATCGGCGATACCTTCCTCGACGTTGAGAGTTAATACCCTAAGATACTACCAACATACTACGTTTTGGTTCATGCACAACTAGAGTTCGACGTGGGCATTATCCAGCCTAATTACCTACTTATACAGATACTACCATATTTTGTAACCTTAAATTTCGCAGACTAATAGCATCCTACATTGGCCCTAGACTCGTGACTTGCTCGTGACCAGTCTCAGCTTCTGCGTGCCTAAATAGCCAACGAGCCCAAGTACAGTACTTTGTATGTGATGTGAGAATAAGGAGAAAGAAAACGCGTTCCAAGTCATAGTTGCTTTCAGTGGCACTTTCTTTTTCTCTTGGCTTGAGCTTTTCACGCGTCGCATCAGACCACGTGCTGAGAAACGCACCTTCTTTGGGACTTTTGTGACATTTGCCGCCGGAACTCCGCCGAACGCGTCTTGAGAGGCACGACACCCTCCAAATCCGACCCAGCCCAGTTTCTTCAAGGATCTATGCTGTAGACGTGTAGAGCCAGGGAGGCTTCTTCAACTCTTCATGTGCATTTATCTGCTTCTGTTCAATTGACTCCTCCCGCCCCCATCAGACTATGCCACGAAAACGATACTCGAGCCCCCGACCCGCCTTGCCACGACAGAGCATCGATGTCTGGCGTTCGGCTGTGGACTCTGTCAGCGCTGAAGGACCAAAGCATTTCGATTTACATGTAATCATCGAGTACAAACCTGAAAAGGCAGCTAGGTTCAGGGCACTTCCCCAGCAGGAACAAGTAGTCGACCAAGCAAGAAAGGACCTAAACGTCTTGGGCCTCTCATTTCCCAAGACACAGAACATCAGGCGTGTTCTGGGAGATCTTCTCTATTTATTTTGGCTGGACAGTGCATGCAAGGTAAGTTTCACCCCCTTAGTATGTTCTGCTACTTGGCTGACTGACCTGGACGTCGTCTATAGAATGGGCTACATAAACTACGTCAATCGTACCAAAGCGCTGCGATGTTGACCGTCAGCAAGAGCAAGAAACGAGACAGTGTAGATATGTAGGTGCCCTCTTAGAGTCTCGCTCAAGGGGTCGGATTCTGACGAGACAAATAAGACTTACTATAGTTGTTACACAAGTGTACGTCTCGCCCGTATTTCAATTCTACTGATCCTGAAATGACATGATTGCAGTGACGCTGGAAAACCCTTCGACGTTCATTCAATATTAAACGACTCGCCTGAACTTCAACCTCTGGACCCCCAGTCTGAACAACCCCGGCTCGAGTCTCCGTTGTCACTGCTCCTATCTCCCGCCCCCTCGAGACCATGGTGGGTACCCGACGACCAATCGCCCGACTATGTGCCTCCGCTGGACATCCCTAACTCTCCCCGCGCGTCTTCTCCCGAAGTTCAGTCACCTCCAGAGCTCCTCGGCGCTACTTCCATCCGGATTCAATCGGGACAAGCGTTTGTCGGACAACAGCCCGCCAGCGCCTCCCGCGTCGCAGTTCACGCTCAAGTTGCCAACCCTTCTACATCCTTCCCCCGCTACAAATCGCCCTCTATCGAGCCAGGCGAAGTATCAGAGATGCTCATTACGCCATCCATGTGTCACGCGGGTACCCAGACATCCCCCTCATCGTCGCGGTATCCTCAAATTCTCTGTGAATTCGGAAACGAGCCGTTGAGGCATAACCCTGAGATAGGTTTTGAAACTTTCCCATATCCTAGACCGGCTGGGGACCCTTGCGCGTCTAGCTGTGATACTCTCCTAGATTCTGGTGATACCCTTTCAATGTTCGTTCCGCCTACCGATGAATCAACAAAGGAAGCCAAAGAGACCATCGACCAACTCGTTCGCCAGTTTCAAGAGGCCCAAGAGGAGGTTCAGATGGCCCAGGTCCGCTCTCGCCGGCTTGCTCGTCAATTGGAGCGCCTTGGGGCGCGAAAGTCGACTTTTCCAGTCGGTGAACGACAAAGAGCATGCGGTAAGCGCTTTCGCCATAGACTGGCCTGTTTTGCTAACGGAAGCTCTAAAGAATGCGACGCGTCTGACACGTCGGAAGCATTACGCGTCGAGCGGCGTCGGCGTATCCGTGCAGAACAAGCGCTCGCAGAAGTCTCCGCTGAACGCCAGGCACCTTTCATCGTCCCAGCATTGCTCGAGGCTTTTAAGGAGATCTCTGCGCTAAGAGAAGCTGATACCTTCCTCAACAACGTTGAGAGTTAACGCCCTAAGATACTACTGACACAGGTTTCGCTTAATGTACGGCAAGAACTTAACATGGGCCTCATCCACTATACTTACCTACTTTTATATATTCTATCATATTATGTAGCCTTAGATTTCGCAGAGTGATAGCATCCTACCATGGTCCTACGGTTGAATCTCCACCATGTGTGTTGATCCGCGCATCGAACGTCCACGTGATATTTGTTCTTACGTTTAACTGTGTCGACGCCACGAGTCTCTACTCCACTACCACCATGGCACGAACAAAGCTCCCTTTGCTTGTCGCTGGAAAGATTGAACCCGAACGTTATCCTTGTTACTCGAGCAGCTCACGCGCGAATGATCTGCCCAAGAACTCGCATCCATCATTTGACTTTCACGTCTTCCTCAAGTACACGGAGGAGAGGTCGAAAACTCTGGATGTACTTCCGTCTTCACGTCTCCGTGGATTGGTGAGCGCAGACCTAAAAGCCTTGCGGTGTCCCAATCCGAGGAAGGAGGCCATCAAATACGTATGTGGCGGAGTTTGGTTGGTATGGGAAAAGGCAACGATGGCGCCGGTGAGTCCAGCAGCTCTAATGAGCCATCACCTTTCATTATTGGCCGACTACCACACGGAAGATGGTTTCATGGTCGATATTTACTAAACAAAGCTAACATGGCTTCGGTTGACATAGAATGGTCTTATTGTTCAATGGGACAAGACTGCAGCTGATATGGACTTAAGGAGGGAACTTAACATGTACGCGCCAACATACACACCCTCGGCTATGAACAACAGACAAACTGACGATGGCTGGTCGTTTTCTCAGCCATCACATCAGCATGCGCAAAGTGTAGGCGGACACTGTTTTCCTATTGTCTGTTTAGAGTTCAAGCTTATTGCGTGGTTGAGCAGGCCAGTTGGGGCTCAAGTGGAAATTGAGTCGTCATCCGAGCATGGCACACAGTTCAAGATCGTTTCTCCATCGCATCTTACTGGGGATCCTGTCCGAGAAGATTCCCGGTCTGACACCACTAGCACTCTAGTTGATGACTTCAACAATGCGCCGCCACGTCACTTGGATAGACAGACTAACTCTCAGAAGATTCCAGGTCTTCCGGAGAAACCGGTGTACTCTGACCCGCACGCGCGAGTGGATCCTCAAACCCGAGCGAGAGTACAGAAGCTCACTCGTGAGCTATGGGAATCAAGACGAGAGATGCAGGCTGCCCATGCCCGCTCCGACGCGGTTTCCCGCGAGCTGGATCGACTCGGCGCACCGAAATCAGGCAGACCAGAGGACGCTTGGGAGAACATGGCAGGTGCGTATTGGCGTTCCTTGGTTCGCCCTCTTCTCGCTGGCAAAAGTGTAACCAGTGTCAGATTTACGTCTAGTATTCGACCCTTTACGGCTTTATTGGTTCACCCAGAAGCCTCTTGTACGGCGATATTCCTCTACGAGGTCTACAAGTAAATACCGCCTTCATACGTCTATTCTGGCGCTAGGTATCCCATTGGTACTTTTAGCGCTTACGCATTCGTGTGGCTCCGCGTTCATCGCATAGGGCCACGTTCATTGCTTACGTAGCCGTCCCGCATTACCGTGGGACTTGGACTGCATAGTAGTTACGAATACGGTAGTGACTTCACACGCTCCTGTCATATATATACAGTCGCTACCATGAATATCATCTAAGTCTTCTCTCTACCTCGAACGACTACCATCGTCAGCTACCAGCCTAACACGCTACTAACTCAACCTTCAACATAACTGCCCGGTGAGTCTGCGCTTTTATAGACTTCCCAGCTATACTCGTGTTCGTCCTTTGTCAGGTTATGAGCCCCGCGGGGCGCGGCGGATCCTAGTACCTCAAGGCAGCTTAGTATGCCATGAGGGGGAG